ACAAACCCTAATCCAAGTTAGGGCGTCTTGCATGCTCTGTACACGTTACTTCCGTATGTTACGCAGTATAATTGTACATACATTAGAGGTAGGTAGGTATCCAAGGAAACAACACCCAGAGCTATAGTCCTGGGAAGGTATAGTCTAATTGAACATACATATGTATAGGTACCTAACCTTACCTATATAAACTAGGGGGTGTTAGACCCCGGGTTGACAACCCCCCAACTAGAATACTCGTCAATCTAGATAATATATTCTGTAATTAATTCTTATTATTCAATACCACTATGCAAGGTCTAAAGTTAACGGTCGTTAGTTGTAGGGCTGAGCTGAAATGCGACAATACCTCTAGTAAACCTCTATAGTAAAACGAAGAACCATAACAATTGATTCTATTATATAGGTGCACTTAATATTTAGATATTCAAATAAGAGGCACCTTAGGTAGCTTAATACCTTCCATGTGATGAATACATAGGTACCTACCTAACATATACACCTTAATGTTTTCATGTGCGTCTCTTTTTTTATTAACCTAAGGTCGTGGTTTCTCCGTGTGTTTCCATCCCTTTGCTGTGGAAATGCAAGCTGTACACCGTAACCGTAACAAGACAGGGAAGGGACAGCGCCGTATCGATAAGGCTTTACCCAGGGGTACCTAGCTCTTCTACAGTGATGTCAGGACCAGGGCATGTCAGGGAAAGAAGTGCTTCTTCCCTTTCTAACACCTCTTACACTTCCTCATTTCCTCATTTCCTTACTTCCTCACTTCTTACATAATGTTTTCGTCTGTACGAGTTTCTGCAGTCATGCAACATAATGGATCCTCTTCTCCATAACTCTCCTCGCGGACAATTCCCCCGTAATTACCTTAGGTAGGTAAAGGTACTGCTCGTTTCCTGTAACATCCATATTAACGAGGAGTGAGAAATCATTGATCAAGGTCTCTCAATGGCAGGCTTCATCACGATCAAGGTCCTCCGTTGTACAAAAAAAAAGCCACCTCGTTTTCATCCTAACCTATGCCTAAGCAGTATCCACGCTTCTGAGACTACAATATTGGGTCTCGAAAATTATGGATAAGACTATGCAGGAAGCCGTCTCGGAGTTCTAAGTTCCAGCTGGTGGCCGGACCCCGAGATCAAGGAATGAACTATGGAGGACGGGAACCGACTTTACTTGGTTGGAAGGCTTCTTACTACGGTTTACCTTATGTAGCAACCTAAGACAAGCTTAAATACATACAGCATGACAGTTGTCCGAAACTCCAAGCCACGTGCGCCAACTTTCTACACCTCAATCTCGCTCTATCATTTTTTTCGTCGTCTCTGGCACATACGCTATTATGCAACATATGGACTCCTTAACACTTTAATATCTCAAACTTCTATCTACCCTTTCATAACGCTCGCTATCTTAGCCGTTTGAGACTAGATTATCAGGAATGATACAGGTTATAATAACCAACCCTGGCTCTTTATATGCATGGTCGATGAAGTACTGGACCTATATCAACGCCGATCTACAAGGCGAATCCTTGGCACCACCCTATTGCTTCCGCCACATCGTAAGGTCGAACTTGGACTTACAAAGGACGTCTCAAGGAACGTGCCGATTGGGCAGGCTTATGTTCAGCCAAACGCCGGTCATGGAGATTACACCGGATTGCACTGCAGGTAGAATTTAGATTCTAACTTCTCGGCGTTTTATCCCCTTTGTCTTTTCACTACCTAGGTTGGGTACGTGTGGATAACTTTCGCAGTAACACGTCTACTCCCTCTCTCCCAATCAGCAGACTACGTGAAGCATATCCGAGACCCCAACGGTCAAACGGGAGTGGCCCAAGCCACATTACAACTCCAGCTTACGAGATCGTCGCTTGGTAGTGTAGTCTAAGTGTCTACTTGATGTACTCTGTATCTACTCCCTCACAACAGGATAGACTAACAGCGTTCAGGTGCAATATGCACTACTTGCTCGCGTGTCATCTGACCTGCTACTATGCTCACTATGAAGATTGCCTAGGCGTAGCACGACTGACCACTGGTAGGCACTCTTGGTGAATAGAAGGCCTCAAAATATCGCCGGCATGGTTGAAAATTGCTAAGCAATACTTTTAGAATATCATGTCTAAGGACTCTCATATCTAGTTGTCATCGTGCGAACTCATACATGATTTCTTAACGATATAAGCTTTCGATTAGCCGACCATTGGGCATCCTGTGATGAGATCCATCTACCTCATGAACCCCGATAGTGGAACATTTACACGCTAAATCAAGGTACTCAATTACGGTTATATCCCAGGGAACAAATCAAAGACATTCTCCTATCGGCTAGTGCAAATTTCTCGTTGACTGAATTCCGAAGGCTATATTCGAAGGTCTCTTAGAACTTGTAACGTAGCTACTGCTAAGTAAATGTTTTACCTAGGAATTCATATCACGCCGAGCATTACGTCGGCATTTTCCAGGGAAGCTGTTCAGCACGGGAATATCAACCTACACAGAGATGATGATAGATCCCACCAATATCCCCACCTCTATTATTCTGGCCTGTATGCTCCCCTTAATCGATATAGTAGAGCCCATAATAGCACGATATTTTTGTCCTTCCCACCTCGTTGCATAAGCCGAAGCAATTTTACTACATGAATTTACGGCACGTGGACGATCAAGGCAGTATCTTTCCCAAATGGGGAGGTTCTTATTCACGGTACGTTTCCCTTAGCCAACAATAGGCCGCTCCAGAGCCTTCGTGTACCAGAAAAAGAGCCATGTTCTATCCTATAGACAGGGTGTATTCGCCCCGTCTCTGTATCCCAGTCTCGGAAGTCAAATAGCTGCCCTCCGTGGTCTTGGTACTGACTAACTTCGGTTTCTGGTGAGCCAACTTTCAGGATAAGGTTGCTGCATAAATATATCTTATACAGGTATGAATGTTCATCATGATATGCGATGTCTTTTTGAACCAGTTTTAATTGACGAAGAACCAGTACCATTTTAATTCAAATGAAAGGCGTGTTCCTATGCCGTGTTCATTTTCCACCTAACTCAACGCCAAGAGTTATGAAATACCTGATCATAGTCCCCGATATCACACATTGTATAGTATTTAGTTTATACTCCTAATACCTAGATGGGTAAAGTCTAGAGATGCTTGATCATTCGCTACCGACGGTAGCTGTCCCGTTAGCTCCAGCCGCTTTGGGAAATACCGGACAAGGTTCAACTGGAGTCTACTACCGGCTAATACGGGGTTTTCTCCAAGAGGAAAGGTATAGCCACCGGGCCAGCCCTGTGATATGATGTTCCCAGGGAACTCTGTGCGGCCCCTAGTTTCTTCTATCTTCGATGTTCGAGAATACCGCACTCCTACTGGTCAATACGTCGCGACACCTATTCGCTCGCGGAACTTAAACTTCACAAACCTCTGGCCTTTGCGGGACTAGCTTGCCCGTTCTTGACAGCCTGCGGACGTGTGGATGCGACGCCTTACATCCCGAGAAACTTGTGTAACTTATCCAAGCGCGGCTATCGGTAAGTCTGTCTGACTTGCCCTTGCTACATGGTAGATGTTTGGTGGTGATGAGGCCATATATGCCGCACATCGCGCGGGAATGGAACACTGGAGTTGGATTCTAGCCGTCGATAGAAGGACCGATGCGTCTTGCAGTCCGCCCCCACGTTCTAGAAAACTTTTTCGCTACCTTTCAACTACCACCGCCAAGTCCTTTCTTCCGAATGCCTCATGACATCTTCGTCATGCGGGTTAATTGAAGTGGCCACGAGGGTTTCGACACTTAGAGTTGCTCAGCTAGTAAGGGTTCTCTATACAAATTCTGCATGTTAACACTTAGCTTAGGATAAGTAAACATGTACTAGCTTCTTAAGGAATTGAATCAGCACAACCGTTGACGCCGGACGAGTGATTGAATATGCTTTGGGGCTTAGGACTAATAGTTCTCGCGAATCATCTCATAGGAAGAGACACCGGTATAAGTTCTAACCAAATGGTCTGTCGGGTTGAGATAATAGAATCAAAAACACGTAGGCAGGTTCTGGATAGCTTATACCTAGTCTGAAGCGCCAAATGCATGGGCATACGTCACATTTACTTTCAGGTGCCAACATGTCCGATACTCGGGCCCTTGTAAGCCCACGATCTCTACTTTCTGTATTTATTTCAAGGAGGAGGGTATGCGGAGTGCTATATGCATCGGCTTATGTTGAATCCAGAAGCACCTTTCGGTAAGCTCGCTGACTTGCAATCGCATAGCAAAGGTTCAACACAGAATACGCCAAGGAAAATAAACCTATCTTCTGGAGTAAATAAAATCTACTCACTGATCCCATCGTGAGTATACTGCCCAAGTGTAATTTCTATGCTCTCAAGTAGTGTGCGTCACAACACACGTCGAGATGCAGTTAATGCTGAGAGCTGTATGTATACATAAAATCCAATCGATATTGAGGTTAATTGAAGTGTACAAGTCTGCGGCTGTTACTTCCTAGGCGTGGGATGTGCCTAGTTAACCCAACAAATCATGGATGTCTATCTCATAGGAATAAAGGTTTATATAGCACGTAAGACTATCTTCGTGTTATCTCTTGGTTTAATACGAAAGCTGAACTCTTAAATACTAAGTTGAGAACCTAATAACAACTTGGATCCAAGTACATCAGGAGGTAAATTATACCAGCACATTTAATAGATGACCCCTACGGCTCTATAGTCATTGGGAGGACATCGGGAAAAGTCAGAAATATGTAAAGACTAATGTTTAATAAAGGATCAATATAGGTCATTGCGCATTCATATTGCTTCACTGAAGACTAGTAAGGATTAAATCGCTCAATGCTTTGTTTGGAATTATCATGTTTTGCTAATACTAAATATACGATACGCTAATGCGGATATCAAAGTGATCATGTAAAATACACATACCCAGAGCACCCCCTCGTGCTACTTTACGCCATTGTCTCGTTACTTGACGCTCAAACTTCCTCCTTGGTGGCATGCTCGACGTTGGACACAGCGGCCTTATCGGTGAAGCCCATATCGGCAGCGTACGTAGAGTGAGGCACCCACTTGGCCGATGTTCTGGGTGTGGTCTCCTCCAACATGCGGTCCACCTGCTCTAGGGTCAAACCCTTGGTCTCGGGAACCAGGAAGTAGGCGTAGACGAAGCAGATACTGCAGAGACCGCCCCAGACATAGAACACCTTGGGACCAAGGTTGCCCTTGTCCGCGTCTACCATGTAAGGAGTAATGACGGCGATGATGCAGTTCCACAGCCAGTTGCTGGCGGTGGAGAGGGTGACACCACGGGCACGCATGGGTAGCGGGTAGATCTCGCCGATGACAACCCAAGCTCCACTAGATATATGTTAGCGTCTACTTGATCAAATGGAATAAAAGTCAAAAGGGTTAGGGATGAACTTACGGGCCCCAGGTGCTAGCGAAGAAGAAGAGGTAGATGCAGATGAAAGCAATCATGGTCTTAACAGCGGCGTCGGCTTGGGTGACTGTACCCAGAATGGCAACGATCAACTGGCAGATAACCATTCCAAGGGCACCCCAGATGAGTAGAGGTCGGCGACCGATCTTTTCCATACTCCAGAACGAGATAGGGGTCGAGCAGACGTTGACGAGTGTGGTGACGAGGGAGATTAAGAATGGGTCCTGAATAGTACCGAGTTGCTTGAAAAATTGAGTTCCGTAATAGAAGACAAAATTAACACCGGTCCATTGTTGCATCATCTGCAGCGAAGTTCCTAGTATAGTTCTCCTGAGGTTGCTGCTACCCTTGAAAATAGAGCCGCGGAAGCAAGTCGTCCAGGTGCTCCAGTATCCTCCCTCAGGGGCAACCGACATCTCGTACTCATGGTTCGCGATGATCTCAGCAAGTTCGTCCTGGATGTACTCGGTCTCGACGGAGTGACCACGTAGGCGGCCAAGTACCTTGGCAGCCCTGTCAAGCTGGCCCTTCTTCACAAAGTATCGAGGGGATTCCGGGAGGACGAAGAGGCCGATGCCGAGGATGAGAGCCCAAAGCATCTGGAGAGCGATGGGGATGCGGTAAGATCCACTGTCGTTTCGGTTTTGGGTAGCGTAGTCGACGGCCGATGCTAATAGCAGGCCGATGGTCACGCAGAACTGATAACCCGAGACGAGGGCACCGCGGATTTTACGGGGGGCAATCTCGGACATGTACAGGATCAGAATTGCAGAAACGGCACCAACACCGAAACCAGCAACAACACGACCAGCCACAATAAGTGATAAGCCAGCCGAGGCAGTCTGAAGAGCAACACCGATAAGGAAAACTATACATCCCCCGATGATAGTAGTGCGTCGACCATACCAGTCAGCAAGGTCACCGGCAATAAGAGCACCTAAGATAGTAGTCAGTGGATTGAATTCTTATACGTAGGTAACTATACCATATTATAAAACAAAGAATAGAGTTAATTCACTTACCGAAGAAAGTACCAGCAGACAGGATCGACGTGATGAGAGACTTATGATCACCAGTGAGTTCAGTAGCACCGGGACCCTCGATTTGGTTGATGAAATAAGGCATCGCCATGACACCGTTGATATAACCGCTATCGTATCCGAAGAAGATACCACCGAAGGCGGCAAAGGCACACATGAGATAGGCCTTGAGTGTAACCGGAGCCTCGACCCGGTTAGGGTCGGTGGACCCCTGGACCACGGCACCTCCCGCCATCGCGAACGAGAGACTTAAGTCGTCAACGTCGGATTGGTAATTGTGAGAGGTTGATTTGCTTGTCGTAAGACAGCTTAGCAATACGACTGTCTACTAAGCACCGGGGAGGTTGTTATATGCTAAGTAGATGAGGTCGGGGAGGGGTGGTGATGGGTAGTAAAGAAAGTAAAAAGAAGAAGTGAAGGATGAGCGACAAGGAAGCGTGTGTGAGAGAGAAGGAGATGTGATACATCAAGGGGAGTCAGATCTTCTTAAATGCGTCGTTGTATGTATGTGTGTGTGTGTGTGTGTGTGTATTGATCTTACCCAGGACCACGGCACAGTTAATTAACCTAACCTAGATCTCTCTCGTCCAAGCTTTCTCCTGAAGACCCCACCTCCACTCCCCAGACGAGATGAACTGAAAGCAAGTTGTCTCCACGTCCCCAAAGCACGAGGACAACCCGCAAAAAAAACCTAGAGCACTCCAGGCCCCAGAAGAGATCCCCTCGGGGTCACGGCCTTGTAAACCTAGCTAGAACTAGCTCCGTCTTTAGTTTAAGTGGATTACGTTTCTGGAACATGGTGAGGTGCCAAAATTTGGGAGGTAGGTTGCATTCATCCCGAGTTTGTTACACGCGTCATGCATCCCACGGCGGTATTCTGACCCCCACAGGATGTTACTCTCTACTTTCGAGAATATTTTTTTGATTGTTTAATGTTTCATTCACCAGTTCATTGATAAAGTTGTCATAATCGTCCTTGTGCTGTAAACCAAATTTACCTTTTATCTATCCCCGTAGGTTTCGAGAATACTAGTCTTCAACAATTGACACAACAAACAGGAAAATAGTTTATACCGTAAACATTTTTAGAAGGACTCGCTTCCTGATACGAACATGCCATGTTCTTTGTTCTTCTCGGCCTAATCCATACCACCACTATCCCATGGGGAACCCGGGGATGCAATCCTGTCATGGTTAATGTCTAAAGATGTCACGTCCGCCATGGAAGAACCAGCGCGAACTCGGTCTAATAGGCTCGTATCAGGGTCGAAAGCAAGCGGAGAAGCAAGGCGGAGTGCAGCGCCAACCCCGACCTAGTCCCCGTACTACGGATGAAGCCCCGAGGTGAAGGAGCCATGTGGCAGGAAAGAAAACGAACAAAAAAAAAAGAAGAGGTCTTTTTGCCTCTTCCCCATACTTAGCTGCTAGCACACACTTACCGATCTCCATCGTCAATCTTCCAAGGAGATGACGAGAACTCCACCAACCTATTGGCCGAGAGAATGCACTACACATTAGGTACGCACCAGTCTTTTCCCACCATCGCCCCTTACCCCAGAAAGGCCCCTTCTTTTACTTCACACCGGTCGGCCCGGTATGAAGTACGGAAGGTTGTCAATATACTACTCTCTGCATCCACGCCGTTCTCCTCCATTGACATTATCTATTCGAAAACGGCCGACATATATGCATACATACACACACACATACATAATGAAGACGGCAGGAGAAAACAAGAGAAAAGGAAAAAGCAAGCGTCTGGTGCTGACTCGGTACACTCGGCTTCATTGTGGAGCCGCGGCGATAGCGTCGGCCGTTTTGTCGTTGGCTCGACGGGGCCCCTTGATAAATGCGGCTCCGCGCCCAAGGTTTTCTCGCGCGGTCATTGGTCAGGAGGCCAGTCGAGCTAGCACATGTTTATTTTACGTGTACCGCGCTCATCTCCTGAGGCCTGTCCGGTTCTAGAAGGCCTGGTCCGTGTACCTTAACCAGTTTAATGCTTATGTCGGATTTTGAGATCAGGGGCAAAAAAAGACAGACAGACAGACGGACACTAAAGAAAAATGTCTGTTGAGAACGTGACTTGATTGATTTTATAACGGTCAATTGGGTGTTTTTATTATTTAGGTTTAGGTACCTGTTTAAGTACTGGGAATAATTAAATATACTTGACTAATAAATCTATAGTATCTAAGATAAGTTTATTATTCCCCATTCATACCTACCAAGGACCTAAACCTGGTATCAGACGATTTAGTATGTACTTTGGTAGCGAAGACGGTCCGACTCGGTCTATTACCTTATCCTGATAAAAACTCTACCGCGACGGACTGATTGGCTCTGCTCGTATGCGAAGCTATCGATAGCTATAGTAAGGGTGTAAGGATCAATTATTCAATTCATCGTCTCTTAACCATCTCCAAGTAGTAATCTTGTCGAATGCAGTATGTATGTGTCTTCTATATATTATGTAACTACCTATTCCATATACAGTCTATACTTCTAAGATCTACCGCACATCTTAATTACGTCATGTAAAGTAAACAGCGTTTACCCTTGTCATATGTCACTACTAGTCTTTTTTTTTTCTTTTCCTGGTCGGATGCCGTAAGCTAGAAATCATTCTAGACTCTTCTCGGCGGTACCGAGCCCGTCCTTGACTAACGGCCGCGCCGAGACGAATAGCGTCTATGCTCAAACTTGATGGGATATTAATTATTAAAAATACAAACTCTATGCGACATTCATCTTCAAATTTATAGCTTAATTTCTCTCTTACATCGGATGCGTTGATTTAGAGTTAGGTAACCGTAGGACATTAATATACGATCGATCACTGGAACATTCACACAAATCACTATTCGGTAAGACACAAGTCTATAAGCAGCAGCAAACCCAATTCTCTTGAATACATAGCGTCCGCCGCGCATAACGCACAGCAATCCGCATTACAACTATACATTGAACGTCAACATACATGCATGGTATTTGATATGTGATTGATATCAACCAACGTCTCTTCTCGTCTCGTTTCGTCTTGTCTTGTCTTGTCTTGTGGCAAATCTGCCCGTCAAATCGTTCCTTATGCTGCCAAGCGAAAAAAATAAATCTTGCCTTCGCGTGAGAAGGTAAAGTGCAAAGTGAAAAAAACATGATCAAAATGATATCCATGCCGGCCGTGCTAGACGCAAGAAAAACAACAACAAAAAAGACATGTTAGAAAAAAAAGGTGATCAGATGGTTTCCCTTTTGAAAAAAAACAAATAAAAAAACGCAGTGCACCTCGCCTTAAACCCGAAAACGCCACGCAAATGCAGACAGCCGAGTATGTAGGTGTATATACTTCATCACCGCCACTGCCCGGCCACAAGTTCACAAGCCACCGGCCGCCATTAATAAAACCAACTAGCGCGTAGCTTAGCCTAGCTTTGAGTCCAGTCCAGTCCGGTCCTCCGTGGGGTCCTCGCCCTCGTATCCCCATCCTTAGTACCACAGTAGCACGTGCACATTAGCAGTAGAACCCCGGAATTTGGGGTTTGGTTGGTCAGTTTTAGTTTCATTTCTTCTTTCCTTGTTCGTTTCGTTTCGTTTCGGTCTTCAAGTCTTCCATCTTCCCTTATCAGACGCAAACCCACTCTGCAAACACGCACCATCGTGCTGTCCGGTCCGCGAGCACCAGGCCGCGCCAGACGCCGCGCTCGGAGCACTTAATGATGGTTTCCCACGTGCCGCCGTCGCTGGCCTCCTCGTCGGCGCTGCGGCCTCCCACGCCGATCCCGGACCTGCCGACGCGCTCCTCTTTCCGCATGAGCCGCAGGATCTTGCCGCCAGGTGTTTGGATTGCCAGCTTTGCCGGCTTCTTGCCTGCGATGCTGCCCGTAGCTGAGCTCGGATTTGACCCCGCCGCACTACTGCTAGTCATGCTCATGGCGCTGGCCGGCCGCGCGAAGGGCACCGGGCTCGTACCTCCTGGGTTGCTGCCCGGTCCGCCTGCCGGACTGGATGGGTGTTGTCGGATAGCGAAGACGAAGGTATTGTTAAGTGCCAACCGTTGACATTGTGGCTGAGCCACGTAGATATCGTGACGCTGCGCGTGCGGCGTCGGGTGGCGAGTAACAAACTCGTAAGGCGGATTATCGCCTGTGTGAATAATCGGCAAGGCGAAAGCGAGAGGGTGCGGGATGTCTTTAATACTATGCATAAGTCCGCGCTTGCCAGCATACACCTTCAAGATGCCGCTGCCCTCGTCACCTGGTAGGAGCGCCTTTACTGTGTACCGTTTTATGCCGCCGTACCAGTCGGCTTGCGCAAGTGCGCGTTTCTTTACTGTTTCGCCGCTTTCGAAGAAGTCGCCGTCTGCGTCTCGTGTGAACCCTTTAGTTTCGACTTCGGCTGCCACTTCGATATCAGGGGGCACGTTGAACTTGATGTGTACCATCTCGAGATCTTCGATACGAGTTAACGACGTATTGTAATCCACCATAGAGATCATCTGTTTGAAGAACGGAGGACAGACGCCGGGTAGGTTGAGTAATGTTTCATGAGCTACAGGTGGGCAAATATGTTGTTGACTATGGCGCTCGGGAATATGAGTCCAACAAAGCTCGACAGGACGGGCGAGGAACCACCAAAAATCGGCAGTCGAATTACCAGCGCTTGAGTATAAGCCCCGACGGGAATTAGTAGGACTTGCAAGACAACAATCCATCATGCGCCATTCGTTATCAATAATAACCGCATTCCACCAATGGTTTGATCGAGGCATTATAGTCGTTTCGGGGATCTCGCCGGGAGTCTTGAGGTAGCCACGGATGACTTCAGAGTGTATACCAATCGCGGTACACATCTCGTGGACGAGAACAGCATATTCTTGGGGACATGCTCGCCTTGTCTGGATCACTCGCCGCGTATCTACATCTCCTTCAAAATCTTCCTCCCAATTCACATTCTCCGCAACCCAAGTGAAAATTGCCCGGAGACGTTGGACGTCACTTTTGTATGGTCTGCATACGTAAGTCGTGGCGAGGGATATGGCTGTCGTCATCGTCGGTAGACTACTGATGAAGCGAGAGTTCTTATCGACTTGGCTCAGATTTATGGCCTGATAGTTGATGGGTGAGTGAACCGGCATTCCATCGGCTCCTTCATCTCCTTCGACGCTCTCATACAGCTCATCGACGGGATCTATCGCCGGGTAATCTAACATTAAGCAACGATCTTTTCGCTCATTGCGCTCGTTCTTACTCAACGTATTCGATCGGTTAACATCTCTCCGTACTTGGACCCAGTCCCCGTCATTCCTGAGCCCCATATCTGTAGCTGGGTCCCGCAATAGGTTTGTGCTACTAGCTCCTGTAATGGCTGATATCCCGAGACCCATGGAGCGCTTAGACGGCGAAACTTGTCCAGACCCCGGGCTCATCGCAATACTACTACGACCACTAGCAACACCGGTTTTTGTTGCCTCTAGAATCCTCTTAATGAAATTTTGCTTCTTAGGTTTAGCGCTTCCAGGCTGCACGAGACCCCCAATAGGCGCAATTCCATCTTCGTTGAAGGCAATTTGTGACTGGGGACGCAAAGCTGATGTAGAGTGACTTGGGTGATACGACACCCCGGTGAACGGTGTTGTTGGGCGATTCGAATCCCAATCTTCCTCGTCGCCGTCTCGGAATCCCAGTGCACTCCGTGCTCGCTTTTGCTTCCTAGCCAGACTACCAGCACTCGTAGCGCTAATTCCGCCCGCGGATACGCCACTCATCAGACTTCGGTTCGTGCTATTTGTTACTATACTTCGATTACCGGAAGAGGCGTCTGTCGAAGTAGTCTTCGTCGTCCCTGTTCTATCCAACTGCTGTCCGATGTCATAGAACGACTTCTGTTTGCGGATGGATTTACGATCTCCAAAGAAGTGATCACCTATCGAAGACTTAGGTCTGCTATATAGGGGGTTCTTAGGCGGCGGCGGGGGTGGGGGACCTGTATCCTCTTCATGATCGCGATGATCAAGGACTCCTGCGCTCGAGCTTTTATGATGCATCTTGCGAAGACGTGTCTCCATTCTTTCAACATAATTGCTTATCTGCGGAAGTGGTTGCTCTGGAAAACTGCTGCTGTGATGTGTACTATCTTGAGGCGAACCACCGTCAAACGATCCGTACCCCGAATCTTGAAACGGCAGACCAATAGATGTTAGCGGTCTCGGCTGCCCTTTCTTCTTTGTTCGATGATGGACCAAGTCGAAGGACTCGGGAGACCATGGGTCTAACGGCGGCTCAGGTGACTCCGCCTCGCGTGACATTCCTAACGCGTCTAGTTGCTCAATTACGCCGTCCATAGCTTCGCGTAATGGCGAAGGGGTAAACCCGTCTACGGCAGGGGAGTGAGGACTCGGGGAAGGGACCCGCGGTGTATGATATCCTTCATGGAGATGTCGATTATCATAAGACGCATTTGACGCGGTCGAATTTCCCCTGGCGATAACGTGACGATGGGGAGGTGGAGCAGGGGGCGGAGGTGAGTCGCGCTCTGCTCCAGGCCGGTACGGCTTAAAACTAAATGACGGCGCCGGCGATGGTCCTCTCGATCCATAGTGTTGCACCGGCGAGGGGGGGATAGGGGAGGGTTCTCGTTGATAGTTGTATGACTGCGGCGGAACTGGGGATGGACCCCTGGAGCCGTATGAATGTATAGGGGGGGCAGGAGATGCGGCTCTGGGCATATATGAACTAGCCTGAGGAGGGGGAGGCGCAGGCGATGGGGCTCTCGATTCGTGCCGCCGAAGCTCAGCTGGTGACGGATCGCGGTCGATATTTCGAATAGCCTGGCGCGTACTATTCCTAAATGAACTGGCCGAATTCTTTCGAGGCGGTGTGTTAGAAAGCTTCCTTATTACATCGGGCTGCTTTATTATCTCGGGCTGTTTCGCGGTTGTGTAGTGAGGTGCTTTCGCGTAGGCCTCAAAAGGCTTTCGAAAGACTCGCGACTTAGATTTCTGCGGCGCATTCGTAGGGCTCGGCGTGTTACTTGTTGTCAATGGACTTACCGACCTGGTAATAGGTCGGAAATCTTGAGGTAATACCTCGACGAAGTTAGACGGGAAGACGCCAACAGTCTTGTTGCGCCGCAATCTGCCAGTCCACCATGATCCATCCCCCGCATTTAGACATTCTATTAAGTCTCCCTCAATAAATCCTAAGTCGTGTTGCGACTAAATAGAAGGTCAGCAAAGTAAACAAAGTCGCCGTGATATCACAAAAAATTTCAAAAATCAAATGCATACTTCTCCTCCCCAAGAATATACGGCTCTACACCAGCACGGAAACCGCGTGGGTAGCGGCGGTGCTGATCCCATTGTGCCGATATTCGAAGTCTTGGTAATCGTCTATTCGCCAGGTTGAAGATGTGGCGTTGGCGTAGGTAAATCAGACAAACTCGGCGAATTTGAGTTTATTCTGAATTCCTGGCGGCGTATTCGGCGGTTGCTGCAGGGTGATGGAGTAAATACGCAGAATACGCAGTTGGGAAAGTCGGTAGAGTCAATAGCATCTAAGGCGGTGTGGTTGCTCGTGGGGACTCGAAGGGATCAACAAGTCGGTGCAATAATAGCAATAATAGCAATAATACTAGCAATAATACGCTGTATTATTATGGCTATTAAGCCGTACTAAGCCCTAAGCACGAGTCAACGGTAGGGATGTTGAAGGTTGCAAACGTAGAAAAAAATAAAATGAAAGCAGTAACGGGAAACTCTGGAGAATGCCAGCACATCAATTTAGATCTTTGGATTGTGATTGGGATGTTCTGGGTGTTAGAGCATAACTAAAAGTTCAATATTAGAAGCTCGGGGCAGTATTGGAACAGGTTACAGTTAGTTTAGGTACCTTGGCGCAACCACCGAATGAAAACAGAGGGGTCTCGTAATCGTTGCCGGGTAACCACTAAGCTTTGAGACCCATAAATTTAGCGGCGCAGGGCGTTTCCTTCCCGCACTTACATTAAGTATGAGTACATACGTCACTATGTACAATATCCAAGGTCTTTGGATAATGCAATTGTACACTAAGGACCTTATCAACATAGAATCAGGATTTACAAACGGAGCATTAATAGCACTCTCTTCTATAGATACTTTAAATTGAAAAATTGAAAAATTGATTAAAATGTTCTTTATAATATCAAGAATATAATTATAACTTTAAATTCAAGTTGATAAATCATCTATTGTTATTAAATAAATAATACACGCACGTACATTAGATACATGATAATGTTGGTATGATGTGAAACCACAACACATGCACAATCATGGAGCAAAGTATGTATGTACATATGATACACCTCACGCACATAAAGCTTAAAGTACCGATACAGCTTTATTGCTAATGGCTGGATGCACCTTGTTTACCCCATATCTGCTCAATTCACAAATCAGAATAACCCTAGCAGAGCTGACAGACCTGGTTCGCATTATATGTACTGAGTACATGCATGTATGTATCTGTAGATGGCACTAATGTACTACCTATGTAAGCCCTGGCATGTAATGTAAGTCACCAGAGGATAGCTGCGTCTATTGTGTGCTTTCTATATGCATCCTTTTCCGCTTTTTTACCCTTTTTTTTCTTTTTTATATATCTTTCTCGGATAGCCATCATGAGAAACATCACGAAGTTACAGGAGAAAGATCCGTTGAGTTTTCCACCCCTGTTATTCAAACGGTAAAGGCTATCTGACGGAGTGATAATCTTATTAAATTTCCTAGATTCGGCACATCCATAGTACATGACTACGGATAGCAACCAGGATAACAGCCAGGATAACACGGATAACACCTGGAAAGCTCCCAATAAGCTCCACGCTACCCCTAAAACAGCAATCTGTTGTTGGTCATAGCTCCCTTTTTTAGAGCTTGTTACCATTTTAGAGCTTTGTTAAACCTTGCGCCCTGACAACCGGCTTCTCCAACAATTATCACAGATTATTATCACTTTCTACCAAAGATCCTCCCTGGCACTGGTTTAATTGCCAGCCATCGCAGCTCTTCCCAGGTCTTCCTAGCAACCAGACTTGAATCCCCGTGTTGCTCTTTTTGCTGTTTGTATAATACATTAGCAACCCATCTTCCGCATTGCGCCGTTTGGTGTTAAAGATCCTGTGTTGCTTGGTCTTTAGCTACCTCTCTACCGCTCTAAACTGCGAATCTCTATATTTACTTTCGTTATACTAAGCTTCAACATTTCGCAATCCTACAAGCTATAAGACGAGTTACAAACACTAAAGTCCTAGAGCAGGTGCTCTGCAGGCAACATGGGGTCCGAGGCTATTGCAAGTCATTATCAAGTCCTTGAGGAACTTGGCCGTACGTGTTTACCTCAGTTCTAACCACGCCATAACCTAGCATGGGGACAGTGCGCGCTGACCTTGTATCTCATGTAGGTGGTAGCTTTGGAATAGTATACAAGGGCATTGAGAAAGCAACAGGCGAAGTTGTTGCTATCAAGCACGTAAGTGGCACATTGATCGCAACCCCTGGTACATTAGTGGAAGCTACTAATTCGGATCCTCACAGATTGACCTTGAGTCTACCGATGATGATATTCAAGATATCCAGGCTGAGATCTCAGTCTTGAGTACCTGTGCTAGTTCCTACGTAACGCAGTACAAAGCTAGCTTCTTGCGGGGAACCAAGCTCTGGATTGTCATGGAATATCTTGGAGGTGGATCCTGTCTTGACCTGGTAATTATATCTCGCTACGCTGCGCACGGTTTCTAAATCTGACATATCATTCTTGCTAGCTTAAACCTGAGCCATCAGTCTTTAGTGAGACGCATATTGCTATAATATGTCGCGAACTACTTCGCGGTCTAGAGTACCTCCATACTGAGGGAAAGATCCACAGAGATATCAAGGCTGCCAATATCCTCCTCTCAGAGTCGGGTAAGGTTAAGTTAGCCGACTTTGGTGTCGCAGCTCAACTTACAAACATTAAATCGCAACGTAATACATTTGTCGGCACGCCCTTTTGGATGGCACCCGAAGTCATTCAGCAGGCTGGCTATGACTTTAAAGCTGACATATGGTCTTTGGGAATTACGGCTATTGAAATGGCAAACGGAGAGCCGCCCCACGCTAATCTCCACCCCATGAAGGCTTTGTTTCATATTCCAAAGAACCCACCCCCTAGACTAGAGGGTAATTTCTCAAAAGACTTCAGAGACTTCGTATCACAGTGCCTCATGAAGGACCCGGATCGCCGGCCGTCAGCGAGGGACCTGCTAAAGCATCGATTCGTCAGATCTTCGGGAAAAGTGGAAGCGTTACAGGAGTTGATCGAACGACGACGCAAATATGATGCCACAAAAACCAAGAAGAGAAGCAGAGCTTTCTATCAAGAAACGTTACGAGACTTCTCTCCAAAGGACGAGCAAGATGAATGGGTCTTCGATACAGTCAGGTCTGTTGCTCCTAAACAGCCAACTGTCAAGTCTCGAAAACCATCCTCAATCTTCTCTACTGAAGAAGCATTGCGTAGGATGGACATCAAGGATGCCCCATTGCAACCTTCGTCACCAGCTCCAACCCCGGTCACGATGCGTAAGGCTACAACGCGAAGACGATCCTCTCTGGCACAGATTTCTAATTCTGGATCTGTACGTGGTCCACCAGCCCCTGCAATTAGACGTCCTCTCCAGCCAGATATGTCGTTCGGTAACTCGGGATCGTCACAACGTCTTTTCAGAAGAGTGCCTTCCGACAGTTCCACATCTGGCCAGGTGGCTTCTTCAGACTCGATCCACATACTCTCGGATGAGAATAAGCACCCTGGCGCTGTTGAAGCAACCAGCAAGGAAGCTGTGCTCGGACGGCGCCTATTCTCTAAGGCTGTCGAGCCTACACTTGCAGAGCTGCATGCCCAGACATCGAGTATGGCTAAGCGGGAGGCACTAGGTAAGCTATCTGACGCTCTTGCACTATTAGACTCGGTTGATCCAGAAGGCGCCTACCATCTTTTGCGCAATTTGAACTCTGCTATTTCGCAAGATGCCAAGTTATCCAATGCATTCTTGCAGCAGAATTCAGGGGTTTCCATGAAGGGATCCGATCCCACAACACCACAGGGTACGGGTACGGTGGTTATTAAGAGTCAAACACCAACCAGCCAAAACCAAAGTCCAACAAAGCTTGTCCTGGCGGCTAGCAACCCTCATCTGAAGAGTCACAAAAGACGACAGGGGAGTTTGACAGTGAATGGTGTTGGTAGTCCTGAGAAGAGGGAGAGAGACCCAGAGAAGGTCGCACTACAGGCAAAGTATCCTGGCCGCGATGCTCAGCCAGGTATGGAGCACTGTAAGCAACTCTCTGATGTCTTGTACGGTCGATGGGTAGATGGATTGCGCTTGCGTTGGCCGGGTATCTAGTATGGATGCTAGGAGGCATCACCAACTGGGGAAGCCAAAGTTGCTGAGAGCGAACGTACTTGAGAGCGAACGTACTTAGGAAGTTGATATGGTGTAAGATCAGGATGGGTCTACAGGACTCTAGGGACGTAATTGGACTTAACAGCAAACGACGGCGCAAAATAACGAACAGCTCGCGCTGAACACGGATGAATGGGGAATATGGACATGGCAGCTTGGACTTTGATGCGTTTTCTGCTACTAGGGGATCGGGGATCAGGAGGGCTATAATCTTTCTGCATTTGGGTCCTTTATTCTAACAACTGCTATTCGCATTGCAAGGGGTGTTTGATGCGTTCATGTTTCATGTACATCATTGTAAAAGGTAAATAGGTACAAGGTTCGGATAGGGATAGGCAGTTCAACGGTCAGATAGCTTGGTATCAAATACGAACTATAGTTTAAGAACTCAATCTGACTTAATATTGAGATATAAGATACGAATGTAGTAGGCAAATTTATAAGTCACTTAGCCCCTTTTAGACACTACATATAATCAAGTCACGAAATCTGATTTAGTAAGTGCGATTTTCTGGTATTCACTCTAAACTAATATCTCATATAGAGAACTGTCTTGCAAACTGCTTAAGTACAGTTGCCTCCTTTTTTTTTCTTTTATCTTTTATTGCCCGTATCAGAACAGGCTACATGTGGTGAACCCTTTATGCCATCGCGATAAATTCTCAAAGAGTCTAGACTTTAGATAGTCGACTTTTAAACCGCAAGTGACAGCTTACCAGTGCCGTAGTCAATGTTCCAGACGGGTTGAGAGGTCAAAGAATCCAGAGAACCGAGAGTGTGTGGGCAGGTGGCCTGATTGGCGCCAGCTGCAAGGGTGCACACCTCGTCGTAGCCTTTGGTGCATACCGGGTTGGCGATGTTGTACAGGGCGGTCTTGGTGTTGCCGCAGGTGCCGAAGAAGTTCATGCCGTTGGCAGCAGAAAGAGCAAGGCGGCCCTGGGGTTCCTTGATGAGGTTGGCGCAGTCGGACAAGGGGGCATTCTCCCAAGTGGCGTCGATTCCACCACCGACGGTGGGCGCATCGCGGGCAGATTTGCCGGTGACGAGGTAGTTCCAGGCATCGTAGGAGATGTCGTGAGCACCACCCGAAGTGTCGACCTTGAGTAGATGCACGCTGCGGCCGTTGGCAGAGACTTTGACGCACAGGTTGTCGCAGTCAACGTTGGAGGGCCAGTACGCCACACGGTTGGTGTCGATCTTGCAGCCTAGCACGCCAGCAGATGACGAGTAGCGGTCGTGAGGCGTCACAGAGATGCTGCCGCGAGCCCGAACAGGGGCAGGGATGGTCGAGGCACAGACGGCAACGGCCGAGGCGACGAGGGAGAGTGTCTTGCTGAAGAGCATCTTGGGCAACGATAGTGATGGGTAGTAATAATAGAGAAAGACTGTAGTGAGGACTAAGGAGTGTCTGGGTTGGATGAGTAGTCTGATGGATCTCCGACTGAACAAACGGCTCTACATTGGGGAGAAGCAGATGTTTATATAGAAATATACGGTAGGTGAGGGGATTCCGTCGTAGATGCCTCTGTTATAAAACTACAGCGCTGTTGCCCTCTTTCCGACATTAGAGTCACTAACATTCACTCGAATCACAGTAGATTACCACGATACAGCCTAGCAACGGGAAACAACTACGCCCTTGTACCCAATCAGCGCCCCAATACTGTCGGTACAACGTTCGTACCTGCACATAACCCTTTGTTCACATGGCAAGAAGTAGTTCTAGAAGTGCAATCACGGTACCCTAGGCGGTCCGAGGGTACACCTCTTGACAGGTGTCAGTACAGATTCACTTGAAGTTATTTGCTAGCTAGAGCCTGAATAGCCTCATTAAGATATATGGCAGGCACGGACTAGGAAAGTGCGGCAGGTGCTCTAGCAAAAGATCCCAGTTAAGTACCCTTCGGGGATGCCCGGTCTTTACAACTACGATATTCGCTACAAATGGAATACTTTTTTTTTCTTCTCTGAGATAGGAACAGGAAGGTAAGATAGTTATGGGAAGGATCGTAGCCGTTTTTGAAATGCCGACTTGGATTATCTTTTCTTAATGTACATAGACTTAGACAAGGAGTACCTGGTGAGGGTTTTATTTATTTTTATTTATGTTGACTTATAAATCTAATAACTACCAGCCTACCAGGTACTTAACAGATCTATAGTTATAGTATTAATAGAAAAAGCCTGTAATATTTCTTGCATAAGACACCAGTCCCAAGTGTCTAGGGTCGAAGTAGGGAAGTAGTACAAAGGAGCAACATATCAAAGCCCATATTCGGATCGGTAAGCCGCAAAGAATGGTATTATACTATCACGTTTTGAACTTTATTAATAATATAAAAAGATCTGCGTAATGCAAACAATACCATAGGTTACCAGTTCTTTTCCCATCTACCAACACGTGGTCTAGATCTTGCAGATAATTGCAGGGCTATCCATCTATCTACGGCGCAACACCAAATAAAAGGTACCTTAGGTACATATGTATGTCTATATGTAACTATGTTAATATAGTAGACATAATATGCGCGCATGTTAATATAAGCTTATTTTTCTGCAGCGTGCATCGTTACTTCAAATATATATGTCCTTTCCACAAACATGCCGAGCTGTTTTGTATGTAACGGCGTTAGTTACCCCCTGTCTGCCCTACGTACCTACATACATTAAAAGCACCTAACGCTAGAGGACCCTGTCGATCTCTTTGTTACATCGTACCTACCAGGTGACGTATGTATCTACAGACGGCAGCTTTGTTAGTTGTGAACCTTATCTAAACTCAAATCTTGCAGAGATGGAACCATTGAATAGTCGGAATGGACCGGCCGTCTTAGCTTTCCACTGCAGGAACGGATTCGACAGGGTTAGTTTTTCCGTTATTGCGTTTGATACTTTAATTATTTAACAATTGAAGCTCTTATGCTTCTATCCGATATCAACTTTTCCACTACCTTACCTAAGGTAATCTGTATCTATGTACCACCAGGCCTTCCGAATTCTATTCAAAGGGAAAACGTTTAAACTTCATCTACCTCTAGTCAACTATTTAACTCAATCTTTTACCACATCTTCCCTGCTAATACATGACTAGAGGGATATAATTACGTATCAAATTGCATTTCAAAGGTTCTTCTCATTCTGTTTCCAAACGTCAAGAGTAACAAACTTTTCGGATGCCTCGAAGCAAGTCACCAAACCCAAGATTATATTGTCTAATTCATATCTTGATATTAATGCGTAGCAAACCAGAAATGCAAAATTCTATCCGTCACGCAATCCAAGGTCCTGTATTACCCAAGTTCTATATGAAATGACAGCATCCAGGGTATCTTTTTCCTATGTACTCTTGTGGTACAAACAGCCGCAATAGATGATAATACATCTTTATTCCCGAACCCAGACCCAGATCCAAACCCGAAATAACTTGCTCCATGCCCAATCAAATCCAATCTATCTTTTCAGAGGATGTTCCTTTTCCGCTTTTTCTTTTAACTTGTCCTCTACCTCCCTGCTAATCTCGCCGTCGGCAGGGATACCGTTGTCCACAGGGTACTTTAAGAAACCCTTCTTTTCGACCTCACGGATCTTCTCCATGAATATATCCGCCATCATGAAGTACCCTGAACTAGTAGGGTGAATTTTGTCGTGGCCGATGTCTTCGGGCCTAGGCCGGCGAGGAAGTTCCTGGTCGTAATGCATTTCTGCCAGCGCCACCGGCTTCCCCTCCCGGATTAGATCGGTAGCTGCCTGTCGGATCTGGGCATTGGCGCTCTTCATACACGGCTCGAACTCCATTCTCGGGGTCGTTACGATGGTCGACATGATTACCGTAGCCCGCGGCGAGGCTTCTAGCAGATACTCGACTAGATCGCGCATTCGTGACATGATGTTGGCGGGGTCGTCTTTTTGGAAACAATCGCTGGTACCGACCTGTATAAGCACGAGATTCGGCTGCAAATATGGCACGGACTGCTCTGCGTGTTTGCGAACCTGTCTAATCCGATTTGCGCTATAGCCTTCAACATCGTTGTCGAGAAAGTTGCCGAATCGATTGAAGCCGACGCAGTTGACCGGATTACCCCGTGACGTGAGCTCATCACGAAGATGCTTCCGATATCCTCTATTACCCACCGATTCTTCGCCGCGCGTGACTGATGCACCTAGGAACATGATGCGCAAAGGCGTTCCGCCCGCTATAATGCCATTAGGCGATGGTTCTCCTTTTCCATGGGCGAGGAGATGCCATTGGTACATAACATCAACGTCGACCGTCCGTATGAAGAAAAAGACTATGAAATTTATACATGTTAGTCTAATTGTGGATATGCGGATCTTCGCGTCGCTGGAAACGTACTTATCAATGACAATGCGACTACGGAAGCGCCCACTAACCTATAAATATTCGGCATTGTAACCAGACGGCGACCACGAATAGTTAAAACAGTAGAATACTCGCTCTACAGTCTCGTGAGTGGTTTTCTCATAGTTTATTGATGTCATGATTTCGATTCCACACGTAGGAAATATAATAATCTGACAATATCTTCTATTATTGTTGCCTAGATTTATTTTCCAGTTTCAGATAATTCTACCGTTTCCAAATGCTAATCTTCCCCTTTTTTCGGTAACCAAACCCACGAACAGTCGGCAAAGACGGCACGGGTTGTACTTACGTCACGCACCACACCAACACTTGGCGGTCGCCACAAGTGTAGAGAATCGTCGCCAGTGAGCTAGGGAGCCTCCAATCTCGCCAATAACGAGGCTGCTATACTTGGCCTGCACGTGCGTGATGCGACCCCAGCCCCAAATCCTACATGCTGGTTATTAACGACGTCGTAAAATATCTCCTTTTCTCTCCATGGCTTAGTCGCCCAGCACGGGTTTTATTACTTCGTAATTCGCGGAGACATACGAGGCGTAAATTTCTTGTGCGACCCTGTTCTTACTGCTACTAACGTTAAAAGAGAAAGATCTCCGTAGGAAGGAGATTCTTTTATTATCACTTTCCTGGGCACGAATGTTGGTTGGTATTAGGAGCATTCGTTCTCCTTTCACTACATATCATGTATGAATCTATTGATCCATATTTATCCAAACAATTGGTGTTCGACACTAAAGTCTCACGAATTATCAAAAATACCAAAACTGAACATATATGTTCAATGCGCCCGCCCCGAACGCATGGCTTGGTCTGTTTCATCGTTTACATCCGCAACATCGTCTTCGTAAGTTATAGCCTTACTCGTCAAGAATGGTTGGAGCGTCTCCCCAAAATAGCTGCCTACTACGAACCTGTACTGCACGGTTTCAGCCTCCTTTGCCAAGCCGAGATCCAATAGGAGATCGATAACGTCGTACTTAGCCTTGTCGATCTCCGCGCCGTGGCACTCATAAATCATCCGCCACACATTCTCCTCCGGGGCGGTGGCGGCGAATTGTACGATGCCAGTACAAATTCGGGCGTGCGTTGATACCCAGCGGCCATCTAGCGAACCGGCTGCCATGCAGAATTCAACTGTTGCCTTGGTATTTTTCTCTTCTACATTTTCGTCGCTATAGCAGTTGAAGTTGTATGCGCCAAGCGAGTTAGTATTTATTAGGTTCGCGACTGCGCCGTGGCTGCGACTGCTGAAGAGTTGTATGGCCCCTTGTAGGATATCAGGATGGGTAATAGGCTCCAATGGCTGGCCGGAACGGTGAACTTCGTATGTATTGAAGGGTATAGTTCGTTCCAGAGAAAGGACGATGTTAAGCATGTTACGCGGTAACGTGCGTTTGAACTCGGTCAAGAGTCTTTTTGGTCGCGCTTTATTGATATACTCTTGTATAGGGATGTCTAGCTTGTCAACGGGCTTAGCTTCTGTTTGTTCTGCCTTTTCTCCTTGATCGAGTTGAGCCGTTTCGCGCGGATCTTTGCGCCGTCTATTGTAGTGGCACGAAATAGGATGTATTTGCTGTAGGATTGGGTTACTGGCCCAGCAAACGGCAGCCATTTTTACAAAAGTTGGTAAGGGGACCGAACTGGATCCTGCGCCGACGAGTACGCGCATTCCACAGAATGGCGGGACCGCAGCTCGAAAAGTAGCACGTAGCATGTTGGTGACAGCCTCGACTTCTTTGAAGCTGGCTTCGGCGGCATACATCAGCGGTGACTGGACCTCTAGGTCGACATCCCAAAGGCCCTCGTATTCTGGCCGGGGTCTAGAGTCTTTCTTTACGGTGGCCTTGCCGGATTTGATCTTCCATTCTTGGTACTGACTTAATACGGGATCACCTTCTACGGAGACAACCTCGCCACGGTAAGATTGAGGGAGTTCGGAAAGACAGTTTTTGATTGCATACGATACGCGGCGTATTATCTCAGCTTTCATACCATCCAAGTTGTTGTAACTGTGCATGGTAAAACCCGGGTTCCCTTGGGGCGACATGTCAACTACAGGGGCTAGGCGTGGATCATTGTAGATGCCGACCGGGCGGAGGCTGAAGAAGTATACGGCTTCTAGCTCGACGCTGAAAGTTAGAGGATGCATATCGGCGGGAGAAGTGGTTGTTTAGTCGGATAAGTAACTAGTGTTGGGTGGGAGGGGCTTATAAAGTATTCGATTGGAGATGTTGGTCCTAGTGAGTACCTAGATAGGCTATTTTCATGTATGGATAGCTCCTTTCTTGGGTGTGTTCTGGTATGTTCTGATTTATTAGAAGAAGGGGATATTTAGATATATTAACTTGCTGCGTAAATGGCAAAGGGCTTCACTACCGTAGCTTTGAACTCAACTATAACCATCATAGTGGCTAGACTACAAGTTTATGTTATTATGCGATAGCTTTACTCTGATGAACAATGCCTAAGCTAATAGGCACCAGAGGATAGTACATGAGCATAGTTTTTCTTTGTTCTAAGCTCATTATAATAACATAACGTAATTGCATAGACTAATGGTCGAAGTCACCGCCTGTGCTGTTGTTTGTCATTATATTTAGAGTTCTGCCATGGCATTGCTCGGACTCCTATAGTAAGTTATTCCTTTAGATATCTACTGTGCTAGAGTAAGATAGTTTCAAGTATAGTCTTAGACCTATAGAAAGGATCAAACCACAATGCGAAAGTCTTATCCTAAGCCACCCGACATTCTCCCATTTTGAATCTAAAATGAAGGCTTATAAGCCTGATTAACAATATAGGTCTTTAACAAATGCCAAAAGGTCGTGTTGGTACGACTTAGCTAATACTCCTCCGACCCTCCTAAGAACTGCTTTGACTGCATCCTTATACTATCCTTATGGAGTATTGCTAGGTCCTGGGGTTCGATTCCCTAGACGACTACATATCTTTTTTTTTTTTTTTTCCGAATTTCGAACTTCTACATCACATAAGCCGATAAATTATTACTTTTACGTTTTCGAGATATAATAATAGTAAACTGAATTTTATGTTCAAAATAATAAGGAAGCCTTAGTAGCTAATGTAAATATTCAATTGATAAAGTATAAGTTAGGTACCTAAGGTAAGGTAAAATACGATGCGGCTCAAAAGTATTCGTCGTTGCAGCTGAAGGAGCAGTTACCCTACCCCTAACCCAGCACTACTAGACTACATGTAGTGGAGTTACATAATGTGGCCCTGTTAGGTAGTGCTGGCCCAGCTTCCATTTCTCAGGGTGCATAAGGAGGTACATAAAGAGGTACCTTGGTAATGCAAGCCCCACTACGCGCGAGAAGGTCGAATCTATCCGCCAAACGTCAAATGCACGTGAATAGAAAAGATACAGTACAATACATCAAAAACTCGATTATCTACAACTTCATTTAGTAACGCGATCGTGAAATTTATGAAGCTGAATTGAATGTGCTATTATAGTGCTTAAGGGTTTCTAGAGCGGTTTGCGGTAGGAAGCCCTAAACGCGTCTTCACTTCTCACTAGAATACACCAGGCCAGGGTTCGGACCAAGCTTCACTCAGTTCAATATCTATGAGCCTGCCCAGAGAGTTACAAAATTATGGAAAGCTTCCTTCGAGAATGGAGGCAAGACGCCTTAAATAAAGCACAGTATGAGTCTGCTATTTTCATTGGGGACAAACTTTTGGCATTAACCAGTAGGTTTGATATTTGTTGTTTGTATACGAAGTTCATGCTAAACTTGTCTTGTAGATGACGACAATGACGCGTTTTGGCTGGCCCAAGTTCATTTCGCTACTGGGAACTATACCAGAGCCCAGACCTTCCTATCTAAACAGGACCTTATTTCCCGGAATCCCTCATGTCGATACCTGGCCGCTCACTGCTTCATTAAACAATCTCGGTTTGATGAAGCTCTTGTGGTGCTTGGTGAACGAAATCCTACACACTTGATTTCTAATCCTGCAACTAAGCGCAAAATTCAGCACACGGGTACACGTACTGCCTCTCATCATGGAAGAGGCGCCACCAAAGCTCACGAGCGCAGAGATGGGCTATCAGAAGAAGAAGCAGCTAACAAACGCTTCGAAGCTGCTATGTGCTTTCTACGAGGTATATGCTATGCCAAGCAGAACGCATTCGATCGGGCGAAGGAGTGTTATAAAGATGCTGTTCGCATCGACGTCCAATGCTTCGAGGCATTTCAACAGCTAATGAAGAATTCACTTATGTCTCCCGATGAGGAATGGCAGTTTTTGGAGTCTCTGGATTTCGATGCTATTAATGTCTCTGGAGACTCATCTTCCTCTCAGGAGGCTGCCGAATTTACGAAGATGCTCTACACTACCCGACTCTCCAAGTACAGGAACCCAGCATCTTTCACAACTGCTTGCGAGACTCTATCTACACACTATAACCTCGCCTCAAACCCTGACCTGCTACTTGCCCGAGCAGATTTACTATACACTCAATGCAGATACAAAGACGCGCTTGCAATTACCGAGTCTGTGCTTCAAGAAGACAAATACAATTTCAGCATATATCCCTTACACTTAGCCTGCTTGTACGAACTCAGGATGAAAAACGTACTCTTCCTAATCTCGCACGACCTCGCCGACACACATCCGGAAGAACCCTGCACATGGCTTGCCGTTGGCATTTACTACTTCGCCATCGACAAGATCGCCGAAGCCAGGCGCTACTTTAGTAAAGCTAGCATGATGGATCCGCACTTCGGGCCGGCCTGGATCGGATTCGCGCATACGTTCGCGGCCGAGGGCGAGCACGACCAGGCTATATCGGCGTACTCTACCGCGGCACGGCTATTTATGGGTACGCATCTGCCCCAGGTGTTCCTGGGGATGCAGAACCACGCGCTCAATAACATGACTCTGGCCGACGAATTCCTCAAGACGGCCTACGGTCTCTGCAAGACAGACCCGTTACTGCTCAACGAGATGGGTGTTGTTTATTACCATCAAGACCGACCTCAGGACGCTGCCACGCTCTTCCTAAAGGCTCTCGAAGTCGCAGAGGACATCGACTCGGAACCTAATGCTTGGATCTCAGCACGCATTAACCTGGCACATGCATACCGTCGCGCCAAGCGCTACGAAGAGGCGCTAGATCAGTTCGACGAGGTCTTAAGACAGGGCGGCAAAGACGCGGCTATATTCGCGGCGAAGGGCTTGATATACATGGAGCAAGGAGGGAAGTTCGACCTGGCTGTCGAAGTGCTGCACCAGGCGCTCGCCATCCACCCCCAAGACCCCATCGCGACGGAATTATTAAACAAGGCGTTGGACGAGACGGCTAGTCTGTTACCTTGACATTGCATGTAGCGGCGTGGTGAGGCCGGTCTGAATAACTTATGAGAGCAGTGATGAGTAATACCTACCTACATAGGTAGTCTTTGTAGGCTGCGAAGATGTCTCGGATGAGAATGACTAATGCTATGCTTATGCCGTCTTATGCTCTCTACCATTACTTCTTTGTCTGGACGACGTCTTTCCTTTTTTGAAAATTTAGATGGCGTGCGTTGCTGACCGCCTATGTATGTATATGATCTGTCGGCCCGTGTCTAGATAATGTATGTATGTACCTTGCATGAGAGGCTTGCTGGCTTGCTGGCTTGCTGTAGGAGGTAGGTAACTCATCGATCGTGGCGTAGCATGGCGCATCTGCCCGAGCTGACGGATCGACTTATTTTGAAGATTGTAATTTAATTATAGTTGGCGCGTCCATTTCTCGTCGGTTATTTAGGTATGCATATCTTAGGCATGTATGTAACCGTGATTGAATGAGTGGCTTATTGTTTTATGTTTTATGTCTTATGTCACTTTCCAAATCCCGAATTGTTATTTCTATCTAGGTAACTGGTGTAGTGTATTTCTTAGGAATTGAGCGTGTGCCCTTATGTATTGCGCGTCACGTTAATTACCATGCCCTTGCGCCTTGATCGATACGTGATAATGATTATCATTAAATTTTTATTTTTTTTAAATTCCCCCCTAAGCCCGCGGACAGGGAGACGGAAGAGCGGTCAAGGTAAAGGAAATAATTGCTCGGCCAATATAACATAGAGCTCGGGTAAGTTGTAATATGTACATACTTATATATTGATAAAATTGGTGAGATGATGATGATGGCTGGCTGATATGTCGCGATTGCTTCGACCGTGCCATCTTACGGCGACGATGTCGGCTTTGTTGGCTGGTGGTCACAATTTGGGCTATTTGTATGTATATATGTAGGTATGTATGTACCTATCACATTGTGCCTTAGGTACCTAACCTATATAAACTTACATACCGTAGTAGCTAACTAAACTACCTAGTCATGAAGTCATTAGATCATCGTTATGCTTTCCGTCGCCTGTTATACCCCCTAAAATTAGGAGGCCCAGATCTTAGTTGACGGTATATGTATTGGGGGGACCCTAATTATCGCTGTATGTGCTACATTGCACATACATAGGGTAGGTATATATATACATATATACATGCTGCCATGTGGGAAGGCCGGGGTTACAATTCCTCTGTTCATTAATATGTAACGCTAGGTAGCCCGAGCCGTTTTTGCGCCGCGTGGGGGCGAGCAAACCCGGCCTTGCTGATCTGTTGTTGATCACCTCCGAGTCCGGACTGGAAGTGAATCGTATGTATGTAGGACTCGATTCAAGATAAGTTCAAGATTACCTAGGGTTTCGAGCGTGGTATCCTCGTTAGGCCTCAAAACGGCATCTTCTTAGGAGCGAGAAGCCGGGAAGTGATGTGGTCGTTAAGGCCGATTAAAGTAATATGTAGGTTAGGCATTTTTCTTCGCCCGCAACGTGTTCTTGGGACGTTGGTGGGCCATCGTCGCATCGGCAGCCAAGCAAGCAAGGGAGAGAACAACGATCTCAGATAAAGGGGTTCATTCCTTGCGTGATTGCGTCGAAGCTACCTACAGACCTAATGGTCAATCGTCAGCGGTACTGGTAAATAATTGACCCAATATTATCTGCCTTGCAAATCCCGCTTGGGTTTGCTTGTCATGAATATGTGTTTTAGCCTAGCTTGTCGTATTGACGAAAGTAGGCTTCTACATCTACTATAGTAGTGAAAGTTTGTGCCATGTGAAAGATAGCATGGGTTATCCTAGCATCCTCTATTTATGTAATGAATACATTTTTAAAGTTGATTTTTACGTAGCAACTTGAGGTTGTGGATAGAGAGAAAAAGGGGACCTAGCGTGATATCGATCAGCACTCTATTTATCCTATACACTAGTGGCTGAGTGGTAAGTAGTTCTTTAGTATATTAGGTAGTTAGTTATACATATAACTATATGATGTTAAACATGCGGGATCTGATGGAAGCTATGTATTCATCACATTGTTTATTACGACTTCATCCTTCGTCTCGGTTTAAGTATCCCCACAGAAGTATTCTTCATATGGGGATAATGGGGGATTGGTGGGGATTCTCATCCTACCTAACCGTCCCAAGAAATGGAGTTGCGGGAGTGATCCGCGGCGGGGCCGGTCTTCATCTTATGAGACTTTCGTTCGCTCGTCACGCCCTGACCGAATCTTTTCTGTGCACGTTACATAGTAAAGACCCTCTTCTATGTAGTTACTGCGTAGTAAAAAGGGCCGGCCCGTTGTGCAGTCATTTCCATAGGTTCCGCACAGAAGGAACTGGACTCAATTGCTACATATGTCACAGTAGGTAGCAGTTGTTGGGGCTTTTACTCATTATTCAAGGGGCTCGCTTAGTTACGGGACTTACCGTAGCCGTTCGAAAATGCCTCGATTTTATCAAAAGTGAGGCGTCCATGTTTTCACCACGCCGCGTCTCACAATTTGCTTCAAGGTTAGATTCCTGAGTAGATATGTAATGTATGGAGGTACTTGAGTAGATTTAAACTGCGATGATAGATCGAGTAAATATAGATTAAATATGTACCTATATGCATAGTAATACGACTGCATGGAGGAAGCAGATAGGATTTTCGGGTAAAAGAATGGTCATTTTACGTGCACTAACCTGCCGAATTCGGATGCCCCGGAACACGATCACAACTGTTGTTTATGATAGTATCATGATTGAATATTTATGGGGGGCTGAGTTAGTAAAATACTATCTACGACCTATTGGGAGTTTTACTGGTCTGATAATACAGAGTTATGAACGATATCGAACGGAGTAGTAGTAGAGATCTAAGTGTGTCTTGTAAACATAGTATAATTGAGGACTGGTTACACCAGACAAAAGTCGAACACCAGGAAGGTTTCGGCGCTGATATGCGTGATCTATATGCAAGGAGTCGAAGTCTTCGCGAAATTGCCACTTTATCGGTGAAGAGGCAATGTCGTCTTGTCGGCCGAAGGCGGAGAGAGAAGGTATAAAAAAAGACGATTAGGAGGCTCAGAATCTGCAGTAAGATAAGATGATGAGATGAGATGAGATAATCCGTAGTGTAACTTAAGGATTGTTGTTGGCGGCGGTCATACTCATAAGGCAGGAGAATATGTATTCTTGGGCGTCGACGTTGCAATAAACCGACTGCTACATTACCATCTTAATTGTATCTCATGTACTCTTTACGAATAGATTTGAAAACTCGTCGTATTCGTTAAAGAAATGAGAGTCCAGCCAAATTCAACTTTTGATACCACACAAGTAGAACTCTCCATGCGTTTGACACGCCTGAGTCTCCTCTAAAGGGGTTAGCGGAAAGACCGAATCTACATACCAAAAACATTAAATATTAAAAATACCCCTAATTCATTCCACGCATTTTATAGCCTTTTTTTCACGATCGTAAACAAAAAGTATATTGATGTGCATCTTTTTGCATACGCCACCGGACCCGACATTTGTCAATTGGGTATGGAGGTATGGTAGTTAACACCGTTTAAAAAAAATGCTGTGTGGCTGGGCCTGGAATGTCGAATTTTATTAATCGTTAAAGGTATTAAGAAAGAAAAAAAGAAAAAAAAAAGACCCCTTCAAAACGTAAATCCCAACGAATAGCGGGGTATGCCCCTTTTGAGTGCGGGGACTAGGAAGGTACTACTATGGGATGTATCCCGATCATTCGAACTTACTCTCGATGAGCTTCTTCTTATAATACCCCTGATCCTTGCTGGGGATCGCTTTTTAAGACGTCGGTTATCTGCCCATGTCAAATCGACCGTCATATGACCAAAATAAGCTATTATGCATCTTTTTACTTTTTCAATATGTCATATTTTCTTCTTGTCCCCTTTCCCACCACCTTCACCTCTAAATGCGAACCATCGGTCAAGACTTTGAACCCTTAAAAAGGTAATTAGTATATCCACCCCTGAGCTTAGCAGAATCGAGGATTGCCTGTCGATCCAGTATATATGCTTCTAGAACAATAGAAGAAAACTGTAAAAGTGGATTTTCTCTAGTCTCGTCTCTGCACTCGACATACATCCGCGGTCAACCCTATCCACTGAAGACACATCTGTTCGGATTATGGTGCATATCTACTGCATATACATATAAATGGTAGTGTCAAGTGATCCACACGGTTTACCAACACGTACATGCACAACACATGGGCATCAACTAGCTGCAGAGAGCTGATTGACCAGTCGTCCAATAGAATAGTGAGACCCCTGTGCTGGCAAACTTTGCCTGTTAAATCGGGGTCAAAGCGTGCAGACAACTAGTAAGTGCCCAGCGCTGCCAGCCTACTTTAATAGGGCCAAAATATCCCGTAAACGACCAGCGAAGAACGAACCCCTTATACTATCCTCCAATAGAAGCAACGAATTCTTTGTTGTTGATATTTAGTTGTGATGGCCCTATGGCCGCAGCAGCTGCGGCCATCATCATAAACGTGATCGGTGATTGGAACTAGCGGTGGCTAATGCCCCTTTCTACTAGATCGTCCCGGGTTCTTGGATTATTTACAATTCTTCGGATATATGTTGTGTCCAACTTGGACCGCCTCCACCTTCATTCTCGTATACTAGACCCCATCCCCATGGATTCGTGAATCATAATACATACATACAGGCCGCTTGGTATTCTGCCAAGAGAGAGAGAGAGAGAGAAATATGTAGATAAACTATGATCCCACAGGAGTGTGTATTCAGAAAATAAGGGTTTAGACACGACGATCCGATGAGTAGCGTGTCGGGAATCGCACATAGCGCCTGTATTCGCAAATGATTCTCCTTATGGGTTAAACTAATATTTAACTAACTACATAACTAGTAGTAAATGTTATTTACACAGTAGAACCCATACCTAAATTGACTAGTCCGTTATGACTTAGACAATTACGACTTAGTCAAGAATGGAGGTAGTTGTCCGGTCGAAGCTGACCTTACTACTTATAGATAACTTACCTAATCCATCATTACCCTCCGCAAAATCACTTAAGCACTTAAGCAGGCTTGCAGGTCTTGGGCGAAACACGTAACCAGGTTCCCTGTACCTGAATCCTTCGCTCTTTCTGAAACTATCTAGCCTGCTGTGTAGTGTGGTTCCAAGGATGCCGATTAACAACCGTGATTGGAGGCTAAGAGCCGCCTCTGTTACCGAGTAACTTTAGGTAGATACATATGTAGTAGAGTGCTTACCTATATGTACAACGCGAATAGATATTGTTTACTGAACAATTAGTTGAATGATATAACAATACATATAGACTAGCTTTGAAGCCGTCACAAAAGACTTGAATATCCACTCGAATCGGGAATAATCCCTCTTTCACTCTTCTTTGCCTTTTCGGCTTTCAAAACCAGACCGAGGTTTCTCTAACTTTTCCCCCTTTCCCTGCTAAGCCGCTGTGGGTACTGCTTTATACATATTACGGTATACGATTTAATCTACTAACTACATGTAACTATCTCATCAATATACATATGCATATTTGAACTTAATTGCTTTAAGCTCTAGACTTAATATGCATATATACACGCACTTACTTTAATTGTATTATTCTAGGGACGTCGTTGCTATAGATTAATACTAGGTACTACTAATCACAAATTACGCCCCTAGATTACCCAAGAGACTAAAAGAGGCGATTACGTAGGTACCTAGATATGTCTCATACTTTGTAGATCTTGGTAGGTGCCAAGTACCTACTGCGTAGAATTCTTGGCTACCCTGCCATACATACTTTAGTACCCATACCACAGTACCTCTTTGTACGGCGGTCTTTTATCGCGCTAGAACTCACTAGACTCTAGTAGGCATGCGTACCCAGCCTAGCATCCATATGACATGCATTAAAATATAATTAATAATTTCTTAGGGGGTCTCTCTAGTTAATACATGTAGCAAAGGTAGCGACAAGCCTCGTTCTCGTCAGCAATACTACACTAACCTACTCTTCTTCTCTCATCACTTCTTCCTAAACCTTTAACTCGCCACCCCTTCCGTCCGGTTGGCTCTTATGTCTTTTGCAACTTTCATTACAACGTCCAATTAACTGTGCGATTCCCGGAAAAAGGCCATCGACAGTCGTCGGGAGGACCCGAGTCTTCCTCCAGTTTTCATCTCCTTAGTTTCGACTTTCTTGATTCTTCTAAAAGAAAGACTAAACCGTCTTTCTTCTTTTGGCCTGCCATTTATTACAATATGCCGTGTTAATTATTAATGTTCTAAAGTCCGTCTTATATTCGATCTGTCGTTTGCTGCGCGCCATTATACAGATTAAGGTACGGCAGTAGCCTAACACATCGCGCAACCCCCCGCTGTATCGACGACAAACGGCACGATCTACCATGGAGGGCGCTTTACTCGTTCCCCCAGATCGGGGTAGTATCATTGGGAGAGCCGCGTGGAAGGTAATAACCCACCACAATTGCCATGCGCTCATCCTACGAAGTTCGTATACTCATTTATTTACAGCCTCGATATCTTGTCGTTGGTCCGCCTAAAGATGGTAGCCAACCGAATACTGGTTTCTCTCAAGTCCTATCCGCCGCTCGTATTAAAGATGCCAGCGGTCGATCATCTAAGTCGCAACAAAAGATACAGCCCGATCTCGTCTACCTCTCGATATACAAGACAAAGGTAGGAATTGAAAGAACTTATCTTATGTTGGAAAATACTCATTGTATTCTAGGACGATTGGGAACCGGTTCAGCAGCACTCGATGGCCTCTATCACAAATTGCCAGGTTCAAAAGCTTGCCTATCGCAAACAGGGGCCAATCCTTCCGACTCTTGCTGTTCAGATATCGCCAGATCCTACTACTGACAAGTTACGGAAACGCCGATCGAGTCGAACCGCAGGCTTAACTACTACTAAGGAATCTGGACCAACGACGCTATGGTTCCGCCTCGGCGATGATCGCACATACGCACTAGAGGACTGGGCCCACTACATACAATCACTAATGCTACCTGATGTTCTTAATAGACATCCGATCAGCCCGATCAGTCCGATATCGCCCTCTTTCATTAATCCATTTTCTCCCTCGTCATCCCGGGATGCGAACGAATTCTATGCCGGCACATCAAGTGGAAGCTCCTCTAAGACGTGGACGAAACGATATGGCAAATCCGGCCATGTGCATGCATCAAGTCGAGATGCTGCCACAACGTACACTTCGGGGACACCCAGTATACGCTCGAAACGCAGCGATGTCTCATCTTCTCATGCTAGCTCAATGGTTCCCGTTCCTACAGGATACCCAGGCCAACACTACACGACCGTTCACCCTTCGGATCTTCCGTCGCCTGCTACCACCATCGGTGGTGAATATCAAGACCAATTTATCGAGGGATGGACATCAGCACAAGGACGGTCCTCTACTCTAAGCTCGCCCGCCAGGATAAGAGAAAGTATTGCTTCTGCGCCGGGCCAATTTCTACCTGGTTTCAATTCCAGCTCGCCGCCAACGCAACGGGAAACCATATTAGATAGGGCTTTCCAGTTACGATGTATTCCCGGCTCGGATCGTGACGTACCCGGAGAAGAAAAGTTAAGCTCTATTGCTAGATTTGAGGCATTGATGCGTGAGGTAGAGGAGCGCCAGAAGGCTTTCGACGCGGATAGGACGATTACCAAGGAGCCGCTCAAAAGTACGTGGGAGGATGACGAAAGTGACGTTGAAGGCGGTGTGGATGAGGACGACGAAGAGGACAGCGATGAGGATGCTTTTGAGCACGACTTAGGTGCCGATGAGATCGGACCGTCCGCTCACAGAGCGCTCCAATTCATAGCTAATCGTCACAGCTCGGGGAGATCGCACTGGTCACACCAGAGTGTCAGAACTCTGCCTAATTATCAAGAGACAGGTTCGTCTATCCTTCGACCGCATACTGCGAATTCAAGATTAAGGCCTGCGGCTCAGCGAACAAATAGCCAGCCACATATTCCTACAGCCTCGCTCGATATGACACCTATGCCTAGTAGGGTACCAGAAGAAACGGTGGTCCGATTAAATCATGAAAAACGACACTCAGTATCCGACGTTAAACGCCTCAGTTTTAATGAATTTACCAAACGGTTGAGTGGTACTAGCAGCCTACTCCTCGTACAAACGAATGCTAGCAACGGTAGTAGTCGGGGGAGTAGTGAGATCGATGGATCTCAGCAAATGACACCACCAAGAAACGGTGCGTTAAGTCCTAGAGGGGGAGCTATGTCGCCGAGCGAGCGGGAAGAACGATGTCGTTGGCGAGGTAGCGTTGGTGTGTTCGGCAACGAAGGTGGTTTCCTATGAAGCTAGCACTCCGACTATTGCGCATTCGATTCCTGAGGCAAGCGATTGAACGACCAGCATCACGGCTAGGGAAGTTGGATCCCTCTGTATTTGATACCACGAATTTTTGCTTATTACGACTCTTCACGACGATTGCCCAAGAGCACGGCGCTATGATTTCCGATTTATGGAGCATGACAGTCCCCATGCATATTTGGAAATGTTCAGTAAATTATTATCCATTGGAATACAGTACGACGAAATATGTTTGAGTAGCTGAAGGAAGAAGAGCATTTGTCACGATTTCTGAGCTGGAAGACCCAGCTCCTGTCTTATATCCATTTATTTTTTTTAGAAAAGAGAATATTTTGTTTGTTTTGAAGAATAGTCGATACCCTTGGGTCATCATGCAAATAGATCACCCATATTTATATTATGTATTGTCTTGATCAACGGCTTCATCGTTTGGCCCCCCCTTTCATTGCGGTGTGATATCTTCTACATCTCAACATTCTATTTGTCAGTTGATCCGAAATACTAGATGCTGCATATGCACCGAATCCCAGTTCCAGTGCGGCAAATGGCATCTTTGTCTTCCCTATGGTGCGGAAGTTTCCCTCATCTTCAGCCACAGAGCTATACTACGGGTCAGAATCTTGATTATATGCTTGGCTTAATGGCCGTGCAACCAAACTCACGCCGGTATATCGTTCAGGGCTTTACCGAATCAAAGTTAAATTGGCGTAACAATTTGGAAAACTAATTGCACCGAGTTCGTTCGAAGTATCAACTAGTCGGATTATTTCGCACTCTGAAACCGCGATGATAAAATTTGCTCACGGCGATTTGGCCACGCCTAGATCTTCCTTCCGGTACTGGTCAAGGGGTTGGTGCATCAGGTATGGCCTAGAAGTCGTCGACTCCGTAGTAGTCCACTATTAACCCGATCTATGGGTTCCGGGACCTCAAACACGCATGATCTTTCGTCATTGTGCGCCATTATGCCCGTTACTATAGTGCCGGGTTCGGGTAGATCTAACCAGTTTATCGGGTAGGGGCACATGATAGGATGGGGTTTAATCTAGACCTCTTTGTAAGACACTAAGGAATACATAGTAGATGACCTACTTTAGAGCACGATCACGTAAAGAGCAAACGGACCGGCCAATCGCGGGGAGGGGGACGCTACTGAAGAAGAAACTCGATGGGGTGAGTTGTTAAATGAGGAAGATGAGCTAAGAAAGACAATAATGCTGATATAATCTTATAATTATACCGGCTTACTATTGAGATTATATGAGTACCTACCTAAGTTAGCTTATTTTGTAAAGCTCACTTATGAATACAGGTAAGTTTTCTCTATGCAACTATGCTGTTGAGAATAGAAATGAAGCCAGAAATTAGAAATCAGTCTTATGCTATTTGCAAAGACCATACTAAAGAATCCGCGCCGGGCTATCTAGCTCCGATTTACATATCGTCAGGCCTAGAGTGTCATTAGCGGTAGTACTCGAAAAGCGAATACGGTTTACGTTATCCACCTCTTCAGCCCCCAACACCCACAGCGTTCCACAGACCCTGAAGATCAGAGAAATAACAAGGAGTATCCTTCTTATTAGGATACGGAGATAGGCTATTAGGTACCGCAGCCGATATCAGGTGGTACATACATGTATAACGTTATAAAGAAAAGAAAAAAAAAAACTCAAGACCACGCAATTCGAAGGATATAGTAAAATATTTGAAAGGAAATCTGGAGTAAAACGGTACCTTTTTCAGGTACCATTGGGGGCCAATCAGCCCCCGGCGCAAGGTCCTTTCAGCTTTATTGCTCCTTTGTACCTGTTGAGGCCCACTTTCTCTTTAACGGTTGTGATCCCTGTCCTACCATGTAATTGGTAAGCCAGCCCCAGTACCATGGTCCATGCGTGGTTTAAGTGGACCTTCCCGTGGGAAAGGGTACTTCTGCAAGCTAACCGTTTGTGGCGATTCCAAAAGTACCAGTTAGGTACCGTCGGTCCAATTCAAGTTCATCTCAACCTTCACACTTACACATCCTAGAACAAGTTTGTCACGACTTCACAATCGTATATCCTTCTTGAGCCTTAAGACCTTTTTTTGAAATGGTTGGTAAAGTTATAACTATTTTAGGCACTTGCTAGGTTATTTTCATCGGACTAAGAAGATAAGTATTGGTAGCAGTCTAGAACATGTGCTAATATTTATCCCGATTCTAGCATGAATAGGTATCCACGAGGCTAATCTTAAGACGGAAGAGCGATATTTATATTTATGCCGCACACGGGTTATGCTACCCCAGCTATAGGTAGCAATATCTCGTATCTCGATATATGTCCTGCGATACTACAGCTTCGCCTTCACAGCTCCCCTGGCCTCCTCTGCCCTCTTCCTCTTGCGTTGGAAGCCTTCGATCTTATGAGTGATCATGCCCGTCCATAGTTCAAGCCATTTCTCGTCGAACGGGGGGAGCACGCGGCCGGTGGTCCCCGGGGCCGGCTCTCCGGCGATGCCACGCAGGAACTCGAAGAAAGCACCGTAGTCAGGCGCAATCGAGTAGTAATCCTTACCACCGCCTTTTTCGGCGACGCGTTTGCGCTCCCATTCTAATTGCTCCGGAATTGGAGGGAGCGGCTTGGCTCGACCCGCGAGATGCCGTGCAACAGTGACGGCTTGCCATTCGTACACTCGGAACGTGAAGCCACCTCCGAGCTAAATACAATAAAAATTAGTCTTCTATTTCATGCTAATATGTGTGATTAAGAAATGAGAGTCACTAGTTAGACTAGACTGTATAAGGGAAGCTTACCATTCCGACAAACGTCAAAGTCGGGTCCTCAATATCCCACGTATGCTGGTAAACCCCGGGAAGGCGACGATAGGCATTCCTTATACGTTCCTGCACGTGTTCTAGGTACGGCACACTGAATGTATATCCAGTTCCAAAAATGATATAATCTACATCATCGAGGGTCGAACCATCAGCAAAGAAGACACGCCCAGTCTCAGGATCCAGGCGTGTGATCTCTTTCTTAATTGCAATGTCAGGATGTAAGAACGGCTCCCACCCGAAGGCTGGGATAGGTTCCCCTCTTAAAGCTGCGTATACGGGGCTCTGAGCTGCCTCGAGGACTTCATGGACAACCTCGTGTGCTGATATAGAGCCGCCTACTACCACCACTCGCTATTTAGCAGGTTAGCGGCTACCGACTAGGCGTATCACGTATAAATGGGCTGGGGTAGTAGGTGGTGGCCACTTTGCGATATTCGCTTACTTACCTTTCCCTTGAATTTTGATCCGTTGCGGAAGTGCTTGCTGTGCTGTATCCTTCCGGGGAATTTCTGATCGTACTCTACGAGCCCCGGAATGTTTGGGAACCAAGGGACGTTGTAATGCCCCGTCGCAACAACAAGGGCGTCGAACGTCTCCCTCCACCAATAATTCCTCCCTGAGGATTCTTTCCTTAGCGTTAGCACCCACTCATTTCCGACCTTCTCGGCTCTCTCCACAGTCGTATTTAACTCGAGAAGCTTCTCGTGGCCACCACGGGAGAATATGCCCTCAATCCACTCGCGGATTACCGTGTGGTGCCGAAAAGGAGCACCAGGGCCGTACTCAGCTAATGTTCGAGGTGATAGCTTGTTCGGGAAGGGCTCTTGAGTGTAACTCATAATAGCCGGCGTAATATTGCTATGTAGATTCTCATGGAGCGCTGTATCCGAGAAGCGCTGCTGGTGTCCGTTGATCTCATCGGACGGTAGTGTAACAGCCGGTAACTGTTTTGGCAGGGGAACAGCAACGTCCGCCTTGCCCGATACTAAGTCACTAAGAGATGGAAATCCCGTTGGAAGCTGAGGCGTGTAAACCCAAGTGCCACCGATCCCGGCTCGCCGGTCGAATACCCGGATTGTGTCAAACGCCTGCTCCTTTACCAGCGCATCCGTGGCTATTGCACCGGAGGGACCGGCCCCGATAACAGCCACGCGCCGCGCCTTAACCGTCATGGTTAGGTAGGTAGCCTATAATAATTATAAGACGAAGTATCCAAGTAGCGAAATACTAGACGCCTTATCCCTTTACGGCCGCTACCTGCGGGCTCACGTATGCAACTTTGCTTAAGCGTCTTAACGAGAGAAGCCCAGAAATATAAACAGGCGGCTTTTATGTCTAAAATATTGAGCCAATGTCCTCCTATGAGGAGAAAGGAAGAGAACTCGTTCACCGATAAGCATGCTGCATTGCGTGACACTTGCCGCGATGGCGTCTGCGTCTGACCCAAGCACGCCAAAGAAGTTGGCCATATTGGATGGTACAGTAGGGATTATAGACATTGTGGAGAACTATCTGTTGCTACCTACTCCTCTCTGGATCATTGAAATGTATGTGTTCTCACCATACGCCGCATTCGAAGTTCGGGCAGGGTAGCGATCACGCCATCCTATACTATCTGCACGTAACGAGCATCTGTATGGCCACACAGCACTCCTTAAGTTCGCAACCCCTCTTGCCTCCGGTAGGCTTTCCGATATGTAGTACAGCGGCAAGGAGTGCTTTAAAGCGAATGACATCCATGTTGTCATGTAAAAGGATGGATACCCCGTCTTATTACTCCTGCACAATTACTTGCAGGATTTCGTAAAGATAGAGCGAATAGATATAAATCAAATATATATTATATAACGTAAGATTTATTTATCTAAGTCGATCCGAAATGCCGTCGGCCGTCGTGCCCAACCGACCGCTTCCGGTCTACTTTATCGGCCATGCCGGGGTGGGCCTCCTGTTCAGTGAATCGCCGCAAAACCGGATCGTCCAGGATAATCTCCGTGCCGTCGGTGAGGAGATCCGTGCGATATCACCCCGGCCTAAGGCCATCCTTACTTTTAGCGGACACTTTGAGGCCGGAGAGATTCACGGACCCGGGGTAATAGAAGGTGAGCTTAAAATATTTACTAGTTTGCTCCAAATGACGGCCAGTTGGAGCAGTACGGAAGATTATATATAACTGACTTAACCGGCATCTTGCGTATATGATAGTCAATGTGAAGAAAGGAACATATATCATGGTAAGGGGACATACATGCATTCGTCTTGACCAGGTTAAAGGAGACGAGAAATATCTAGAATAAAATACTAATATGTATAATATCCAAAATAGCACGATTTTGTCAACGACTTTCACGACTCAGCGCCATTCGTCTACGAGTACGACTGGCCGCACGAGGACGCACCCGAACTAGCAACGGAAGTGTGGAGGCACATAACGAAGTCCGGGATCAAGGCTAAGCGGGTAGAACGCGGCGTCGATCACGGCGTCTGGGTCCCCTTCAAGCTCATGTTTCCACCTGAGAACCCGCTTGATGTTCCCGTAGTCCAGGTCTCTACGTTCTACGGCTACGATCTAGAGAGCCAAATTCGGCTGGGAGAGGCTGTTACTTCGCTCCGGTGAGTACATATATATATATAGGTACCTATTGGTTAATGTTCTCATTACACCCCAAATTAACTATGTACACATTACTAACGCGAATTTCTTCTTTTCCAACGGCACAGTAACGAGGGATATCTCATCGTCGCCTCCGGCATGGCCGTGCACTCATTCCCCTCCATTGCGGAGATAAGGGGCGCGCCGTCCGACGAAGCAAGGGAGCTCGCGCGGCAGAAAGTCCTCAAGGAATCGCGAGATTTCGACACGCATCTCCGAGCAGCCGTGGCGAAGCGCGGTGCTGCGGAACGCAGAAAGGCGCTGGTGCAGCTGCAGTCGCTGCCGGAGTTCCGCCGCTCGCACCCGACGGTGGAACACTTTACACCGTTGCTTGTAGCGGCTGGGGCGGCGGGAGATGCTGAGGGTGTTGTGCCGTTGGGGGTTGATGTGGTTGAGCCGGGTATGTCGTATTTGAATGTGCGGTTTGCTTAGAGGTTGTTTGACTGGCTGGTTTTATGTAAGAGTTGTTTTGGACCGACACTCATTTTATCCTGTCTTAGATTTCTGAGGTATGTATCGAATTTAATATGAGCGAGGTTTAAGGTATAACTTACAACTTGAGAATAAAATGAGAAGAGAAACAGAACATAAATATTGAAGATGGTTATATTTGCTCATTTGTAAAGGCGTAGAATAGTCACTAGCTTTATGTGGCACAATCTTAACAAACAATAGCAAATTCAAGCGTATAACTAGAATCATGCTATATTAGAGCCATAATACCTAGATAAATATCCCAAGCTTATATCTACCAATAATACCTATATTTGCGGCCCTTCCGATCCGTATATAATGCTTCTACCTCTAAAGATGGCTCATCATGCATCTTCTTAGCGAAACGGCGATTCGACCACTTAAACAAAGACGTTTGTATGGTGAGTGTTACAATCCACACAGCGCCGAGAGCTAAACATGCCGCCCATGCTCGGCGGTATAGGGGTGCGTCGGACTAAACGAAAGGGAAAACGTAGGTAATTAACGGTTATTCTCGGAATAGGGGAAGCAACTAACTTACTCCTCTAAATACCTGATTTCCGTATGTTCCACCTAAATTGGAACATCCAACTGGAGACAATTTGTTAGAATACCCCTTCTTAAGGTATGATATGATATAGGCTTAACGTACTATATACTGCATATGCAATAGCACGCTTCTGTGGCGTCTTCTGGTTCAGAGACAACCACGTAACATTCAGGGGCTGCCAACCTCTACGTCACGAAGCCCGTTAATATATATTGTTAATAGGGAAGAACACGGAGGGGTATATCTTACGGGGCAGCAACCGTCACGACATAAGCAGCGTAGAAAGACCACGAGGCCTCGGTAGTAACCGGGAGATTCTTCACTTTATTAGGCTCAATGCTTCATACTAGGGGGTAAGTAGACTTACATAAAGAGCTATAAGCCCAGCCATAGTCCAGACCGCAGCAAACATGATAGTATAGCCGAACCGCTTGTACCGGTCTACGAACCAGGACAATACGAGCGCGAACAAAGCCGAGATAATAGGCGCGGGAGCATTGAGTAGATTCGCGCGGATGCTCGTGAAGCCGAGAGACTGGACGATGGTTGCTCCCCATGTTTGCAGGCCGCCGGCAGACTGAAGACCGCTTAGGCAGATGATTAGGTAGGGCCAAGTAGTCCAGCTGAAGAGCACGTCGGTTCTAAAAGGTAGGCAAGTTAGTAAACACACCCAGTTATACTTACCCTTTAATAAGAATCCAGAAGAATGATACGTACATGTCCTTAAACTCAATTTTCATAGTAGCAGCTTGTCCTTTCTTCGGATCAGCCCTGATTATCCTCGCTACGAAGACGTCTGCCTCGCGCTCAGATAGCCACCCGCTCCACGGGACCAAGCCACCAAGGAGGCGGTTTGTGTGGTGAGGGGACTCGGGGACGAGAGTAAAGGCTACGAGGCCGGTAGCTAGAATACACAGTTAGTAAAAACTAACGGTTATTTAGTGCTTAATTCGGTATTCTCACTTATCGTAGAAACACCACATATGAGAAAAATCCTATAAGGCCCATCGTTAGTACATGTGCACCTAGATACATAAGCACCAAGGTAACCAATATATCACGTCGGCCACGCAGAACAACTAACCATTGCCACCCATACAATCCCCTCGCGCCCTCGATACTCAGCGCCCCGGCACTTATCAACGAGCCAAAAGCGGCCGAAATCGACGGGCCGAAGAAAAACACCGTCGTGCGGCTCGCGAGCTCGTCCTGCGTGTACCACCGCGAGAGCACGTACAAACTGCCAGGGATAAAGCCGCTCTCCGCCAGCCCCAAGAACAAGCGCGCCGCGTACCACCCGCCAGCGTCCCGCACGAACATCTGCAGGACCTCGAGCACGCCCCAGACGACGACCTGCAGCGGGATCCAGTAGTGGGGGCCGACGCGGTGGAGGACGATCTGTCGGGGTGGTTAGCTACCTCCTGCACGGTTTCTATTGCTGGAAAAGGGTGCTGTCTGGTTTTTATAAAACGGTCAAGGTATATAACTAAGAGGATGGACAGTGCAAAAAGTCAACCCACGTTCGAAGGAATCTCGAGTAATACGATGCCGAACCAGAGCAGCGAGACCCCCGTGTTCGCCTGGTCTCGCGTCATGTGGGTGTCTTTTAGGAAAGTCGACGTTAGGACGCCCGAGACGTTGGTGCGGTCGATGGCCATCCATGTGAACATGAGCTGTGACGCGAGTTGGGTATTAGACAGGTAGGTGACCAATATAAGAAGTTTATATTCAACAATATGAGCGTATAGATGTGACCGAACGAGCGCAAATACGTACAGCGAATATAGGGAGAAACAAGTAATCTGCTTTACGAACAACGCGCCTCTCCTCTTCCTTCGTCCAGCTGACGAGGACTTGTTGGCCATTTCTCTCGATATGCTGGTGGAAATACAATATATCCCCTGAATTCCCAGACTCGCCATCGGACGGTGTGTTTAAGCCGTCTTCCTTCGCGTCTACACCAGCTTCAGCAATAAACTTCGCCGCCGTCTTAGTCGGCGCCGTAGCCGCAGCAGCAACGGCCAGAGACTCGGTAACTCGAGACGTCATGTCGTATACCCGGAGAACTCAAGATGTCATACCAATCAATCCCTTACGAAATATAATCAAGGGGCGATAGCAATATATAAGTCGCGACAGACCCAACAACACGGAACCATGCGGATCGACTCTTAACTACATTAACAAGAGCCGGTAGCAAGATCCCGATGCGATGGGACTGACATGTGAGTAGATACTTTCGCAGCCGTGGGATTCAAAGATATCCCAAACCATGATAGCTCGCTTGTCTAAAGCGGCGAACTATCTTTTTGGGAAGCCGAGCCGATTCTACCATTCCAACTCCTGATGTTGCGATGCTAGATAACGATAGAATACATGCCAATAGCTACGTCGGAAATCTACAAATGCCGACCCTGGTTGCAGTATAAGTCGTTCTGGGTCGGTAGGGTGTGATGTCGTCTTCGGCCCTGGGAATATCGTGATAATAGTGGGGTTAGTATAGACTGAAGAGCTTTTGTGTAATAGGTCCAATGTTATTGGAGAATCAGCCTTAGAAATGGATTAAGAATATCATTGATTTCGAATAATCAGAGATTTGTTAAATCTTAAGATTGAAGCATAGATAGGTACCTACTTCTATGAGGACAGATACATACCTAGGCTTTGGGGCTAATATAACAACGGCGAGTTAACTAAATTCAAGTTTCAGCTCGAATAGGCTATAAAACTTCCCCATAAACGAGGTAGTTATACGAGTTGGAAGTATCAGTTGTATACCAGGTCACATCCAAATCTTGATGCGACCACGGTCCATCTACAATCCGTATCTTTAGGTATATGTACATATGATACATTAACTTCGATAATACATTTATCGACGGCCATGAGCGATACCATAGATCCTCTTGCTGTATTTCCATAAGCCTCTGTACTTGGGCTTCTGCCTCTTGGCTTCCCATCCCCTCGGTTTCTTCTCCTCCTTGAGAGAGTAGACCCTCTTGAACTTGAACTGGACATCGGCGCCCGGAATACCCGCCTTCTCCATAACGCCAGCAGTACCCTCATCCCAGATCGTTCGGAAGATGTTGAAGCCAACTGGCGTGAGGCCAAACTTGTCTCGGTAACTCTTGAGACTGAATCCATCCCGACTAGAGTATAACTCTCGCAATTGAGCAATGTCTATGTTTTCCCCCGGCTTCTGTTCTAGAATAAACACAGATAGTCGGTGATATGGCGCGCCCTTTTGAGAGAAGGCGGGGAGCCACGGTACAGCAAGTTGAGACTCCTTATTGACCTTACCTAGGGGTAAAGAGGGCTGGTTAGGAGAGATAGGAACATTTGCCGCAAGATAGTGACACCGCCTGTCAAAGGAGTCCGTCTCTGCGTTGGGAACATCCGAGTCCATAACTACAACTGAGACGAGGCGCTCGCCAGGGTTGAAGACTTGAACTTTCAAGCGCGGCGGGACTTCCGTAATTCGGGAATCAAGAATAGCACCGGGAGTGACCTTGATTCGTCGGAAGAAAAGTTGAACATCTACAACGGGATCAAACTTGGGTAGCACATCGGGAACGATATTGAGCTGCTTGATACGTTGTGTGATGATACGATAAGGCAAGCCACGCCATTTACGCTCAGCATAGTATCGGTAAATCGGCTTGTCCATGTCACCTATGTAGTTGTTAGCATATATGTCTTAAACACCCCAGATATAAATAGATACTATGACCAATAGGAATTAAGAAAAAAAATAAAAAAAGAAGAGACCAATAAAAAATAAAACATACAACACCAGGGATTCGCTGGTCGTCACCGACCCAACTACTAATCTGGCGGTATCTGGCTTATCTATGGGAGAGCGGACGGGATCCCGAGTTTTCCAGATCCTATGGTCGTATGTGATAGAAAGGTTGGTTATTCTTTTTTATAAAGCAGTCCAATTGCCAAGTCCACTCCAGACTCAGGAACCAGGTGCTTTTGAAGTTGGCCCAACCCCTATCATCCCACCACATTCCAGTAATATAGAATTCGCACCAAAATTCAAGGAAACCCAATGTAACACCCAATGGCTCAAATGTTTCTAGAAAGAAAGAAAAAAAGGAAGAAAAAAACCTACCGAGTCCGTCCTCGAATTTCCGCTTGACGACAGGGTCATTGACATCCGCTAGGATTTTGAGCTTCTCTACCCACTTCTTCAAGCTGGCAAGACGCCTATTCTTCCTGTACTCGCCGCCGGGGACTTGGTCAGCCGGAGTTTCCTCTAGCCTCTTAATCTTAACCAGCTCTTTTGCGATAGCCTGGATCTTCTCCTGTCGGTCCTCCTGCAGGATCTTGCGTGCCTCTTGGAAGCATTGGTAAGGCAGCTGCTCGAAGGGCACGTTCTCAGAGGTACGTATAGCGGCACGCCGACGTCGCGAACCAACCGGCGGCGTACCCATGCGGACGAGCTTCCACTCAGCCCAATGCGCCGTAGTAGTCTCCCGGTCCATCAATCGGTCCTTCATGCGCAATTTCTCGGTTTCTGCTCCATTGCTGGCAGCCTCTAGCTTGTCTAATGAAGTTTTCGAGGCCGTTGGTGGTGGAGTAGAAGTAGTAGTTGTTGTAGTAGTTGTTGTAGAGCCCTCATCTTGGCGTACTATACTTCTCGAGAAAGATCGCGAGAAATGCGATGCACTCTGGAGGAATATGCGCTCTTGTCGAAGAGACTGCACTAAAGGTCTTGCGACCCTCTGACAGCTCGACATGGCTCGGCTCTGTCGAGACTGTACCTAGTTTAGTGGTAGGTTATAGAGGAAGAGGATATAATCGATAATGTCGAAAGCATGGAACTTTTTGCAGCTTGTGTCCCCACTATAAAATTAGAAAGTGCCATATCTTAGTGGACGGCACACTCCGCTATATCTATCGATATGAAGTATCTACGTACCCTTAGCTTGCATCTTTAATAATTTTTCCGGGGTTGAATTGAATTAAGTTCTTCGTCTTCAATTGGGAATTGGGATATCGACATACTCGCCGACGGGCCTACTAGGAAGTTCAAACTACCCCGGGTACGCCCCCCCAATAACAACCGGAGCCATGGCGAGCAAAGGTGTAAAGTGTCTCAATGAGGCCTTTAAAGGCCTAAACCTATCGTCACAGACATGCAGAGAAGCCGTTTCAGTGCGTTATACTCTTTTTCAATAAATCGACTATAGTAGGCATGGCTGCTAACGAGCCTAGCATCGGATACCATCGTCGACATTTACTCGATCAATGGCAACTGAAGCCCCTCTACCCAAAATCACCACCTCGGTAGACTCGGATTCTATATGGAGACCAGGTACACACCCATCCACACATCTATCATCCACCCCCGCAACTCACGATCCCTTTTCCGTACCCGAATCCAAAGCACCCCTCGATCCACCATACTAACACAAATCATCAACAGCAACCACAGTCCCTCTAACCATCTTCAACTTCCCGTCCTTCGAACCGCAGCGCCTCGAGTCCTGGTCCGCGAAGCACCTACACCTACCGCTGCGGCGCGATATCCTGCACCTAGCAGTCGTATACGAGGGGGACAACACGCGGCAAGGCACAGCCTCGACGAAGACGCGCTGGGAAGTCGCCGGTTCGCACCGCAAGATGCGGCCGCAGAAAGGCTCGGGCCGCGCCCGCATAGGCACGCGGCAGTCGCCGATGCTGCGCGGCGGCGGTAAAGCGTTCGGCCCCAAGCCGCGCGACTTCGGCACCAAGCTCCCGCGCAAGGTATACGACCTGGCCTGGCGCACCGCGCTGAGCTACCGGTACCGCCGCGGCGAGCTCCTCGTGTGCCAGGACGGCATGGAGCTGCCGCTGCCGGCCGAGTTTGCCGACCTCGTGGCTGCGGGCGAGCTGCAGGACGAGCTGCAGCGCAGCTTCAAGGCGAAGTGGGTGCAGCAGGTCCTCGATGCGAACGATTTGGGGCGGCGCAGCGGCCGCAGCACCTTCATTACGACATCGCCTAGAGATAATCTATTCGAGGCGTTGGAGGAGGTGCCGAATTACGGACGCGCGCTGGAAGTCGACGACGTCGATGTTAAGAATCTACTAGAGACGGGCCGTCTGGTTGTGGAGAGGGAAGCGCTCAAGGAGCTGATCGAGCGGCATCAGAGCGATATAGTCACGAGAGTGTTTGTCGCTAATGCTGCGTTGCCCAAGGCGCCTGAAAGTGGTCATGTGTTGGTAGAGTAACATTATTTCGGCTGTATATTATTTGAAGCCATTGTAAAACCTCTAAACTACATCCTCATAAGTAGGACCAACATGTCCATATATTGATGCCATTGGAATAACTACCTATTATTTTGAGCATGTATAAGACTTTACGACAAGCTTTAGCATCTTCAGTCTTTTGCTTGCAATCCTGATAAGAAGCCTATGTATGTCTTAGGATACCTCGAGCGGCACAGTGTTTACATGCTAGGTAACTTCGCCAGGTATCTAATCTAGGTACGATGGACCGTATTTACTATAATGGCAATATTAAGTATGCGGTTTCTAAGAATGCAGATATCGAAAAAAACGCTGGACACATGGCATGATGACGTCGATCTTATGTATTGCATCCATACAAGATCTACGTCCTAGCCAATTCCGGTTTGCTTTGCCCCAACCTTTTGCCCCTTGGATCACGATGCACTTAAATAGAACAACCTTAGAATTGCTGCCTCGTGTCAGGGAGTGAAGTCATCAATATAGTAGTGTAAATAGTTCTAGTTTTCTGACGTTATAATGGGGTATACCAGGTATCAATATAAGCAACTTTCTAGATCTGTAGGTCAGGTACTTATAACTAATATAAATAAGAGGTAGCATAGCTATATGAAATTTACATTCTGCTTTTCCACCAACAATTTCAATTAGTGCCTCGCATAATCTTTACTATGTTATCCTTTCTCGTCCTAAGACTTCGTTGTTTATAAGATAAATAGTTATCATCTTTAGCAACATGTTCCTCTTCTGAGTTGAAGCTACAAGATGAGTATCGTCAAATATCGCCTTTACGTTTATGATAATTTTGACTAAGCATTAACTAAAGTCAAATTGGAATTTCGAAGTGGCTTAACTTCCCGAGACACGGGACTACATATCCGAAGGACAGGGAGATGAGCAAACTTACCTAAGGTACCCCCCGTCTTATGTCGATATCCTTTTATTAGGTAGTCTACTGGCTTGGTACACCGAAGCCTACAATACAGACACCGTTACTCGGGTCGATCTAGCCGAATAGGCAACACTCTCTGGGCGCACTTAAATCTTTGGTATATTTAGGTAGCGAATCGGTTTGCTACTATAGGTATCTCGGAGTGGATGCCGTTGCCGAATCACATACTTTCCAGATGAGAATAAACGAATGCACGGTCCCGTTTAGTCAGGGATCAGGATATGGGAAATCATAAGTAGGAAGACATCTTTTGCCACTTCCATCCAATGTTGGAACCACAGCAGATTATCTTCTATCTCCCTCTATTGCTCCTTTCGACTACGGTGGGAAACTACTTTTTACGGCATTCTCCCATATCGAATTTCACTATCACGACTAGCGCCGGAATACTCACAACCTATCGTGTGTGGCACTCGCGGTAGTGAAAGTGCCTCCGAGGTGATTATGGTATCGTTAGATCATTATTTCCCCAGTCTATCCGATATCCAAGAGATAGCCTGGTAAGAAGCCATCTCCTGCTCTTTACAACCCTCTCCTCGATGCTTTATAACCCAAAAACCCCCCCAGAAGGAACTGGATACAGGGAACGGGACTAGATTCAGCCTTTTTCAACCCCCCTCTTCCCCCGCGCGCCGGCATAGATCCACGTATTTTTGCCATTTCCGTAGCAAACTCCTAGAGTATATAAAAAACTGACTTAGACGACCGTAGGAAATCCTTATAACAGAAACATAAAACACCATTCGTACTAGATTGCCATTCACCGCAACTACAATTCATTTCGTCCGTCAACAGGATTTGCAAGTATGGGTCACCATTCAGCTTGAGCGTTCTGGCATATGACTATACCACGTCACGGCCTCAAGTAGGGTTTCCCTCTGGTTTCGAGTACTTCCGAATCAGCTTGTAGGAAGAATAAAATTCTCGAAGGTTTCAACCATCGGTATACTATGGAAGACGGACATGTCCTCGGCCGTCGTATTATGTAGAGTGTCAACCGGGTAGGGCTCTTCGTGTGAGTCCGATGCTGCGACCTGCGGAAAGTTCGGCGTTAGATCTGGATGGTAGAGTATAGATGGATTTGGTTCGAAACCCCCGGGATGAAATGAATGTGATGGAGTAACTGGGCTAAGAAGTTCCGAATCACGCATTGCCTGACATCCTGCGGCGGAAGAGAAGCTATCCTGGCGAGTTATAATATGTCTTGGAGAGTGGCTTAAATTAACCAGCATCTGGTCGTATTTTTCGCTTGTTCCCAAGACAAATCTCTTTGCTTCATTTTCGATCCATTTGTCGATATTGGGATCGTTGCAACTGGAATGATTCATGAGTTGCGATTTTATCTCAGTAATCTCAGTTTTTAAGTCGCTGTACTCCCTCTGAAGGAGGTTGTGCTGGTTTTCTAAGTCAAATTTCGTTTCTTCTAGATCCGTCACCCATTCCCTTTTCTTTTGGCGACACTTAGTCGCCGCTGTTCGATTTCGCTCAAGGAACTTAGTCCTTCTAGTCGTGTTGACCCCATGATCAGTATCATCGTCCGCGTATTGGGATCGTTGCCGCGTCCCCGTAGTTGGAGGAGAGTTTGGTGACACAATCCCGTTCCGTCTGGGTTTATTATTTGCCCTACCCGTTATGTATACGCTTTTATCCTCTGGTGTTACGGTCTGATGCGACGAGCGAGACGATATTTCGGATGATCGAATTGACGACTTGGGAGAGTCAACTTTATCCGATTTAGAATGTGAAGTTACTCGATTTTTGGCACGGCGATTCGCAAGTCTTCCAGATGTCCTAATGGAGGCCGGTTTCTGAGGCGAAGAGATTGATTGGCTAGCCTTTGCTGACAGTGCGTCGGTCGAGGGACTGCTTGGGTCGGTGCTGCTTTGGCCGTATGAGCGTTCGTCGCCTTGGCCCATAATCGATTGGGAATCGAGGGTCTCGCTTGCAGAATATTGGTCGTTTCGGACGTCAATACTAAAAGATACCAGTGGCATATCCATACTTGCTTGCTACGGAACTATTGCAAAATCTCTCAGCCTAAGAAGATTATCCAGGGCACAGCTAGGAAAGTAAGAGATGCAAGGCATGAATGGATCGGGCACGGATTTAATAATCGAAAGAGTTGGAAGAGTTGGACTTCCAGCTATCCAATAGTCGAAGGACTGGTAAAGGTGGCCTGCCCATTAGAAAAATAGTCAAGGGGGGGGAATGGAAGGAAATGGACATGCCAGCATGCGAGTCAAGCATAGTTGTTTTACGCCATCTAAAGCACGAAAAGCAAATCGAAGAAGACGAGAGCAAATCGACTTATTATTAGGTCCCTATAAGTTGTGTTACGATAGGCGATGGCAAGTGAGGACAAGGGGATTGGTAATCAGAAGCGTACTTTCTGCGTTGCTGCTCCTGCAAAGAGACTACTAAATTTTAGGCAGGGCTTGTAAAGAAAGAAAGCACGAGACACACATACGGGCTAGTGGAACAGGGGGAGATATTTTGGATGCATACAACCTGCAGACTTGGGACTTGGGATTTGGGACTTCACATTTAGTACATAACCCAAAGTACATATTGGGTAGGGCCGAGTCGCAAGTCTCCAACTTCACATGTACGTAATGGATGTGATTGATTTATTAGCCCAGCGATGCCCGTTCAACTTGCTCATCTCTTTTTTATGTCTGCTTCCTTGCTACGGAACGACTGCATTAAGTTTCGACTGCATCAACTGCATGGCTAGACGAAACTTTGTCCTCCCAACCCCCCCGTCTTTAAACCTTAGGTACCTAACGATACCCCCTATATCCCCGTTCCCTCAGACCGGCCATACAGGGGCGCATTCCGAACAATGTTCCATATGGGTTTAATAGCCTTGGGCAGTGATTAAACTATGGGTAACTGGAAGTGCCCTAGAAGTGTCAGCATAGGGCGGCTGTGATTGCGGACTAGGCGGTTGAGATCCGATCTCCGATCTAAATTTATAATATTCCTTTATTTCGATCACAAGATGCCAAAGCGGCGGAGATAAGTACCCAAGCTTCGCATACAGAGCCTTGTTTGCTAAGAGTATGAATACGAGTCGGAATATGCCAAGTCCGCATAAAAGCTTCTTAATTTACCTACATCATGTATGTACTTTAAAATATTAAATTCTGTTCGGTAGAAGCTAGATAAGCCACATGTACTTTTAATCAGACTTCTGACAGAATCGGTTCTAGATCTCGATTAAACTTTGCTACGAGGTATCGGCGCAAACTTAACCAATTATGTGCTATTTGTGGTAAACAGAGCTCCCGAGCATCTAGAATGTTCGTCTTGTTCCCTGTCTCGAACAGCTCCGACTATCATACATTTAACGACAGTAACATCGAAATTATCAATAATAATGAGCTTCAAATAGTAAATGCTATCTAGGAAGGGCTCCGACGAACGTGTTGTTTATAAGATGTTGTTCTATAGATATATTTTTGGGGGTTGGAATCGAGTCTACAATACTTACTTCACAAATACAAGTAAAGTAAATGCTAAAGGCATACAAATCTATATCGGGAATCGATCGAGGCCACCTGATCAATATTTTGTGGTTTTTGATAAGTGATCATCACGTTCATCGAGATTAGACGCACCATCGCCCTGAACACGCTGGTCTAGGGCTCATGTACACGTGAGCAAGGGGTATACAATATAACTAAGCAATGTAGCCGCTCCGGAAGTTTAGATTCAATGGAGATAAGACTTATAAGTGGGTGGATCTGCCGTAGGTTTCCTAGCCGGAAAGTCTAATCGACAGCTTAACTTTGACGGAATCGACGCGTTTAACTATAATATAGAAGATTATTGTTTTGACAAGAATTGACAAGGTACGATAAGGGATGATGCTAGCGTTTGTAGGCTCTTTCAAAAATAAGAATTTGCTACCACACCTATATAATGTTGAATCTGATAATAAAAAACTGAATTTATTTATGTATGTATTCTACCTATTCAACTGACACGACTCCTTATTTATATTTAAGTGATTGGTTATGCGGGGAACATTTATGACAAGAGATAAACTGGCTCTGGTCGTTACTTATTTCGAGACCTAGTAGCATTAATCTCTTCTCAACTGTACCTACCTAATAAAGGTACCTAAGTTATACGATATACGGTAACTTTAGGTTGTAGCAAAGCACCAGGAAAATATGCACATGGTGTGTCTATCAATTTCTACGAGGGCTAGGATATGATAGCCTCTCGATAAGTTGTAGTGATCTCTTCCTCCCGAAACTGGAAAAGCCCATGCAGACCGGCATCTTTTACTTTGCATCACGTGAAAACAAGAAAAAAAAGATATTACGTAGCCCTGGAATATTATGTCCGGTTATGATGAAGTGTTGCAAGCCTAGAATACTACTACCTACTTATTTATTGATCCCCTTGGTCATGCCTACCGAGGTAGGTACCTATGTATGTTGATGTCGATGTCGATGTTGATTTCGATTTCGATTTCGATTTCGATTTCCCACCACTACCTGGTTCCGGTGAAGTGACTTTCGACACATCGTTTCGTCTCGCTGCAGCACTATCTCTCATAACCCAATAGTGCTTTACCGTAGTTCTCTTCTAGCTCTTACCGAGCATCGTACAGAGAATAACTAGGAGCTTGAATGGATTAAGACCGCTGCTAGTTTTGTCTATGAGGTTTAGGCTTACTTTGTATACCTAAGCAATCGACTATCTTCCTTTTCTTTAATCTACGAAACCATGGACGTTGAGTACTTCGGAGGTAGATATAGTCTCTCCGGAGAACTTGATTGGCTAGATAAGTAGGGTGAATAGTTTAGACCAATCACATCCTGGCGTTATAGCCTACAACGGTCCAGATTGGCTTCCAAGTTCGGAGGCGCCTCCAACAATAGGTACGCTGTTGCACAACAGCTGGGTGTTGTAGGCTACCTAGGAAGGAAAGTACGCATCGACAAACTCACCGTCTTTTAATAAGCTACGTCATTCTTGCTTTAATACTCCGAGGGGTTAGCTCAAAGTTTACCTGTTACGGTAATCGTCAAGGACTTAAAAACTTAGGTACAAACCGAGGCCCCCTCTTATTGAGAAGAGGAAATGTTTGTTCATGTAATGTCATCGAGCGCCACACTTTGGCGTTCAAAAGTCACGGGCCATGCGTTGTGGCTAAAGCGGGACATAAACCTATGAATTCTTCTAGAAAATAACGCTTGGACCATCTCATTTTCCAACTAGTAACAAATTTTCGAGACAATTCAATTTAATTCAATTTAACTAACTCAAATCAATTCTCAGCTTTCAGCCCTGAATCTTTTCATGACGCGTCGCGCCTTTGATCGGCCCCACACTTAATTAACTTTTAGGTACTCTAGGTATTCCGTGCGGAAGTCTTTGATAAATCTCCATCTTCAAAACTGTTGTATCTGTTGTATCTAGATTTTTAGCGGCATCACCGTCGACTATACAACTATACAATGGAGTCGACTTCAACACCCCGCATCTCGGCGGCTTTAATGGATTCGTACATTGGCCAGAATGTCATAATCGTTGGCAAGGTTGCCCAACTACGTGGTGACGTCGCTTTTATTGAGGCTGACGGACAAGTCCAAGCCAACCTCACCAGGGTGAGTAAAAGTCGACTCATAGCGTTGCACATGATCTAAACTCTACCGTATACAGGATTGTCACCTCATGGTTGGAAATGGAGCGCAGATTATCGGCAAGGTGAATCCAGACTTATCTATTAAAGTACTGAACGCCGTAGATCTCGGCTCCAATGTTGGTATGTATTACACTTTCTATTGCACTTACTTTCTTACTATCTGCAAAAGCATCATCCCGTCTAGAATTAGGTCTGGCGTACGGATTTATGAACAAACGGAGCTTACGATAAGGTCTTGCTCAACTCATTTATCTTATCTTATAAATTCTATCTTATAATATAGTTATTAGTTATCCTAACACTGTGTTTCACAGATTTCCAAATATGCCAGAACGTCGTTGACGTTACACACCAGTTCAAGGACATCTTCGTGTATCCGGAACGAGGCGGCATGAACTGACGTTTCGCACGTGGACGCGTGTCTCTGGGATGGTCGGCTGGTTCACAGCAGCAGTCTTCGTCTACTCAGCCTCAGTTTTTAACTCAGTCTCAATCTCAAAAACATGAATCGCCAAGTTTTGCTGAATCAACTAATAATACTACTGCTTCTTCCGTTGCTACTACTGCTACTATGAGCTCGCGGTCTTCTGAGGCCCCTCGAGCAATATCACCGCCGACTAATCAGCTATCCCACCTATCTATCCAGGAGACGCCGCAGTCCTCTCATACCGTCACTCAGTCGTTCGTACCTAACGATACCCAGTTCTCCCAGCAACCACCCCCTGTTACTCAGGACATTCAGTATACTCACTACACGTATGAAGAAGCCACATCCTCGTTACGGCAACATAAAAGGAGTCGGTCATCTCAGTCCTCTCGTCATCGACGAAAACCCCCTGCGCCTGCACTTGAAAAAATCAACTACGAACCATCAGCTCCAGACCTAATCTCGGACCCAGTCCCACCCCCTACCTCGGTTCCAATAGCAGCACCAGCCACTGTTCCTATTCCAGTCTCAGTCCCGGCCCCTGCCTCAAATCCAATCTCAGCCTCGGTAGAGCCATACTATTACATGACCTCCCCTTTTCCTGTACCTCCCCCCACACAGCGACGCGGGCGGCTCTTCCGTACACGCTCAGGGAACCTGGTAACTGCCGTCGAAATCCGGCGACGTAGAGAGCTAGAGCGACACGCCGAGGAGCTACTAGAAATGGTCCTTGAGGGATTTGGTGACGAGCTCTCTCATACGATCACCTTCAATCTGGACGACACCGGCCGCTGGCGCATCGCAAGGCGGGACCAGCCGGAGGTGGAGGTGTACGAGAATGCGTAGTTTATGACTTAATTCCAGCACATTTGTCCCTCTGGTATGTGGGCTTCGGATAGAAGTCATTAGATAGGAATCTCATAGGAAGGGAAAAAGGAATAATGTGCATGTTTGAGTACTTACTTGTTATTGTGACGATGATGTAGAAATATATGTAGAAAAGGCTTACCGTTTCATCTTTCAGACCCGATATTCCCCTATATCTGATTATGGAAAGATATCCAGGTGTTAGTATGGCTATCTACGTGATAAAACATACTGGAAATAAGTTCTGGACTAATTAATTCAAAATCCTATATGAGTTAGGAAAAAACAAAAAACCCCTCACCCTTTAAAGACAGGAGAACCTGTTGTGATGAAGCTATTACTATAAAGTATACACGAGACTTTGCTTTATACGCAACATACTAGTGGCCAGGCTGTTCGAAATTAAGGTTCAGTCGATATCCTAAGATGAGGCTTTAGTAACGAACAGGAGCATATGCTTATTATGCGGTCGTGGCTACATATATATCACCACGATTATGACAGGTAAGCAGTGATCTCATTATACTAATCGCAGTCGAACAAGCTTAGGCACCTAATAGTTAATTTGTCGAAAAAGGATTAAGTACCTCATCAGGTTGGTTCGGGATTCATAAAGCATTGGGTTAGGTAGACTAGCGAATCAAATCACAACTGCGGTCCTTAACTATTGGGCTTTTTTTTTTCTTCGTGCCTTCTATTAATACTCTTAGCATTATACATAACTAATAGCTATATAGTTCAACCTTCGTCCATAGTTTAGGTCACAGCATTGGAGTCTTACATGAACACCACCGATCGTTCTTCAACTCTCAAGACAGACACAGTGTAACCATACAAACATACACAGATCACATCTCAACAAAAAAATTTCAATCAAGGAGGTTCCTCTATTTATTTCATTCCACTGCCCTCGATAGCACTCATTACTTCATCCGTAGAAGCTACCAGCTGCGCTGTAAATGCCACAAATGCCATATCATGCGTGAGCTTTCCGTGAAAAACGCCACTTGAAATAGAAAAAAAAAAAAAAAAAAGCAAAAAATCCTTCATGGGTATCTTTACAAGCTTCCCTTTTCCTGGGCTTGTGCTGTGTTATCCTGTCTATGACCGAAGACCGTAGACCGTAAACCGTAGAACAAGAGAAAAGTGTAGGCCAAACAGATCTACACGCCTCAATACTCCAATAAACTTATGCAGAAAGCCGAAAGTGAATCAACACGTAACTGTAGATGTGCGTATAATGCTCGTTAGGCATTGTCGTCATCTAATTTCATCCCATTAATATTCCGTGTCCATCTCAGCCCATTGATCCGCGTGTCTATCGTAAGTGATGCGTGGGCCGAAGTTCCCTCTTTGGTCTTCATTTCGTGCAGAAGGAGAACTACGCTGGACTACGTCGATCGTGAATAAGTTGCCGAAGTCTAAAGATGCATGGTTAAGCTCTTCCTCTAGCGGTGCAAGAGAGCTAAGATCCAATTGGAAACTAGGGGACGACGGTATCGGCATATTAAACTGACTGATATCAGGTATCAGTTGGTTGATGGATCGTGATAGTGGCGTGTCAAAGATCTGACTATCCAGGAGGTGCGAAGGTAGAAGACCGCCCGGTGAATGGCGCTTAACCCCACTGGAGCGAGGTGTTCGAGACGGAGTACGTTGAGCCATTAGAATCTGGCTTGGGGAGTTGAGAGATCTGCCAGAGCGCATAGATCTGGTAACACTTCTAGTGACCGGTCGATGGCTTGGGGTGGGACGAGTCGGTGTCTTAAAGGGGCCACTATGGTTGGCCTTTGAAGGTGGTGTCGAAGGCCGGGGCGGAGTACCAAATATATCCACAAACTCATCTTCCACCGAAGCCTCTCCAATCATTGCTGGGCCGCTATTCTCTTTCTCCAGCTTGCGTCCACCTTTTGCGTCCGGATATTCAGGTGGCGTCTGCACAATATTAATAACAGCCTCACCTAGAATCCTCTGCTCTCCATCTTTGCGCGGTGACGGAAAAAGAAGTCGTCGAGTAACTCCGAGATCATCATCAAGAGCAATGGGGCTGCCGGGAGTACCACTTCCCCTAGAGTGTGTTGATCCCCGAGAATGTGTCGAGCCTTGGCAATTTGCTTCTAACTCGGATTTCCCATTCCCCTTTCTCGAGTTTATTCCAAGGCCTTGCTGTTGTATCTGGCTGAGCGACTCAGCTACTAAGTTTTTGGGTGATAGGGATCCATCTAACGGTCCGAGAGGATCAGTGGGTAGGCAAGCTTCTGAGGTTAAATTCGTCTGTGAATCGCTCTTTGTCCGTGCCTTCTTCGAACGAGGTGGTGCGGCGCCATTCGCCCTCTTCTTCCGTGTTTGAGAGAGCCTCTGCTCATCTTTCTCCCATTTCTCTGCTGGCCTATGTTGTTTGAACTTGCTAAACCAAATACCACAAGCTATGAATTGTTAGTCAACTTCAACGCTAGCTATGTCGTTTACAACTTACGATTGCAGAGCAATACTTCGTTCCACGCGCTTTTGCTGTCTTTTGGACCTAAGGACTTCTTGATAATTTCGTACGAGATCACTTTGCCTTCGGCATCTCTCTCGAGAACATTAATGGCAGTAACGTAACCTGGCTTCTCCGAATATTCATGATACGCCGGAATACCTTTGTGTTCCTGTTTCCAAATCTTTCGCCACGTTGGCGTCTGCAGAGCTCCACAGTTGCGACAAAAAGACGGCAGTTGACCTTGAGCAACAGCTTCTTCTAATTTCTGGCGGATCGTCTGTCTTTTAACGAAATTCTTATTCGACTTTCCATCGGCAGGTCCAACGGCATCAGTTTGGGGGTGTGCAGGCTCTGAGTGAAGCGTGGGAAAAGTCAATTGAGGAAGAATAGGATCACTCGCGGGTACCACTGGAAGCTCAGGCTCCGGAGGTGTCTCTCGGCTCTGTCGGAGAGCAGGCGGTTCTATTTGGCTACTGGCGATCTCTGTAGTGGGCTGTACGTTATCGTACTTTGACAAATCTTCGGGAGCTCGAGTAATTGAATGACCATCATTTAAGGACCCCAAACCCTGACCCTGATCCTCCGTTAAATCATCCATTTTAGCCATCTCCAGGTTCAACACATTCTCTAAAGTGGTTATTTTCTCTGGAGAAATTTCCTTTTCTAAGAGTTGCTGTTTAATAATTTCTGCCTCTGCTCTTTCGGCTGGTAAGCATGGAGGTTCAGAAACCACGGGTGTTTTAGCAACTTCATTAGTTTTTCGACTGAGATGAGGTGGGTTATATATCGACGTTTGGGGTAATAACTCGGGGGGTCCAGGCGTCTCTGTATGGATGATAAGGTCACTTTGAATGTTGGCTGGCGCTTTCTTTGCACGACTTCGACGGGGCTTCGGCTTCGCTACCACAGGGGCCTTGCGTGCTACGTTAGTCTCTTCCTCTATTCGGCTGTCCAACCCTCCGCTCATGTATCCTGAATCGGGCTGTGGCATTGCTATGGGCATCGGCGGTAGGATAGGGCTCGAAGGGGCTGGGCTTGATCGCATACTACTGTATAGTGCAGATCGTGGAACCGGAGGTGATGATCCAATGTCGGGACTAGCTCCATCGGAATATGTACGAGATGGTGACGCACCCGCAGACTCTACAGGAGATCGAGCGTCCTGGCTTTGCGACATGGACGGGTTGGGCTCTAGGAAAGATGGCGTGAAAGAGCGGTCCATCCCTGAACTTGATATCGATTCGCGTCTTAGACCACTAGGAGCTAAAGCTCGTGCTTGCGGGAGACCTGAAAAACGGGAGTCGGGGACGGGCGTTGGAGCTCGTGGGATCTCTTGGCCTGCAGGAACATCTCCTGCAGAAGCAATAGGCCGGAAATTTCGAATCGATCCTGCAGTGCTAGCAACAACTCGGAGTGACTCCTGTGCAGAGCCGAACGTGGCAGTATTACTACGTTCAGCTTTAGTCATTGTAGCCCTCTTCTTGCTTCGCGGTGGTCCATCATCCGCATCGGTGCCATCTTCGTATCCCGATGTACTGCCCTCAGCCGGAAGAGGCTTCTTTCGTGGTCGTCCCCTAGGCCGTCCTGACGGGGGGCGGCTTGATGCTCTAGAAGCTGGACGTGACTGTGCTTTTCCTCCCTTAACCGGTGCCGGCGCTCTTGCTAACTCCTCCATAACCATGCCTTGCTTTTGGTGAGCAGGCCCTTGAACTGAAGCTGGTCTATGCAACTCCCTGACGCCTGGTTCGATCGAAGCTGGACGACTTCCTGGTGCTGACCTTGGCTCTTGAAAGCTCGATATGGGTGTATTGGCTCTAGGCTCGTGATTCGGATAAAAAGGTTGAATGGGCGTAGGAACCATAGAGGAACAAATAGGCGTTCCTTGGGGTGGAGCTAAATTTGAATAGGATTGGTTAAATGAACCCCATTCGGTGTTCTCTGAGGGGGTAGGTGTTGATGTTCTCGGAGCAGTAATCGGTTCTGTACCAACCGCCGGTGTTGAACTGTTTCGTGTAATTCTTGGAACTGGAGTCAATTTTAGTCTAACTTCGAGAGTCTCTCTGACGCCAGTTCCGAAAGCAGCAAGTAGATTCTTCGTGATGCGCCCCGTAACTAACTGTGGAGTGTTAGATAAATTAGGTCCTTGATCGAGGCCCCAGCTCAGCATGCCCTGTCCAACTAAGGGGATGTCCGGTTCAGAATAGTCATAAGCGTAGACGGTGTAGTCCTTTTCACCACTACCAATTAGCTCCGGACTGCATTGAGCTACTGCCTGTAGACATGGCTTTAGGTCAATAACACCAATACGATTCTGTTCGTCCATCGGAATCGTTTGGACTTGAAGAACATGAGGCCATCGGGCAAGACATCGTTCTTGACAATCTTTATCGAAAGTATATTGAACTTTTACTGTACCGCAATGATTAGTCCTTGAAGCATCACTCGGGGGGTCGATGATGCTTACACCCCATAGGCTTCACTTGTAGCCCATACTCATCCATGTCCTGATTACTACCCCAGGAGGTATTGCCGACATGATTCGCCATACTGGCAATAAAGAGGCCCTTGGCCACTTATGATGAAGAATTTTGATGCACACGAATATGCAAACGAGAATCTTGTATGATTAAAGGTATACGGATATAATTGTCAGGCCTAGTTTCGTGAATTATCGTTATCAGAGATGCGTCATGGTATTGAGTCGTTGCAAGTTTTTATAATCCCAACATTGATTCGCTAGGATGTGAAGGTAGACTTGATTTCGGGAAGGGGAAAAGAATTTCAAATATTGTTATGTATGTTAATTATTGAAAATAATATGTAGAACGGATAAGTACGCTAATTCCAATTGGAATTGGTAAAGTCCGACAATTGTCGAACAAGAGAAAAAAGTTGAAGAAGTTGAGGATATTGTGAGAATATTGTAAACTGGCGGAGGTACGAAGTACGAAAGTACAAGTTGGGCGGAATAGATATTTAGGAAGTCAAAGTACCCGGCAACGCGCTGAGTGTTAGTGGGGATTCGCGCTAATAGTTTCAATTGAAGAACGCGTTAAAAGCGTGTCTCGCGATAAGGACGTCACGTCACTTGATCGGGGGGAGGCTGGACTTGCGCTAGGACTATCAGCAAGAGATCGGTTATCATACGGTTACGATATGGGGCCGTTAACGCACAGACTATATATGCCGAGTCCGAAAAGACGCTAGTACGTATTAAGCCAATACAATATGGAGGCAGACCACCAACGCCGGTAGCTGCACCTTCTTCTCGAGACAATCCAGAAAAAGTTATTGAATTTATTTGTAGAACATAAGAGGGGGGACTCCGAGGAGATATTTATACTAGCCGGTGAGACCCACAATTCAACGGCCCCTTTAATGACTCAGCCAAATCAGGCTGTCTATCTCACATCTTAGCCCCCCTTTACACCAACTGGGATACTTATGTTAAGTTAGGTACCTTAAAGGTGCGTAATTTAATACGTGCCAAGATATGATATCTGGTATCTGCCTGTAGGTAACCATCCATCTGATGGAAAACCACCAACTGATCCCAACGCATCGATGGATTTTTGTACAAGTTCTGCGCCGAGATCTTGCTATCTCTAGCCGTTGCTGGCCTATCATAATATACACGAAGAGGTAATACAATACGATGTGCTATTTTGATTATGAGTCGATCCATTCCGCTTTGCCCTCCTCGTTCACGATGGTGTTTCTAGATAGAATCTCATCCACAATAGCCGCGATGCCCTGCCTGCCATTTTTCTTTCGGATGAACTCTTCCCGAACCTCGTAACGGGATGATCTGCCTTCTCTAACGATGGCTTCAACATCCTGTTCCGTAGGTACACCAAAGGATTGGTACGGGTATTGGGAGTAGTCCCTATCTGTCACTAAGTTTAACTTTGACGGGCCGCCACTCAGTTGGAAGAAGGGCTCGACAATCGTGCTGTCTGGTGGGATGTCTTCTAGACTAGCTGGTTGCCACTTCGGTGTTTCTTTCGAAACTAGTCGCGCTGTAACGCCCTCTGTAAAGTCAGGATGCTTCATAAACCTGGCAGCGATTTGGTGTTCTCTCTGGAATGTCTGCGAAATGGTCCAGTCGCGACCTAACCTCATCTGCCTAAGAGCCACGTGAACTGAGGTTGGCGATCGTTGATGCAGAGTTTCCAGCGTCTTTTCAGCCCAGGCTTGAGTAACACCTTGCTCTGCCTCTAAGGCAGCTATGATGTCGGCAACTTTATTTTTGCTGAAGCATCGGTCAATGGCCTTCCGAAGTTCGCCACCCAACAGGATTGATTCTCCAGGAGGTAGACCGGTCGCATATTCCTCGATAGTCTTTTCGATAATAGCAAGGCGTTCTGTCATGGTATCATAGTCTTTAAACCGCAACTCGGCTAACCGTGATTCTAGGCTCGGTAAACTGGTTGAGTGTAGATAGTGAGTTGCGATTCCAGAGTAAAATACATTCGCTCCTTTTAACCGCTCGCTTGTCAGGGCCAAGTAAGTACCTACAGAGCCCGCCATCCTTGGTAGGAAGAATGAGGCACCAACATCTGGGAAAAAGCCTATAGTAGTCTCCGGCATTGCGAAGACCGTCCTTTCGGTAGCAATTCGGAATGGAGCATGAATACTGAGTCCTACGCCACCGCCCATTGTGAAGCCATCCATAAATGCAATGTATGGTTTCTGATATGTCGCGATGTAGTGATTCAACTGGTATTCCTGCGCAAAGTACTCTACCGACTTGTTCTGGCCTTCTGGACCTTCCTTGTTTTGTGTTGCTAGTACGGTCACATCACCTCCCGCGCAGAACGCCTTCTCACCAGCACCCTTCATAACAATCACATTTGCCATATCGGATTTCTCCCACTCAACTAATCGGGGGAATATCTTCCTAATCATAGAGCCATCGAGTGCATTCATTTTCAAGGGTCGATTAAGCTCGATGGTCCGTAGACCATATATGTTGTTGAAAAGGACATCATTGCGTTCATCTGTATCAAGCTCCTTAGGAATTTCTCTAATGGGGTTTGTAGACATCTGCACCAACAAATCAGCAGACGTTCGCTAAGAAAGTATATCTTCTTCTGATCGTACTTGTGCTCGTGCCGTAGGTTGGGGACTTATTATCTTAGCTCTTAGTGGCATAGTAGGATTTGTTCTCCAGCAAGGAGAGGTAGCAGTGGTAGCTGCTGACCCAACTCTCCTTATTAAGACTCTGAAAGACATCTAATCCAGTTGTCCGGATGCGCAATCCTCTACCTATATGCGCATCTAGTGGCCTGGGCTGAAAGCTTCAAGGGTCCGGGGGGTCAAGTTGCGACAAGCGGTTTTCGATGCAAGTCGGGAGTTGTTATCCTCGGTTTAAAAAAAACAAAAAAAACTGATATCTTTTACCCGAAGTACCTGAGTACAAAGTGGGATAGGAGTACATGATTCAATGTACCTTAGGTACCTCAGGTCCTTAGCATTATGTACCTAAGTACCTTATACAAATTTACTGCACTAAAGTGGATACTTATTCAATTTGAAGCTTAACGCGCTTCAACCAATCAAATCTCCCTTTTGTTCTGACCGCACTAATACTTTGGAGATTTTAAGAACCGAAGTAACCAAACATCTCAGCCTTGCCTCAACCTTAACAAACTGTCGCTTTTTGATTCAATAGTCCGACCACAATAATCAATATGGCAGACAATAAGATTCAGTAAGTTCTAAATTGCATGTACTGGTATGGCTAAAGCTAATATTATTCTTTTAGGGAGCTTCTCACAAAGCCACGCAATGAACTGACGTTCGTATTCCGCCCTGCCGTCTATAGGCTCCCTCTTTTCTAACGCGCGAAACAGGGAATACGAGATATCGCTTCTCGAGGAGCATGAGTTTAGCGCCGGCCCTTTATCAATTCTCCAAACCGCTGTCCGTAGCCATACGCAGGTTCTGATCTCTTGTCGCAACAACCGGAAGCTCCTAGCTCGCGTTAAGGCTTTTGACCGCCATTGTAATATGGTGCTAGAAAACGTCAAGGAGATGTGGACCGAGACGCCCAAGTTATCAAATGGAAAGAAAGGGAGACCTGTCAACAAGGACCGATTTATTAGCAAGATGTATGTTGTGTACACCCCACACGGCTCGATGACAGGATACCTAATTTTGCATCTTCCACAGGTTTCTAAGAGGAGATTCGGTTATCCTAGTCCTACTCAGCTAGAGGAAAATTTGGAACCCGGTTATAAAATACCACTCGTGTACGCGGCATATCCTTCATTATACGGTGTCTAAAACAGGTAGACAGGGCATGAAGGCCGAGACAGCATATCAATGCAGAATTATGTCTCGTGGGCGTGCTCATTACGGTAATAGCAGTTTGACGAAGCTGCCTAAAAGGAACATATTGAGCAGCAGAGAAAGCCGTGATCATGGGATGAAATAGGACGCAGATATTATTAAATCTGATTATATACTCTGCACTACCGAATCGGCTCAATACCATTACAAGACCCGTAGGTGAACTAACAATTATATAGTTTCCCAGCTTTCATCATCGGATTTTATCCCAGCAAGGCCTAGGAAGAAACTTGCCAATCCCCAAGCGCCCGGGTCAGGTACCTGTTCAAATCCGGAGCCCCCAACATACACCGCCCGGCCCAGACTAGGCTTCATTCCCTTGGTCTCCTCAGCAGCTTTCCTCGAGGCTTCAGCGGCCTCCTTAAGATCTCCTGTCTTTCCGAGAACTTCAACAAACGGATATAGCGCGTCTATTAGTGTGCGATCACCTGGCCGTGCCGGTGTATATCTTGATAACGCATCACAGCTTTGTCTGAGAGCGCCAGCCCATACCTCCGGAGATGCATCTCCTGGGGCAAAAGTTCGGAGTGAATGAACAAGAGCGTTTAGGAAGATCGCAAACAGCGCCCCTGAAGTGCCATCCATCGCCTTTTCAATAATAGTGACGATATGGGTGAGATCGACAATGACATCTCCTGTTGCCGGCTTTTCCTTTAAGTGATTAAGGATAGCTGCGAATTGTTAACATTAAGTAATCTTCTGCTAATATCTCAACGTTGACTTACCTTCAGCACCACGTTTCAAGCCGATACCGCAGTCGCCATCTCCAACCACAGTATCATATCTGGTCACCTCTGGCTCGACCGCTACGATAGCTCGCAAACCTGAAGCCAAAGCATCATTGAATGCATTTCCGTTGGTCTTAAGACCACTTGATTTAATGCTCTGGCCGAAACCCGTTCCATTTTCCCTAGTAGCGGCATTCTTTGCTTCCCATGTAGTTTTCTGGATCGGTGCTGACCAGCCTGTAGCCTCACACGGATAGTCTAATAGCTGAATCATGCTCGGACCACCAATATCTGTATTTACGACATTCAGGAGCGAAATACTAAATCCTAACCCGTTTAAGCTTGTCACTATGGTGCTTGTGATTAGCGATCGACATTCATAAAAACTCTTGTAACCATGCAGGATAATTACTCACTGTATGTTCCGCTAAGAATCCTCACGGGCTGAATACCCCAAGATGATCTTAGCTGCTTCGCCACCTCCGCAGTGATGCCTCCTAGTTCGAGGACGCTAACACCCCCAAGGTTGTTCACAAGTAGTACTATTTCGTTAGAGTTTACGTTGAGGAACGCTCTGTCCTTGTCGTTCTGGTCTAAAAGCTGTGATAGCATCGTGCCCACGAGCTCTGGGAGATCGACCTTCTTTCGTCCCGATCCTGCCTCGTTATGGATTCCCATTCCAATTTCTACCTCTCCTTCTTGAAGGCTCTCGGCGGCGTTAGAACCGATTGCTCTCCCGGGAACATGCACATGATCAAGGCTGGCTCCGACGCTCACAAGATTAGCTGCGGTGAGTTTTGCGACCTTGTAAACTTCTTCAAGGCTGCGTCCCTGTGCTGCGAGAGCGCCAGCTATCTTGTGTACTAGAACTGTTCCAGCGATTCCTCTCCTACCAACTTTACCTCCCTTTTCCCTGCCAACTCCAACGTCATCGCCAACAATGATCATCTCGACATTCAGACCGTCAGCTTTCGCCTTCTCGGCTGCCATACCGAAATTAAGAACATCGCCAGTATAGTTCATGACGGTAACCAAGACACCTTTGTCAGTATCCACTCTCGAAGTTATAGCCCTGCGTATTTGCTCTGCGCTAGGTGATGCGAAGATAGTTCCGGCCACGGCAGCCGAGAGCAAGCCAGTACCGACGAAGGCACCGAAGCTCGGCTCATGCCCACTACCACCACCGCTGATAATTGAGACCTGCGATGGCTCATGGCTGGGTCTTTTATAGACGATCTTGTTCTCAGCATCCAGGGCCACAGAAGGGTTAGTAAGGGTGAGGCTCTCGAGAGCTGAGTTCACCAGCAGAGTAGGATCGTTGATGAAATGCCTGTCGGACATCTTAATATAATTATGAAGACCTCACTTGTTATAAAATTGAAAAATATATGTATGAAGCTCTCGTGAATTAAAAACGATAAGGTTTTGATGGACTGGACTTCGATTATATATATATCTGGTGACACAGGAAGAAGAGGGCAGATAAAAGATGGGACAAAAGATGGATTCCATCTGAAAGGTTTAGGTACTTGCCCATCATACCTTGTAGTGGCGTCCGATGATTAAGTCGATGCATGATAGGTACATGTATGTAGGTACCTATGATGCAGTTAATTCAGGTACCGTGTGTTTCGGCTTGACATACACAGTCCAAGACTTGAAGGACCACCTAATCGGTAAAGCTACTACAGAAAGTGCGGGGTCTTCCTCGCGGGGTTTACTAGTTGATAGGATTCATCGGGCTTGGACACGGCATCTTCCCGACTCAGAAATATAACGGAAAGAAGCCGTTTACAGGTTGAAATTACCTAACTACCTACCTAGTGTCAAACTCAAATACGGCATTGACGGCTAAAAGATATTGATATCACAACGGTATTAAATTATATACGTCTAGTTACAATACCGTGTAAGTCGTAAGCGGAAACACTTCAACATCACATAGGTATGTTCCAGGTCATACATATGCACGACCATTCGTCCTCCCCTCCCTGCATATCAGGTGCTTAAAACATACCTCTACATAGATCTGGACCATCTACTCTTTGCAGTATCCCGGTATTTCACCCCACTAAAACAGCCTTAATACTACCACATGCCCATCAAATGCCGTTCATTACACATACCCACTAGAAACACAAACCGGAGATTCTCCTACATATACCTTCCGCCGTCAACGGACTACATTCCCTTCGCCACTTGCCCCATGGATTGCGCGGCTCTCTCACCGGCATTCTAGCGGCTGATCAAAGCAAATATACCGGTTTACCAGGATGAGAATAAATAGCTCACCCGAGACTCTTTAGGCCTCGAGCTGCGTCTATGCACACAGGCATCGCTAATATATTTCCCAAATTCAAATTCAGTACCGAGTTAACCAAGAAGCTCCAAAGGAAATCCGAAGATAGGGGGTTTGAATCTAACAGTATGCGATTTAAGAAACACCGTGATTTACATTGCGCCAATTTTATCCATAATTTGAGGAAGTTCTAGCACTTACACAATGACATGTGTCAATAGATTCAACAATATTAATATTTGTTTTCACCGCTATTGGATTGCAAGGCGCCTTCGGAACTGATAGATACCTCGCGTACGGCAGGCCATTATACACTAATAGCACGTGGTACTTGAGACGTTGAGGTCTATGTAAGTTTTATGTCCCTAGAGGCGTTTTCGTAGTACATTATATATCAGTTTTCATCCTAGGAACACGGGAGTCTAGCAACTCGGTATCAGATATTCAAGAAATACCACTATTTTCTTCTTTCGCAGCGTTATTGGTACCATGCACAATTGTATGTATTGATAGTAACTCTAGATGTTCACCCGGGAGATATATATACCTAATTAATCAAATATGAGACAATTCAAATTATCACCACTATGTAAAAGATATTATAACTAGGGGTACATTCTAAATATATCTCGATTTCAGATGGTGTGGAGTTTATTGTGGCAGATTGTGGCTAGGTAGCGTACTTAAAAACTTGAAGATACCCGACGCCAACCCCTCCACAGTGTGGCTCGTGCAATTCGAGAAATATTCCTTGCCCCGCGCTATGAATGACTCAAGTCTCTCCTGCACGCAACGCAACGAGATTGGTCGCAAAGAAAAAGGAAAAGAGCTTCTTTAAGGGAAGCTTAGGTTTTCCCACAATTCTTTCTCTAAGCCTAAGGCTCACGTGCAATTTTTTCAGTATTTATTTAATGAAAAAGCTTATACGCTGGTACCGTAGTTTTCTTAAAGCGCGGCGTGACCGTGATTCCATTCTCGGTGAGCCAGGAAGCACAAGCGTCACTATGTCAACAGCTCAAAATGAGCCGCCTACAGAGGCTACCCCCAAGCAAGCTCAGCCTGCTCAACCAGCCCAGCCATTTCAGGATGCCATAAAGCCTGAGAAACCCCAGGCACCTACACAAAATAATAAGAGCACGAAGGGCGAGGCGACTGAAGTTGCAAAACCGCAAAAACCCTCGGGCGCGGAATTAAAAGCCAAAGCTAAAGCAGAGAAGGCTGCAAGACGTGCCCAAGCAAAGGTGTCGAAAGAGGTCGTTAAGGGGGAAGCTGCCGTATCATCAACTCCCGGCCAATTAGGTCCATCTGCGGGTGAAGTGAAAGGCAGCAGGGGCAAGGGCAAGCAGGATGGTGGCGCATCAACTGCCTCGGGAGCGGCAGGAAGGCCAGTAGTGTCCAAGGGACCTGTGCCTGTTGCTCTATCTGAGCCAAAGTTCACGATACCTGAATGCTTTAGTCACTTGTCCATGGCTAGGAGAATCCCGATAACTCAAGCAGATAAAGATGTCCATCCAACTGTCTTAGCACTGGGTCAGCAAATGGCCACGTTCACAATTGATGAGAGCATCACGAGACTAAAAGCAACCCTTTTGGCTTTTAAAAAGGTATTTGAATCGATTGTGATAACATTAAATTTATACCTATGCTAATAATAAAATAGGTCATCAATTCATACACTACCCCCCCTGGCAACACTCTCGCGAGACATCTAACACCTCATGTTTTGAATCCTCAGATTGACTACCTTACAGCATGTCGGCCGATGTGCTTTTCTATGGGAAATGCTATCCGTTGGCTTAAGTTGCAAGTTAGCAAGATCGATCCTGACGTTCCTGAAGCAGAGGCGAAGAAGCAGCTATGCAGCAACATAGATACCTTCATACAAGAACGGATTAGCATGGCTGATCTCGTTATAACTGAGAAGACTTCCGAGAAGATTCAAGATGGCGACGTTGTACTGACATTTGGACGGAGCACTCTCGTCGAACAAGCCCTTCTTCAGGCTCACACCATCACTCAGAAGAAGTTTACAGTTACTATTCTCGATGACCCATATGAGAGAAAGGGGCAGATACTAGCGAAGAATCTGACTGCCGCGGGAATAAGAGTGTCTTACTGCGGTGATTTTGGTGGACTGAGATACTATTTACAAGGCGTCACGAAAGTTATAGTTGCTGCTGAGTCCATGTTTAATAATGGATCTATGTATGCACGATCAGGTACTTGCGATCTTGCGATTGCCGCAAAGCAGCTGGATTTACCTGTTATTGTTCTCTGTGAGACCGTCAACATTACTGAGCGAGTCTCAACGGACTCTCTTACGTACAACGAGATTGACCCTGAGCGAAGTTCAAGCGCCTCTTTCAGACTATTATATGACACTACACCAGACAAGTACCTGTCACTTGTCATCTCGGAGCTAGGAACGGTGCAACCAACGTCAGTGCCAGACTTACTGCGAAAACTTGAAGAGTCCAACTAGAAGGGGGGCCCAAGAGAATCGAGGTATTTAGATAATAGGGCGGACTCGGATTGAATCTTTCAACCTACTTGGAGATTTCAATGATAACTATGTCAAGGCTCCTAAGTAGTGCCCATAACTGGGTAGAAAATGCAAGATCGTTAAACACATAAAATATTGTGCTGCATCCTTAAGTGAAGAACATGTTGGTTTGCTCTTAATTGTCGACCCTTTATTCCGTAGCCTCTATATGTACATTGAACCGAGTATTCGAGATAGGGGGTTTTTTTTTTCACGCGGTTGCCGCCGCATCCCTTGCAGCCTTCCGTGCTCTCTTCTCAAGGATAGACTGTTTCCGCGCCTCCAAGATTGCCGATTGCCTCTCATCAACACCCTGTAACCAATATCCGAAGCTTGCGCCGACTCCGGCAAAGACCGGGTAAGCCCATAAGGAACCCCTGTTGAAGAAAGGTCGCATCTCGAGGCCGAGTTGCCAGAAGCGGACGGCAACGCCTATATTAACAGGTCAGCCATAATTCACTCAGTGGAATGTCTGCTCTCTAATCTCTAAAGTCATACCGAAGCCTCCCCAGAAAACAACTCGATGCACCATTGCGAACGTTCGGAGTGGGGTGTTGCCTCAATTGGCTGGTCTCGTAGTTTATTTCGTATAGTAAAAGCGCTCTACTTGGCCTGAAGTAGTGGTAGGCCTGCCTATGTGGTGGAGGATTGAGATGGCGACTGCCGACGATACTAACACTGACACTGACACACTGACTTGAAGTTCATTCGGGTTGTGATTTGGAGCCTCCAATCAAATAAGGTGGAAACTAAGCTTATGCACAGACCAGGTAAGAACAAAATGCTGCACGGATTACATAATACCTAAAGTCCCCCTTATCTCTTATCACAAGCTAAGTACCTAGGTACTACCTGCCCAAAGGCTGCCAAGTCTAATCTCCAGGGTCTACTCAACTTTCCGACCTTCACCAATTTAATCATTCGCGTTTCTTCGATCCATGGTTCGCCGGTCTCTCTTTCTCCTAATAGCATTTTGTTGCCCATCATCTAGAAAATTCGTGACACTATACATTTGATTTACCTCTGAATCAAATTCACATGCTCGTTCCTCACCTCGAATAAATACTCGCGAGGCCAGATGGCCTCCGCGGCCACGACTATGGCTTCCGCCGAGCAAACGACTGTTCCAGCTACTAGCACTACGACTCTCACGCCCCGAAAATTCAAGGCTTCGGATCTACCTCTGCCATCTGCTACGCGATCCGCAATCGAGGGATTGGCCCATAGCTTTAAAAAGAAGGGTGGTTACGATGCAATTCGCAAACAAATCTGGGAGAAGTTCGAGCAGAGCGTGAGTAGTCGCGACTAGTTATCTACGGCATAATATTATATAGCTGCTTGGCCTCGTATACTAATTACCGCGGCCAAATAGGATTACGAGGCTCAGGTCACCAAATCTATCCTCGAAGTCGCCGAGCAAGAACTAGAGCGTAATCCGTCGCAACTTCTAACCCTTGAGCGCCGAAAGGCTGCCGCCCTTATTGATGGTGCTCTCGACCGTTCCGGCGTCTATCAAAAAGCCGAGGAGGTTCTCGACCAGCTGATCGATGTTGAGGCTATTGAGACGCGCATGCGTGAACTACGTCAAGCTGAAATCGGCCTCGACGCAGCTAAGGAAGAGCAAGAACGCGGCTCCAAAACAGATATAGAGTACGCTATTGAATCAGCTCGCAGCCTAGATGAGCGTGAACGGATCCGACGAGAGCTTAGGGTGAAGGAAGAGCAGATCTTGGAGGAGAAACGTAAGATCGAACGAGAGGAACGCAAGAAGAGAGAGCGTGAGAGAGAACGTGAATTAGAAAAAGCCGAAGCTAAGCGCAAGGAGGAGCGAGATGCTCGAAGGCGTGAACGTGAAAAGAAAGAAGCAGAGCGCGAACGCGAAAGGGAGAAGGAGAGAGAGGAACGTCGACGCGCCAGAGAGCGAGATAGAGAAAAGGACCACGACCGACGCAGATCCAGAACCAGGTCAAGGCATAGATCCCGGGACAGGTCACGACATCGCGACAGGAACCGCGAGGGAGATCGTGATCGAGACCGCGATCGTAGCCGTCGTCGGGATAGCCGCGAACGGCGACACCGCGAGCGGTCCCCTAGGGATGAACGTGAACGTGGAAAGCCGGAGGAACTCAAGAAACAGCTTACTAAAGAGGACCATGAGAGGCTTGAGAGGGAAGCGCTCGAAAATCTTTTACGGGAGAGCAAAAAGAGCACTGCTAAACAACCCGAACTAGAGGTTGATGAGGCCCTCGTACCGCCTCCTCGAAGGATTAAACCAGCTTCCGCCATACAACCTATACGTCGTGACTCGATTAAGAATTCAGACACAAAGAGGACACCCGAGCTTACGAAGTCGGAATCCAAAGATTCGGCAAAAGAGGCTGCGGACGGAAAGGAGGGGAGGGAAACGAAGACATCTAAGGAATCTAAAGAACCTGAACCCAAAGAGACCAAGGAAAATAAGGAAAGCAAGGAGCCCAAAGATACCAAGAGCAAAGAGGAGAGACGGCCTAGCCCGGCCCCTTCTCGACACCATCGTGATCGATCACGTGGCACAGAAGATGATCGAAGACGCCGTGATCGTGACCGTGTTAGAGAACGTAGTCGATCCCATGCTAGATCTGATCGAAGGGAACGGAGCAGATCAAAGCATCGATCAGACCGTCGAGAACGTAGCCGTTCTAGAGATCGTGACCGGATTATGGAGAGAGATAGGGATTTTTACCGTCCAGGCCAACGAGACAGAAGTCGCTCTCGTGCGCGACCTCAGCGCGACAGACATGAGAGGAGTCGCTCTCGAGATAGATACAAACCCGACCGTAGAGAGCGAAGTCGTTCTCGGCGGCCCAGGGACGATCGAGACAGACGTGACCGGAGTCGCTCACGTGCCCGCCCTGAGAAACGGGATGATCGCCGAGAAAGGTCGCGCTCACCTAAGCCCAGAGTCGAAAAACCTCGGTCGCGTCCGCCCCGAAGCCGATCCCGTTCTCGGCCAGCTACTGCTAGTAAGCCTGAACTCACCGATGCCGAAGCCTGGAAACAAGGGGAAATCAAGAAACGCGAGCAGGAAGCGAAGGCTTATTTGGCAGCGCAGCGCGCGGCTCGCGAGAAAGGTCTGCCTATTCCTGGTGTCGATGATAAATGGAGTACTGGAGAGCGCTCACCCGAAGCTAAGAGAGCCCGTGCCCCTGATGAGATTGATCGGTATAGGCCTGGCGATCGCGACCGAACCGACAAGTATCGCGAGCGAGATAGAGATGATCGTCGAGACAAAGAGAAGGAGCGCGACAAGGATGATCGACGAGAGCGGCGACGTAGTCGAAGTAAAAGTCGTAGTCGCCGCCAGGATCGTGATCGAAGCCGTGATAGGGATAAAAGCCAAGATCGCGAACGTCACCGGTCCCGCGATAGATACCGTGGGGAGGGAACTCGGGATAGGGACCGCGACCATGACCGTGATCGTGACAAGTATCGCGAAAGAGACCGTGATCGCGACGGAGATAGGGATAAGCGCAGCCGTCGTGACAGAAGTAATGAATCACGACGCGACAAAGGCCGGGACCGAAGGGATAGGAGCATCGAGTCTAGGCGGGATAAGAGAGATCAAAGTCGCAGTCGCCGACGAAGCCGCAGCCCCCGTTAGTCACAGGGCCAGCCATTACTTCAAAATTTAGTAATATTACGGAACACGGTCCGTCGTTATCCTATCCGGGACCAGGTGCAGTAATTACTAAGGTTGATGGGTTTCGACTATATGTAATATTAGTGCAATAGGAGAGGATATCAGACCAGTCGGCATAAGTTATAGCACACAACGATAGTGCGTCTGATTCTAATTTGGAGGGGGTTTGAGACCGAGTTACTTGGACGTTACGGACTACAAAAAGCTATACCCTGGAACTTTGCTGGGCGTTGAAGGTTTTGCTATCTCGATAGGTGTAGCACAAGTCACAATCTGGAAAAGCTAATTGATAGCAGGAGATAGGTACTAAATAATGGAGTTGTTTCATGTCTGATTGTTCTTCTAGTTATTCTTTATTCGCGTATTTCGTAGTATCTTTATTCGCATATAGCACTGTGTAATCAACCACATCAGCGTTGGTGCCATTGTAAAGTGCATAACACAAGTTCATCTAAAGATAGGTAGAGGTAGGTAGGTAGGCATCAAGATAATAATGCACCGCGTAACGCAATGCGCTTGCCGAAACAAGCCCCTTGTGGATCCGCGCTTACGAAGGATGTCAAGAACTCGCTAATGTACTGGATGTAGGAGAGGATAAGCTTCCTATAGAATGTGGTTGCATAAAGAGGTACCTATTGATTATATGTAGGTATCTTCTTGAGTATCGGAATTGAGTCTATTTCCGATAACTAATTAGAGAATCTTCGAATCTTAGGTTAGGGGTGTGGCTTATTATTAACGGAGAAGGAGAAGGAGAGTAATCAGGGCCTAATATGAGGTCAATTATAATATTGCCAAGAAATTGAACCAGGTGACGATGATACAGTGAAGGGGAGAGTGCGATACAAGGGTTTCCGGGTCGGGTGAGATCTCCAGCGTTATGAAAATAGTCTCAGCGTCGTCATTAGAGGCTTGGGATTGGCAAGGGGTATGGATGTACGTACATGATATACATACCTCTTAGCTACGATAGAAGCATTGTTGGAGTAATGGAAACAATTTGGAAGTTTTCCGCCACTTATAGAATTGAATTGATGTACCCAAGGTATTGCGTCAAATTCACTAATGAATTGTGACATATTAATGTATTATATAATATATTTACCTATTGACAATAATAAGGAAGTATCGTACCAAGACGTGCCTTACTTCCTCGACCCATCTTGTGACGCGCACATCTTTTTAGGTAAGGTACCAAATGCAAGTGTCACAAGCCACAGGTTCCTAGCCAGCCAGCTCAGATTTTCCCCATCGTAGGGCGGAGTAATAGCGGTTACCTAGTTGCACTTTTGCATTAGAACTACATGTACCTAACGTACCTCTTACTCGGGTACCTATACCTAACGTACTATCCAAACCAAGTACGATCCAAGATAACCAACCAACTTGGATGAACTAACCTAGAGAGCTGCGATCATTCCTTCTTCTTTTTCTCGTCCATTCTTATTCTCCCATTTTTCCCTCCGCTCTTGTGATACGCTGTTACCTGCGAGGCAGGACATATTCATTTCTTCCTGTCTATCAACTCTATATTCTGTTCTGTTCAATCAGTCAATCCATTCAAGTCAAAATCGCCCAACTAAACAATAACAGCATTATCGACCTAGTTAGTGCGTCTTATCAATTAAACTAGGCGTTACCTTTACGACCAGTGCGGTGTGTCAGTAATAGTACAACGACACACGACACTTTTGAGACTTGAGACCCGACACCGATCACCCATACCCATTTCAAGGATCAGGAACCAATATACCTCCTCAATCGAACTTCAACCCTCCACAGCCACCCTTTTCCATTACGAACGAGAACCTTACTACTTAGACTTGTCTTTCGGAACCCGAGGGAATTTATTCATTTTTTGGTGCTCTCCTTTTTTTCCATTTGTATCTTTTTTTTAGCTGCTGCATCGAGGTACTTCATCCTCGACAACTCCACATCCGAATGCTCGAGATTCGACCGTGAGGGAAAACGTCCCCTAGTCTAGAATATATAATTCCCCTCATATTGCCACCGATCGATAAACCACTTCCAAACATGGCGAGCCTAGATGGCATCCTGATCGGAATTTTATCGTCCTTCGGCTCCGCCATCCTAATAGCCCTGATTTTCCTAGTCGTATACTTCTTCAGATACACGACTTCCGGTCGCATCTTTCTTGGCCGGATCGGTCGGCCTGGCGAATATGACGATGAGCAAGCATTTGCTAGGGAGGAGGCGGAGGCCTTGGAGGTGATGGATGACATGCAAAGGATAGAGTACCTAAGAGCAAAAGGTAAATATCTACATTACGAACCAACAGCGCCCGTGTATTTCCTTATCGTGAAGGATGGTCCGTTAACAATGATGTAGCGTTTATCCAAGCGAATCCGCCCGAGTCGCTTCAAACAGACATTTCTTTATCACAATACCTAGCCATACAAGAAAAGGGAGTTTCAGCGTGGGAATTCGAGCCGGAGCTGGAAATCGCCAACTGTTTCGTTGAAGCGAGAACCGAGATTGAGTTCTTTGATTCTGAATGCACAGTCATGAGCAATCTACCCGTACCAAAGCAGAACGAAGTCTACTACTGGGAAGCCAAGATCTACGATAAACCCGAAACCACATTGCTTAGCATCGGCATGAGCACGAAACCTTACCCTCTATTCCGACTTCCAGGTATGCAGCTTCATTCAAGTTGACACTGCGTATCCTGAAACTAACCTCTATCACGCAGGCTTCCATAAATATTCCATCGCCTATACTTCCATCGGTGCTCGACGGTACAACCAACCCTTCAACGCAACTGCTTACGGGCCTCAATATGTTCAAGGCGACGTTATCGGAGTTGGCTATCGTCCAAGGACAGGGACCATTTTCTTTACCCGTAACGGCAAGCGATTAGACGACGTAGCTCATGGCCTGAAGTCTCAAAACTTCTTCCCATCTGTTGGCGCGAACGGACCGTGTACCGTACACGTCAACTTTGGTCAGGCCGGCTTCGTATTTATCGAGGCGAACGTAAAGAAATGGGGACTTGCTCCGATAACCGGCAGTCTGGCACCGCCGCCACCTTATGGAAGCGAACAGGGAAGCATCCTACTCGAGACCGGACGCAGGAAAGACGAGCAGCCCGGATCGCCATCGAGGGGCTATGGTTATACACAGTCGGTTCAGCGGTACACTAACAGTGGCCCAGGTTTAAACCCAGGACACGGGCGGACAAGGAGTGGCAACTTCAGAGTACTTCCGCCTACGAGTCCAGGACCACAAAGAAGTCCTACTGATATTTCCCTCGCGCAGCTGGTTCCTTCGGACGAGGCAGGCGAAGCCAGCAACGCTATCAATGCTGGCGGAGACCAAGTTGTCGACGTCGTTGGATTGGGTCTACATGAAGCATCACACCCACCGCCCGAGTATACTAGTCCGGAACACTCGGATGAGGATAGCTCGGGCTCCGATAGCGATCACGTTCCATTGATCAGATCAGGTCGCAGCCGCGGGGCATCCGCAGCCACCATAAGACCGAGTAACCCCCCGATACCTAGCTATAGTGACGCCGTCCGACAAGGTGCTGGTAGGGACAGGAGCCGCAGCGACAGCGCCATGCCTAGACGGGATGGCATGTAAAGCGGTGAAGCCGCCCATGAACCTAGAGTAGCGAAAAATGATTTATCACTCAGCGCGGAACAGGGGAGTTTACGGTCAGGAAAGGGAGCAACACACTTTTTTGCTTTGCGTTTGTGCCGCAACTTGTTTTTGGGCTACGACAAACATTGGCATTGGGTCAGGTGACACTACTTACATGATACCTCAAGAGAAAGTTTTTAGGTCTTTTTTTTCGCATTGTTTAGCGGCATGGTTGAGGGACGGAATGGGAGGGTTTATTATTTAGGGTTCTTTTTTGTTGTTGTTGGCTTCTTGTCTCTCTCCCGAAGGGATCGAAAAAAAATTCAAAGTACGAAACAGGGCTGGAACTACTAGAACTACTACTACCACCTGACCTGCTCCAGACAGGAATAGGGGTTTGGGATGGAGATGGACTAGGTACCTAACATGTCACATACTGGGAACAATAAGAAGAATATATCAAGGTGATATAAGCGTGCTTACCATTACGATATCTGATATCCTTGTGTTTGGTTAGAAATACGGTTTCGATTTGCGTGAAGCTAAGAGGTGTCATCAAGGTCATGATTAGGGGCTTGACTAGTAGGAGTTGAAAATATACTTACGTACCTATGAAAATTGAAACCTTACTCGTATGTGTACAGGTAGATACTCCTATTTTTATGATATGTATAGTTAGTTAGAGGTTACGGTTAAGTCAGAAATTGCATTCCTGGGATTTAATTGCAAGACTTGGAAGAAAGCATAGCCTTAATTACGGCATAGCTACCTGTTAATTATTAGTTCTAAGTACTCATATAACTATATGCTCTTTACATTTACTATTCCAAATAGTTGATATTAAGAATATCATTTTATGCTTCCGTCATAACATCTTCCGGTGTCAATCTCTGAAAGGTCCACGTAATAGTACTGCAAACCTGAAGAGACAATCCTTGAATCGAAAACTCAAGCGAAGAGGTCTGGTCAGTTGGCGCTTAGGTTTAACTACTAGACAAACGAGACTGTTATTGAGTAGGTTATATAGGTAGGTAGTGTTGGAGAAAGTTGTAGTTGCTATTCTGCGGACTACCTAAGGTTTAGAAAGCTCGGAATGGAAAATTAAAATGTAACTTGGAATATTCAAGTTCTTGTATATGTGTCTATAGTATCTGTTTATCACCTGTTAGATTTGCGACATATCCTAAAGCATAAGGAAACCACATGGAACTTTAGGTACCCTCGAAGGTAAACTTTATACTAGGTATGTAGTATACTACAGCATATTATGCTTTTAGTAGATATAAGTCAGCATAAGTTGCTAAGCAATAGTAGACATATGTACTAAAGAAGAAATTATTTAAACGCAGGCGCTAGCTTTGGAAAGAGGGACTCAACCTAATAGCACTCTGCAATGTTGTGCCGCAAGACGTAGAATACATGTATAGAAAAATGTAATAGGTACCTTAACATGCAACAAATTGAATCGTCAACTCTATAGCGAAACAGTAATCAAACAACTTTGTAAAATGATACCACGCTGCTCTATTAACTCCTTCAAATTACAAGTAGCCATCAGAGCAATATCAATAAAGAGATGAGCTATTTAGATAGAAATCGTCTATCTTAATTCAGTGCTACTTGTTGATTCTACAACATGTAGTAACCCCGAGGAAACCCTCCAAAATAGTTACCGCTTGGCTCGTACGACTGTCACAAAAAATCAAAGCCAATTCCTCGGCTATAAGAACCAATATCTTCAAACCCGGTATAGCAACGCTTTCTCGCGTACCTGAGCTCGAATCACTACACACATAACGCAGAACGCCAAAAAAACAAAACCATGTACCGCGGCCCTTCCGTTGGCTTGCTACATACCCTATCCGCAAATCCGACCATAGAATGAGTTACTAGAAACCAGGGGGATAGAAATTGTTCTTAGTTTGGGGGAATATTGACCTGTTGGAGAAAGGAGGAGGCGGCGGCGGAGGCGGAGGCGGAGGCGGGGGTGGGGTATTTGGCCATCTTCTTCGAGGCTTATTGCGATTCTATCGCCGATATACGTCTCGGTCCCTGTCCCGAACGGGTGAACGGCTGCGACTGCGTGTCTGGCTTGCACGGCTACGATCGTCGTAATCTCCTTCGCGACGGTCCCGATCACGTCGTCTACCATCTCGATCCTCCCATCTTCGACGATCATCTCTCGGTGGTCGATCTTCTCTAGGCGGTCGATCTTCTCTAGGTGGCCGATCACCATCACGGTAGCGAGGAATGTAGGTGTCAACATCCGGCCGATTAGCCCCACGGTTTCTCGGCGCCCTATCCCTGAATGAGTCGTGATGCTCGGCAGGATTATCCCATCCGTTTCCTGGGTAGTCAGGGGGAGGGGGACGTGGCGGTAATCGATGATCCATATGAGGTTGGTCCCGGGCCCAGGCAGGTCGACGACCCTCTTCGCCGCCCCGATATCCGCCGTGATGTTTGGGGTATCGTCTGTTACCATACCCATCACCACTACCAAATTCCGCATTGGGACCTCCAAATGCACCCACACCGACAGTACCCCCCTTGGGGGCGGGCGGTAGAGCAGCTTTTCGATCATGGAATTTCCTACGGTCCAATTCGTGGCTGTCCTCAAAGGTGGGGAGGTCTTCTGGCTTTGCCGGGAAAGGAGAAGACTTGAAGTAGGGATGTTCTAGCGCATCAATAGCGTTGATACGACTTCGCCAGTCAAGTGTTAGGAGCTCTTTCAATAGAGAGATGGCGCTCGAACCGTGCTCGCGGAACCGTTGCGCCAATGATGCTGGTCGCGGTCGTGGATTAATAGCCTCAGCACCAGGTAATTGTTTCCATCCCGGCATAGTCTGATCCGTCGGAGTTCCGACTAGGTCAAAGATGATGTCGAGCTGGTGCGTATCGCTCTCGCCGGCCAAAATAGGTTTGCCAACTAACATCTCACCGAAGACACAACTGAAGAAAACGTTAGTATAACACGTGATAATAAGTTGTCTTTGATTCTTACCCAACACCCCACATGTCAATAGCAGTGGTGTATTTTTTAAGGTGTAGCAAGAGCTCAGGAGGTCGGTACCATCGGGTGACCACAAGACTAGTGTACTCTCTCCGACCCTCACCACCACCTTTTCCTTTTTCGGGGACTTGTCCCTCGTAATGTCTTGCAAGACCGAAATCAGCAATCTGTAGTATACCCTTATTACTGATGAGTAGGTTGGCGGCCTTCATATCTCGGTGGAGAATCTTGCTGTCGTGTAGGTAACGGAGACCTTCGAGAAGCTGAAGGAGATAGCATTTAATCTGAGGTACCGTAAATTGAACGGATGGGTTGTCGAGTAGGCCAGATAAATCGTGATCCATGTATGGCGTTACCATATACATGATCGGTCGTTTTCTCTTATCGGCTTGAAGGAGTCAGTCTATGGGAAATCATTGCGCAAGGGCAAGTAAACCTACTCATTTTACTATGATGCTCGACGGCCATGTCCTCCAGGCGCAACACATTCCTGTGCGACAATAGTTTAAGAAGCTTGATCTCTCGAAGTGCTGTGATTGGAAATCCATCTTTCTCGTTGTGCATTATAATCTTCTTTAATGCAACCAAAGCACCATTTTTTCGTGCTCTCGCCTTGTGAACTTCACTTGAGGAGAGTCAGCGTCACTAGCAAAGCAACAACAGGCGTAGAGAATACTCACCCAAAAGTACCTTCTCCTAGTTTTCCCAAAAGCTCGTAGTCGCTAATTCGAGAGCAGCCAACGAAACTATCCTTAGGTCGTTGATGCTGAATCGCAAAAGATCGAGGCGAAGGCGCCTCGCTTCCATTATTGTGCGCCATTCTCGAGGTCAAAGCTTCGGGTGTTGAGGATTATATAATTCGCAGGTCGAGGCAATGGTAGTGATTGGGATTGGAAATAAATGGTTAATGGCGAAAGAACCGTTGGAGTTGACCAGGTCAGGAATTTGTTTGCCACGTTAACATCGCAAACCAGTGACCAGCCAGGTCGCGAGGGGTATGGCCAGATTAGGAAGGAACTGATCTCATTATGTTTTATGAGAATATGTTTCGTAAATGTAAAGGAAGGTCAGTTTAATTTATGAAGCTATTTGGAGGTTCCAAAGTTGTTTGTTCGCGTTCTTGTACAGAAAGACGACGCCCCAAAACGCCCCAAATTGGTTCCACTTTAAAAGGTACCTAGCGCATGTACATATGTACCTTGCATTTGAGCTCGGAAGATGACGAATGCAGAATGCGTCTGTGCGTAATCCACGGTTTACATAGCAGTTTAGCGTACTAATCACGCATACATAAGCTGATAAGATAATACCTGCTAATCCAGCAAGCCGCGGGGAATCTTCGGTTCTCAAGGCTTACCTTAACGTCTGAAGCTCTTCGAGAGAATCGGCTTGTAATTAGGTTATCCAGTTATTCCCTATTAACCTCACAATACCAACTTGTCGGTTCCTCTTGCCATTGCGAGCTCACACCACTCCCTATTGAAAAGGCGTACGCTCCCTTAGCATAAGAGTGCATTACCTTTATTCCCGACGCAATTAACAATCTCTAGATTCGAGACACCATGGCTGGCCCCGGTCCGATCAGGCCTCATGTCCCTGGTATCTACAGATACACTGCTACCGCCCTCGGCGCTAGCATGTGGTTCTTCGTAAGGCTCCTTTGCCTATTCTTTGAGGGAGTATCATATACGCTAACTTCACTTACAGCTAATGTGGCGCGCGAGGAAAGACGGTAATTGATCCTAAATCCGAACAATATCGAGTTATTACTTACACGAACCCAGGCCCCGTCCTACTAGGCTGGAAGCACCCGTGGGACCATTAGACTGGTAATTTAGCGAGGGCGATATAGGACCGCGCAGAGGGCAGATACCACGACTGAGAAGGGTTGAAGATGAATGTGTAGATACGCAATGGTCGCCAGTCATCGGGAGGCCCAGGTCAATAGAAGAGAAGAAGAATCAGGCAACCAATCTATATAGTATACTACATACTACGATGTTGCTATCACGATTGTTTCGGCTTCTCGAACAAATAATGGGCCACACCCCAGGTATCCCCACCCTCATAGGCGAATAATTCCGAACAAGCCATGTAAAAGATCTGCCACCTGTTGTACCACGTGTTCGCGTTGTCCTCTCCGTACGTTTCTTCCAGGTGTGGCCATATATTATTCTTGTTTGCAATCGTGTTGGAAAGCCAATGCTTTGCTCAGGTCAGCGTATTATTCAAAAGTATGTAAAAGGTTGAACCAGTTGATAGCCTCCCCCTTTACGGATAAGCGGGAACGAAACCCGGGGGTATGTATGCTTACCTCGCACGTCTTTGAGTAATTATTTCCATTGACCCACCATTGCTTCTCAACGTGAAGGTCTTTCTGGAAATATAGTAGTAGATCCGCTGACGGCACTATTCAAAATACCTAAGTTAGTAAGACCATCCTCCCGGCTATATAGGGGTTAAGTATATAGTACATACTAGTCCCACCAGTGAAAAAATACGTAGTCATCCAACCCTCCTCATAATCATACGGGGTATTCTTATGCGCAAATATATGCACAAACAACTTACCCCCCGGCTTCAGGGCCCTCGATATCTTAGCCATAAGTTGCTCGTAATTCTTCATATGCTCGAAGAGCTTGTAACAATGTTAGCGCATCCATTCTATAATGAAAACACGGTGTTAGTGATATCAAGCTAGATACCTCTATCGAGACCACCCGATCAAAACTCTGCTTCTTGAACTCGTAGTCAACCACGTCCCCCGTGATGACTGTCAAGTTCGTCAGGCTCTTCTCCTTGGCCTTGGCGTCGATGTACTCCTTTTGCGTCCGCGAGTTCGAGAACGCCGTGATCTTGGACTTTGGGAACATCTCGGCAAAATACAGGGCGCCGGAACCCCAGCCGCATCTATTGCATTATTTCCGTCAGCATCGGCGCTTTTCAATGCTAGTTGGTTGATAGGCTCGTTTACCCTAGGTCTAGGATACTCATGCCGTCGCGGAGCTCTGCCCTCGCAGCATACAGCTCCAGCATAGCCATCTCGGCCTGTGCAAGAGTTTCGCCGCCCTTGGGGTACAGGCTGCAGGAGTACTTCATACGAGGGCCTAGCATACCGGCCAAGACGCCCGTACCGACTTCGTAATGCTGCGTGTTAGCAGTAGCAGTCTCGACAGCGATGGGTCGCGTGCCCAACAGCTCAATGTACTTCATCTTGCGCTCGTAATCAGCTGCTAGAGTCGACGACTTAATCTCCTCGAGCCGCTGCGCCAATTGCCGCCGGATACCAACCCGTATCACGGGATGCGGTAGGTAACCGCGGTCGAGGAGCCAGTCTATACTATTACTTAAGTCATCTCAATTCTATATATAAAGGGGAAATGGGGGTAGTTACCGATATTCATCGTGTATTACCCGAAGCTATTCTTTTTATAGGTATATCTAGTATCTAGATTAAAGGTACCTAACACAATTAACGGTCGACGTTTCTCAGTTATGAAATCCAAAGTTGGGTAATTAATAATTATTGGGTAGTGGGAGATTTCACCGTCTCTTACACCATTTGCATGAATGCATGAGCGCATTCTAAGCCTTTGTGAAACAATGACATACATGGATGTTAAAAGTGGATCAAAGTTAGAGAAGTCTATCGATTATCGTAGTTAGGTACACTTATAAAAAAGCAATGAGACACCAGAAAACAAGGGTTACCTTATCAGTATACATACAAGAACCCTAAGTGATCGGCCTTATAAGATGCACTGAGAAAGTTATAGTATTATTCAACTATTTTCTCAAAATGATGACTGAACCTCCAATAAAAAAAAAAACAGAGCTAAAAGAGAATAACCACCAACAGTTTCACAGAATGAAGTAATACCGACAATAGAAGGGCAAGCATTAGTTCCAATTATATTTATTATTTCATTTTCAGCCCACTTAGATTTAGTATTTAATACCCTATATCATAATCATCCCTCACGTTTTCCGTTTCCCCTTAGGATCTCGCCGCCTTTCCCATATCTGCAGATACGACTCCCCGAGATACAATAGTTCCTTCTGAGTCTTCTCCACAAAGAGGTCCTGACATACCACCCATTCGTCTCGTCCTTTATCCTTAAGTTGGACCTTCCACGTCTTCCGTTCCTCTCCCGAGTCCGCTACATCCTCTTTTGCCCTAATGGCTTCGTGCGTGACGTTTGCGACTAGATCGTACCAGATCGGTTCCCCTGGAGGATGATCTGCTGGGCTTGGTTCTACGTAGGGTGATATGTCAAGACCGACACGTGCATCGAACGTGACGATCGTCGGGTTCCGCTCCGACACGAATTTGTTCGTGGAGAAGCGTTTAATATGAAAGGTGAGGTATGGTGGTAACGGGTGCATAAGTCGGTATCGTTTCCTCTGCGCCAGATGTTCTTGCGCTTTCATACCGTCATATTTGGTCAAGATAGTCGTTAAGGGAACTTGAGGAATGATGTTGCGCTCCAGCTCGTCTTGGAATAGAGGCGCAGGGGGCAGATCGAGCGTCAAGAGCAAGAACCGATTGATATCCGTCTTGACTTCTGCTGCCTCTTCAAACCGTAAGCGATCACCGGCATCTGCCTTGGCTGTAATAGCTTGCGATTCGACTTTGAGTTTCCCCTGGAATATTCGTTGTATAATACTGCTCCCTGGCTTTGTCTTGCTTCCACCTAGTCCTAGGTGCAAATTGTTAAGAAACCATGACAAGAAATCAACAGGGTCGGATTGATTTGTCAAAGTGAACTTCTTGTTGGACCTCAACGAGATCTCCTGTAAAAGTTCGTGAGGTGATACGTGGTTCTTGAAGGCTCGAGGATTCCAGATCTTTCTAAATAAGATGCCGCAGCGCTTCACGAGCTCTATGCGCGACGACAGATCTTCTAGTAGAAGATAGTTCCGTAGAGGCGAAACGTGAGATAGCGCTTGAACTACGACATTGAGATAGTCATTCTCCTTGATGTTGTTCATACCCACAAAACCAGGTGTGTATTCTTTTCCATCTAGTGTCCAAGCGGTCCGAGCCTTGCGATCCAGCTCCATCACTTCCTGCCTCGTGTATCTCGGATCAGATACGTATTTTATATCGTCCAAGGATTTGCTCTTCACTTCGTAGCCTTCTGGTAATACATAGACTTTCTGAGTTTCCATGTTGATAAATACATGATGTCCGACTTCGAGAGAGTGGAAATATGCATGCGACTTTGGACCTCTGCCTTGAAAGTATTTCCCGCAGACCAGACATGCATAGACGTTTATGTTGGATAGGCTGATAGAGCATAGCTTTTCGAAGTCGAAGTCGAGCACGTTGCGATCGATTGTATCTAGATAAAGGTCGTCGTACCCTGCTGTAGGCGCAGACTGTCGTATCGGCGCCTTTGAAGGCTCATCTTCAAATTCATCGTTATCTCCCTCGCCAATAATGGGAATATCGTCGTGTCTCTCGTCTGAAGCTAACGCGCCATTGGCATTTAATTCTGGGCCGTCATCAAACCGCGACCGTTTCGATGCAGGCGAACCAACATCAAGCTCCTCCAAAGCTTCGGAGGCCTGTCTTTTAGGCATATCGTATAAAATTGAGCACCGAGTTTAAGATATCGTAATATCAATCGGGAAAGGTGGGAGTATATTAGAAGATCAATGTTTAGTTGAATATAAGGCTAAAAGATTAGGAACTATGTAAGTCGCGACTTTGAAGCTATCAAAGCTCTTTTTTTAAGAGTAATGTTATTTTAGTAGTAATGGTATTTTAGTAGTATTCAATTTTAGCCCCACTTTTTTAAAAAACCGGCAGAAAAAACTAGCGCTTATAGCGTTTACAGCCTTTATTACCATATAATTAATTAAGTAATATACATTATATTTTACGAGGTTTTATTTTTTTTTTTTTTTAAGTTGAATTGTAAGTTTTTTTATATAAATTTTTTTTTTTTTACCAATAACCGCGCGGTAATAGGCTATTATTGAGGTTTAGAGGTTTTAAAAGTAAGATCCTTGATATTGAGGATATTTTGGGAGATGAGGAAAGAGGTAAGGAAAGTGTTGGTGATATTGGCGTGATTGATTTGACCAACGAGTAAGGATTAGGAGGCTTTAGGAGGCTAGGATGGCTAATACGCTAATAACTGTATATATATTTTAATTCGGAAAGGTTTAATTGATAGGTTTATGTATAAAAAGGCATGTTTTTTTAATAATTTGAGGTAATGTAAATGGATTATTTTGATGAAAAATAACGGGTTTGAATGAGTAAAATTTAAGAGTGAGGGTATATTTAATTTGGTAGGGTTATCCGGGATGCCAAGAAGGCGGTTACCTTTTTGGGCAGGCGGTGAGAAAGGTGGAGCTAAAATTGAATATTACTGAAATACTATTACTATTGAAATAATATTACTCTTTTTTAATTAATGGGGACATTTAAGGCTGGGCCGGTACGTACCTACTGCACCTACGAAGGTACCTGGTACCTATGCCCCTCCAAATACACCTGAAAGGCCACCACCAAAGTCAATCATACAATGAACGTAAGTGGAAGCATTAACATAGAAGCTTTATACAAGCTATGAGCACAGCCTTCAATTAAATTAAGTATCAAATACATGTGAATACGTCTGGTTGTATTCATTTCCATTCAGAAAGAGACTTAGGATCAAACTTTTTATTTTATTGATATCATATAATCAGTCTATCATATATAATGCATATTATTCTCTATTTGGGGTATCATAATTCCTATCATAATTCATGTCTGCCTGTATATGTGTTATTTCAGCACATGCTTCAACTTGGAGCTTCTTCCTCTCATCGGCGTGCCTTGACCTCCGAAAGGCGTTCGAGGTGTAGCACCACCACTCCCTCCAATCTGACTCCAGAGCCGTTGCGCTGCCGGCGTCAGCCCACCTGTGACACGGGGACTGCTTGGGAATTTCGGGACAGGTGTCTTCTCAACTTTTCCAGTCAAGCCGATCTTGGAAGACGTTCTCTTAGACTGTGAGATCCGGTCAACCATGCGATGATGAAGGGCCTCCCGTTTGCTCTGCTCCTTGATGATAAAGGGGTTCGGTGTTGAATCACCGGGACCAAGATCGATCTTCGGTGCTGCCGGTGGTTCATATTCTGGCTCCTCGTCGTCCACAAATGCATACCCGTTTACTCTCGGTGTTTCGCTTCCCACGGTAGTCGAGTCCAGCTCGCTCATTCCTCGTTTTCCTGCAATAGCATCTCGGACGGCGGAGAGTGATGGGGATGACGGTACGAATTCGTCATCGCCAACCTTCAACCCCGGTAATCTAGTGTTCTCATAGTTGACACCCTTCGGGGCGGCTCGAGATTCAGTCTCTGCCCTTTGTATCCTGGTCTCCATAGAATCCTCTACGCTTTCGGGGATAAACATCAACGAGTTATTTGGCAACGACTTCCACGTATCCGGTTGCGCAGGTCTCTCCTCTCGATCCTTGATAGCTAAACGGTCCCTCTTGAACCCATCGTCTGTCAAACTCCGCGACTCCGCCAACTTTGCTTCGATTTGTTTTTGTTTCAACTGCATCTTGGAAGGTAACTTGTTTCCTGACCATAACCACGCATACTTTTCAGCCTTCTTTGAATTTTGCTTATCGAGAAGTTTGTAAAAGCTCTCATTATCCTCGCTCGTATATTTGGCCTGAAAGGCTCCTAGACTCATATTCGTATCGATATCGTCCTTCTCCTTCAAACTGGACACAGTAGATTCCGAAGCCACTGATACCGGCGTATCACCTACAAAGCTTCTAGGAGTTTGCGCGCCTGGAGCCAATGATGTTCCTCTTCTTGTATTGTGACGTCCCGGGGTCATGACTTGCTGAAGGCGTCGGCTTGCGCTCGAGATCCATGCTGCATCCTTAGACTCTATTGCATCTAAGTATTCCTGTTGTGTTTCGCTTTCTAAGAGCCCGGGAAAGAAGTCTCGGGCAATAATCTGCGATAGCGCATCGGTGTAGCTATCCTCGTCGATAACTTTCTTTGGTCTCTTGATCCGCTTCGGGGGTGGCGGAGGGGGCATCAACTCCAGGTCATTTCTTTTTCGGACGAGCGCTGTAGAAGCGCTCGCGCTATTTTCCATGGTCGTCCGCTACTGATCGTTTATTACAGGGTGGTTTTTCGTGATAAAAGTGTTGAAATAAATAATGGAATATGACAAAGAAGTCAAACAAGGCGATATTAACGAATCCTTTGGTATTCGCGATCAGCTGAGCTTATCGATATGTATGTAGCCCCACAATGTGCCTTAAATAGTACATAAGCTAAGTACCCAGCAGCCCAGGTGCACATATACGTCACATTATAAATTAGCCCTCATATTTTATAGTTGAGTCTTGGAATAAGACTGGCTACTCTAGATAGTCTTCATTAGTTAGTCTTTATTCTATCATTGCCTAGATTTTAAATCATTTTCAGTGACCGCCAGCACAAGCAATCTCATATATCCAGAATTTCTAATTCTAATCATAATGTAAAGGAGTCAAGAAAGGTTAGATTTGAACTATCCAACATGTTGACTACATTCTATCAAGATATCCAAACATAATAAACCCAAGCCTAGCAAAGGAAATTTCTATAAATCTTTGGCATGGTTAGGGGTCGTAAGGACGTGGATACATGAATAATTGGTGATTTAAGAACTTAGATGAATTAGCAACGGACTAATATATCTTGGCCTACAAAAACGTAGTATGTGTAAGGACAAGGAGATGTAGAATATAGTAGTTTCAATTAAAACTAATTAATTTTACTATGTTAAATGATTCAACCTTGAGGATGCCTTATGTTTACATGATTGTTCTGTGATATATTGAATTTAGGCGTATCAGAAGATCACAACTAATTAGTATAAGCATATCCTCGCTGTTTCGTTTATAGCCACTCTAGCTGTATCTCTCTAACTATATCTACCGTTTGTAATAAAAAGATAGGCCATATCATTTTACTATTTGACGTTCAACGTGACTTTAAACCGTCAACACCAAACCCCTTTACAATTACCTAACCCAACTAGAACTTTGTAAAAACAATTAGTGTTTTGAAGATCATTATATTTGGAGCATGAATGAAGTAAAGCCACAAAGTCACATCTATATCTATTTGCTTAGATTATTAAGTTGTTAGAATATTGCTAAAACTTAAATCAATATATTCCACTAGGAGCCAACATCATCGACAAGCAACTCTACAGCTATACTTTTTCAACGTATTAACTAATTTCATCCTTGTAAATACTTGGACTCGAACACTTTACTGTCTCAGCTCATTGATGAATACCGGTGCCATAGTGGCCAAAAAGGGAGAATTACGTTACACGATTGGTATACTATGTCATTTATATGAGGGTTTAGACATGTATCAGGGGAAAGAAAGCTTAGCCCGACTAGGGGGTTTCTGGCTGCATGAAAATGAATTGATATTAATTAGCATTCCTAGAAAAACATTTCTGGCTAGATCTGGTACTGGGCCCTGTAATGACACTACTTTATTTAACAGAGTTAAATAGTAACCACGAAGTTGTAATGACTAATATTAAAACCGTGAATATATTGTAATTTTTCCTCTATCACCACGCAAACAAATATAGAAAACTAATGATATAAATAGTATGTGACATCAAGAGTTCTTTATTCTGTCTGGGTGGTCTTTGTAGTCAACTTATGCCTAACTACCCGTCCTTTGTTCCAAAGGGATCATGTCTTTATTCAACACTACAAGACTCACGAGCCGGATATCTTACACTTAATCTTAATCCTTTTCTATACATAATCTCCCATGGCTGTGTTTACGACGCACTCATAAATCGAACACATTAAATAACAAGGGATGGTCGCTACATCGCTATAAGTAAATTGAATTATATATTGCTTCGGTTCGTGGAAAGATAGACAATTTTTCAGGGTTCTTTACAAGGACAGGGCCGCAAGAGTAAGAAGTTCACATCACTTCATGCTTTGCATGTAGAAAATATAAGATAAACTGACGCTGTGTTTAGGTAGCCTAAGAACTCTAGGTATTTAGATAGAATCTATTGAAGAGTCATTTCGAAATCAAGTACATTCACAGTTAAATAATTCAAAGCTCGCAGTCACTCATTCAAGTATGAGTCAGGTATATATGGATCAGCGCCTGTATTGATTTTTGTACGGCAAAAACGTGGTACCTATGTACAGAGAAAATGGCTAATGTTACATCGAAAAGTCTAAAATGCTAAAATAGTGTCGTGAAGAAGAAGAAGAATGTGAATGCACCGAGATGGAAAGATGAAGTGAAAAGTATGCAGCCCGCTCCCTAATCGTGATAGCCCCAAATATTGAATACAACCCCGTGAGAGAGAAAAAGTTTTTGTTGTATCCAGTCATAACAACCCGTCGTTAGATTCCCTAGAGAGAAACAGAAGGAATCCGGACCGTCATCATAACACCGTGAGACCGCTCAAGAAAGTATGCGATGATGAGAGAAAATTTACGCGCGGAAAGAGCGTCCGGAGCGCTTGCGGCCGGCGGCGGCGATGCTGAGGGTAGATCCCTGGCCACCAGTGCACATGGTGCCAGCAGCCATGGGCATGCTGACGGACCAGGTGCCGGCAGCGCACTGCTGGTAGCTGGAGCCCATGCAGTTGAAGGTACCCTCGGGGCTGCAAGCACCAGACTGAGCAGAGCCGGAACCAGCAGCGGGAGCAGCAGGGGCGGCAGGGGCAGCGGGGGCAGCAGGAGTCTCGGGGGCAGCAGGAGTCTCAGGGGCGGCAGGAGCTTGAGTAGGGGCAGGGGTGGAGGGCTCAGTGATGAAAGCACCTCCGTCAGCGGGAGCAGGGTCGGCCGGGGTAGCAGGAGTCTCAGGGGCAGCAGGGGCGCTGTCACCATCAGTGCAGCCACCAGTACCGCAAGTGGCGACGGAGCCAGCAACGGTGTTGTCCTCGACAGAGTCGCCGGGGTTCTCGAACTTGTAGTCCTTACCCTCGGGGGTGGAGGGCTTGCCCATGATGTTCAGGACAACCATGTCAGGGAGCTTGTCGAAGTTGGCCTTGTCACCACCTTCACCGGTGAGCTCGAGAGCACCGCAGTTCATGTAAAACTCACGGTTACCGACCTTGTTGAGCCAAGACCAGGCAATGGTAGCCTTTCCGGCGGGGATGTTTGAGGGGATGGTGTAGTCGTAGGTGTAGGGGTCAGGGAAGTCAGCGCTGTCGGCAGGGAGGTTACCGGGAGTGTCACGGGCAGGGCAGCCACCCTCGATAGAGTGGATGACCTTCCAGACACTGTCCTTGGTTGGGCTCTCATCGTAGGTGATGGAGATCTGGCAAGAGCCACCACCGTGGACGGCTGAACCCTTGAAGGCAAGCTTCTGTTGGGAGCCGAGGGCGTAGCTGTTCACCTCGCCACCGGAAGCGGTGTAGCCGCCGGTGAACTTGCAAGGGAAGTTGCTTCCATCAGGCTCAAGAGGGCCGTTGCTGAGAGCGGTAGGGTTGAAGGGAGCGGGGCTGGTGATGACCATGTGGGCATTGACACCGGCAAAGAAACCGGCGATGGCGGCAATCTTCTTAGAGTAAGACATTTTGACTGTTTGATGAAACGGTGAAATCTGATTCCTGCAGATTTAGTGAAGTAAAAAATCGATCTGGTCGTTGACTGAAGAGTCTGAAAGTTGCTTGAACTGGATGCATATAAATTAGCTTTCAGATCACTGGTAAAAAAAAATAATATTGCCTTGATGCCTTTGACTGGGGGTATACAAAGACGTTGTTGCGAAACAAGATAGTTCTCGAATAGCTCTTTCGAGTCGAGATGAGTAGCTTGTAGTCGAACAATGCATTTATGATGCCAGAGAAAGGAGAAAAGCGTGTGGATAATTGGTTACTGACCTTGTTGGTACTTTGTTCGACTAAGGGAACAAAGGTAGAAATCAGTGTGACGATGTTTGAGAGAGTGAGATCGATCAAGATAATTCTTCGTGAGGTAAACTCAAAGGAAGGTAATGCTCCAGGCGATTGGAAACGAAGATGTTTGAAAATGAAGGAAAGACTGAAAAGGTATCAAATTGTTGCCGCTGGCGTGATGATGAGAGAGGAAACAAAACAATCGACTTGGGCGATTTGTAGAGATTCTTATACTCTCGAAGGATGGGCAAAAGAATGGAAGGCGGCAAGTGAGTATGCACGATGATGGCGGAGGGAAAAAAAGAACGAATGCGGTAAGTCAGTGAGTTTGTGTAAGAGTAAGATGCAGGAACAAAAAGGCAGGAGGAAAATGATTGGATCTAGGAGGAATTGAGTAGAACATGACTACATGGGCTAAACATGGTCTGCATGGCCTCTACATGGTTCATTCTCCCCTATCCACTTCCCATTATCACGCTTATTCCTTACATACTGTCCTTACTGTCCTTACTGTCACTGCTACCTAAGGTACCATAGGATGAGATCCACTTGGGGCGCAGAGTTAAGAGTAGATCGACAACCCCACAACTCAGGGCACCGATGGAACGTAGCCAGTAAAGCTCAGCCATAACTATCACTGTCGTGGGTTTTGAGGCATGGTGTTGAAGAAGGGCTAACAGGGGGGGAGTAAGGAGGGCTAGATGACAGGGGATGCAAACGAGGATAAGGTCATCGGATACAGCGATTGGCTCCAGTAAGAACCCTAGTAACACTAACTACTGGCAGACGGCTCTTTTCACTTGTTTCGTCTTGGCTTAAACTGTGACCAAACATTGCTCTGAGTGGACAGAATAAGGGCACGTCAAAAAACTTGTGTTAATAATTTTTTTTTCTTTGCTTTTGCTCTTGCCGTGTTATAGGTTATTTGTTATCTTTAATTCTGATATGAGGTCATTGTTTAGATTTATTGTAACTGCATATGACTAACTAGGTGGAAATGTTTGTGACTTTGCAAACGAACTTGAATCGTGTCCCGTTTGCCCACTAATTACCCCAACAATGGTAAGTCAGCTGCAGTCCAAACTGCAACGACACTACATACATACGCGCTTTACATTTGAATATGTTGGTAACATTATTCCGGAATGATTAATTCCAAAAAGTGAAGTTTTAGTTTTAGTTTTTTTTTTACGCCGTACATAGGCAGCAAGTTAGGAATGAAAATAGAATGTGAATAAGGAATTAGTGACGGCGCAGACCTCGGTTCTCCATAAGTTTCAAAATATTAGAATACCATTTTGCTTCAATGAGGAAGGTTTTTCCCAATGTCTGTCAGGCTGCATTATCATACAGCCAATCAAATCACCTAGTTACCAAATCTACTTGCCCGATTCGGACAACTTGGCAGCCAATTACGGTAGCGTGGCGCAACATAAGACCCTGCTTTTTACCCTTACACTTGGGACTTGATCCTTTCTGCGTGGAACTTTTCTAGTTGAATACGAGGAGGCAAGTCGTAGTGACATCGGGAGGCAAAAAATCATTATTTCATTTACGTACCTACTTACGAGCGAAAAAGCTGGCCGCGATCGTCAGGAGATATTCATTACTAAGATTCAGGGGGTGAAGAAGGCGAAAGACTTTCCCGGTTGCGTATGAGCCGAAAAGCTCGTGATAGGCAAGGGGAATTAGGGGAATTTTTGACTTTAGTCGTATGTCAAGAATCTTCCAGCCTTTAACATTCCAGCTGGGTCGCGCCGAGAGATCCAAGCATCGTCCACTCATAGCTCAGGAACAGGGGCTAGGCCGATCCCCTAGAGACCTATGGAGAAGCTTTTAAGCCTGTAATGGTTCCCTCCCCTGCGTCTAGGCTTGCTAGGCATTTTAGCGAGAGGTTAACCCCCCGCCCCCGCCAGGCTGATTGAAAAGGTGAAACCGCACTAGTTTCAACCGGCGCTGAATTCTCCAAGGAGGGTTGCAGTGTGAGACTTGAGACGCCTAATTGCCTATGATTTTCTGATGATTTTGCTTGTAGCCTATCTCTCATGGACGATCGCATCATGCCGCTTGTAACCCTTCACTAAAGCACACACATAAAAAAATTAAGGTTTGTTCGAGCCAACTGTCAACTAGCCAATGGTGTTAATTCTATGCACACCTAGGTATGTCGTCTAAAGTGATGACCCTAAAATCAGCCTTACATGTACCTATCAATTGAATACTAGCCACTGCAGCTATTTTCTATGTTGAGATTTCTTACGTTCTGCGCTAACTACGCCACGTGCTTTACGTCTCCGCTTGGTGCTGCCTTAGGTACCTAAAGTATACTCCGGCCGCATATGGCGAGCCACCGGCTCAATCGACCGGAAGAAGGCGCCTCGGCTTCTAACACAGACCAATGCATACATTAGGTAGTCTATTAAGTAGTCATCACCAACACCCCGTTTTAACTGTCAGCTATTAGAAGATGACAAGGCTGTCTCCCTACGGAGTGTCATCTTCAATTACTACCTAATGCTAATAGCTTACCGCATGTGAGCTGCAGATTGACGCCAGCTCAGCAATTCTAAACAAGGCCATCCCGCCATTCCGCCCGCCTTTTTGTTTTCATTATAACGGTGCTGTTTTTAAAGCGATCCTTTGTATGATGTTTCCCGTAAATACCTTTAGTTAGGTATTTGGGGACGCAAGGCTGTGATTCCATGGCTTAATGGATACCTCCACTCTAGAAGCACTTTACATAATAAAATAGAAGTTCAGGCAATATTGAAGGGGAGAAATTAAGCATCTTGAGCTGCCTATTTAGGATCCTGGAGGATAAAAATAGAGAGAAATATTCTGGGATGTAATCTTGACGATTTCCTTGGCATCAAAATAAGGTACGCCATATCTCATCGGATAACTGTGGAGATGAGATGCAAGGGCATTACCGTTGGATGCTCAGATAGGTAGAATGGAGTTATTTAGCATTATGATGCCTGTTGGTTGCAATAAACACGACACAGGCCAGACCTTCGAGAATTGTATTACGTGCCGCTTGTTCCTGTCAGCTGTTGTGCTGAAGGAACTGGTCTCAACGCTTTGAAACTAGTTTCATGTTTAACATATTAAGACGATATGCTGCGATCTCGTTGACAATGGACTGAGACAGTCAAAACTGGTAGTTAGATGCATCTTTGATTCTCCTTGGTAGTTCCATGTTTATTGACGATTGGCCGCCTCAAACACAGCTATGCTATGCATGCGGCTCCTCAGCTCTGCTCAGCCGAATTTCGTTTCAAAAAGACCATATAACACTATCCGAAATGTACATTAGCGTGATATGCACCATTCTATTTTTCGATTGACAGACTAATTTAGCCATGAGAGAACCACAACCAAACCAACCTTCCCGATGGGTCTATGCTAAGCAAGTATGAGATGCATCATTACCATGCCTACCTAGTATACTATGTACTATTGTAAATAGTTCTCCATCCTAGAATATCGATTGATTGATCCACTCTGGTACCAACGTCTAACTGTATAGCTGGTAATTCTGCAAGGCTTACCTTACCAACATCAAGGTCTAGGCAAAGCTGAGAGATTGCGAATCCCCACAACTAAGTCATTTCAAGAAAAGAAAGGTCGAATTAGTAACGTTGCATACCTATCTATTAAGCGAACAATATGTACATGTAGTCTTGCGAAAAAAAGACATTATGAAGGCATTGCCGCATTAGCACTGATGCATTCTGACAGTAATCTCAACTCGACCGCCATTCTTCCTTATTGTTCTCTTTGAAATCAAGATAGGAGGTCAATGATGAGCTTTGTAACACTTGGGGTTCCGCTGAGCTTCAAACAGCAGCCACCTTTTCGTCATCTTTGACGTCTTGAGGAGCGAAATGGTCGCTCTCTTCGAAGCCATAATCTTCTCTTGTCCAGTTTTTCATCTTCTGCGTCCGGAATTCCTCGAAGTCCCATTCACGATCTTCTAGGTGGTTAGGATGCTTGAAGACGTATACTTCGCACTCGACCTCCTCGCCTTCGACATTGCCCTGTCCTTTGTCGTCGCCAACTTTCGAAAGTAAGCGGGCTTTAACCGTTTTACGATCATATTCGCTCCCCTCGAAGGCGTCGAGATGGAACATGTTGGCGTCTGTTAGGCCTGTTACGTACATCCCTCTGACCTCATGGTTTGGGTCCGGCGTAATTCCCGGATAGTCTGCAAATTGAACCCGACTATGGAAGTAAGTGTTAGCCCCATACTGTGGACATTCAGTTGAGGCTGTTATATTATAAGGCAGTGTGAGCGTTCGGGCGGTTCGGGGCCTTAATGTCCAACAAAATGATATCCTGATTATCGACTTACCGTCGGCAATAACCATGTAATATAGCTGGCTTGAAATCGTGAAGGCTTTTTAAGAGCGCTACGTTTTCTGTGGAAAACCTATAGCACACCGTAAAGAAGACTTCAGCGGCCATCTGAATAATTGTAAGAAAACAGATGATTTCTAGATACGCTTGGGGAAGAAAATCTCACCAGCGTGCCTATAAATTATTAATACTGGCATTCCAGTGGACAGAGGTCAGACGAGACTCACCATAGAAGAACGCCGCGTGCGTGCGGTCCGACATTGCTGCTTAATATTTGAGCTCACGAGTCACTTTACTTTGTTTTGTTGAGTATAGTATGGAGAAGTATGGCAGTTAACTTGGAGAGATGAGTATAAGATCTAGGAGTATCAGTGCTGAGTTTAAATAAAAAAAATCGAAACTACCTACCTAAGGTATTAAAGTGAGTAGACCCTCAGACCTTGATTTTCTATAAGAATAACTCTAACACATGTACCTAATGATTCATGCGGGGATATTGAGGCCTGATATACGGTGTTCAGGACTTATCCCTGAAGAGAGATAACCGTATCTCCCTATAGATTCTAAAATTTAAATAGGCTAAAAGCTTTACTAAAAGTATTAACTTATCTACCTCTTATTATTATTTAAGACACATTCGGATGCATCCAATAATTTAATGTCTTGAAGGTTGAAGCAAGCTAAAGGCTACTCCAGAATCTCAATGAAGATAAGGTTCGGGACTTGGCAGCTAATAGCCCGAGCTACCTCACCTAGGTACTATTGTTCTTATCGATAGGTAAGAATAGAAGAAGAAGAACTCTATCGGGATTGGTCAAAGCAGTCATGATCCCTGCTAACTTTCAAGCTGATGCTTAAGCTTGAACCAATGACAAAGCTTGATTCTGGAGTTATCGGAAAATCAATAAGGCCTAGCGTTGTATATGTACAATTCGTCAACCGTCGCGCCCACCTCTCAATGAACTTTCGCCTGTCTTTTCGCGCTGCTTCAACTTTTTAAGCTTTTCCCGAGCATCACTCAGCCTTGCGCGTCCTTTTTTCTATACAATATTTCTAGTTGTTTCATGATACCCCCTTCAATACATTCGATTCTATCTTCGTGCAGGCGTAAAAACTACGATACGAATTTCTTCGCGTTTTATTACATTGCCGTGTTCTATACGCAGCATTTACTAACCTTGCGTCTACGTCGCATCGAGCTATCGCGTGGAATCCCGGAAGCGCCTCATACTCTGCGCCCCTCCCCGAATACCTTCCTGTAGTTAAGGCGGCATTTGTAATTCCCAATTCGAAAATTACTTCCTATGAATATTATATGGTAAACCTCGAGTTACACACGCGCATGCGGGGGCCGGAGTCATGTCGGGAACAGGGCTTGAGGATATCGTCAAGAGGCTGACGACCCATGAAACTGGTATGCATCTATACTGTCATTGATAATGCTTGCCCTACTTGATTAGCTGTTATTTATATCTATCGTGCTTGTATGGTATAGCTAATCTTCATGATTTTGTAGAGCCTAAATTGAAACTTGATGCTGCCACTACGCTGCGAGACAGCTTGGATCATTACACCAATGGCCCTCACTATGCCGTATTTCTTAAGCGGATGATGCCGCTGTTCGTTCTTATCCTTAGAGGACCATGCTTATTCCAAAGCACATCACCGGAGCAGGTATGCTATACCGGCCTTTTCGTAGTCAACTCCCGCTAAGCCTGCTATCTAGAAACTCCGGAATTGCGTCCTCGAGATCCTCCACCGATTACCCACTCACCAGACACAAACTTCGCCAGAACCCTTCGAGCCGTATGCAGAAGAGATCGTTGATATATTAATGAGTTTAGTTCGGAATGATAACGAGGATAATGCCACACTATGCGTGAAAATAATATCGGATATTATGAGGCACCAACCGAAGGTTCTCCATGGGAAAGTCCAGCCGTTTCTGGATCTGATCCAGGAGCTTTTCGAACAGATGGAGAAGGTTGTGAGGGAACAACTCGATAGTACGGCGATTCCGTTCAATGCGTCGGGTCAGCCATCAACACCTGGTAGTACCCAAACAAACTTCCAGTCGCCGCGGCCGGGATCGCCAGTCGCTTCTGTCAATGACTTGGCTCAAGATGCTCAGCAGCAGAGCCGGCCCTTGCTGAAAGGCATGCAATCGTTTAAGGTTCTCTCGGAATGCCCCATCATTGTTGTATCCGTCTTCCAGACGTATAGAAACATTATCCAACAGAATGTGAAGGCCTTTGTCCCCTTAATTAAGGCTGTTCTGTGTCTCCAGGCCAAGGCCCAGGAACAGGCCCATGCTGAAGCGAGGGCGAGAGGTACTGTGTTTGCCGGGGTGAGCCCAAATATCAGAAACCGGGTGGCGTTTGGAGAGTTTATCACAGCTCAAGTGAAGACCATGAGTTTCTTAGCCTATCTACTGCGCCAATACTCTAGTCAACTCGCCGATTTTTTGCCAACTTTACCCGAGATTGTTGTTCGATTGCTTAGAGACTGTCCAAGGGAAAAATCGGCCGCCCGGAAGGAGCTGCTTGTTGCGATCCGCCATATTATAAACTTCAACTTTCGGAAGATTTTCCTTCCAAAGATTGACGAGCTCTTGGAAGAGAAGACATTGATTGGCGATGGGCTCACTGTTTATGACACACTGAGACCGCTGGCGTATAGCATGCTAGCCGACTTGATACACCATGTTCGCGAATCACTATCGCCGGAACAAATTCGAAAGACGGTCGAGGTGTACACAAAGAATTTGCAGGACAACTTCCCTGGCACGAGTTTTCAGACGATGAGCGCCAAATTATTGTTGAATATGGCAGAGTGCATAGCCAAGATGCAGAATAAAGTCGACGCGCGACATTATTTGCTCATGATTCTGAACGCTATTGGTGACAAATTCGCCGCAATGAACAGACAGTACCCCAATGCCGTTAAGCTCTCCAAGCTTTACGCGCAGCAGGCTGCTGACCAGGTTCCTGATACATATCTTGCGGACAAGGAACACCATCCTGAGTGGGATGAGACAGATATCTTCACGGCAATGCCGATCAAGACGTCGAACCCTCGTGACCGTGGCACAGATCCCGTGGCAGACAACAAGTTCTTATTCAAAAATCTTATGAACGGGCTGAAGAACACTTTTTACCAGCTGAGGACTTGCAATGCAAGTATTCAAATCGACCCCAAGAATGCACCTCAGCATTGGCAAGAAGTATCGTACGGATTTTCCGCGGAAGAGGTCAAGGTTATCATCAAACTTTTCCGCGAAGGTGCTTACGTCTTCCGCTACTACGAGATTGAGAAACCCACTGCCGAGGCTCAGTATGCTTCACCGGTGGAGTACATGGCGAATTTCTACATGGTATCTAGTAGTAAGGAAGAGAAAGACCTTCTTGAGACATTTGCCACAGTTTTCCACTGCATTGACCCGGCTACGTTCCACGAAGTATTCCAACAGGAAATCCCTCGCCTCTACGAAATGATCTTCGAGCATACCGCTCTCCTACATATCCCTCAGTTCTTCTTGGCAAGCGAGGCTACATCGCCAAGTTTCTGTGGTATGCTTCTAAAGTTTCTAATGGAGCACATTGACGAAGTGGGTTCGGCCGACGTAAAAAGATCTTCAATCCTCCTGCGACTGTTCAAGCTCGCATTCATGGCGGTGACTCTTTTCGCGAATCAGAACGAGCAGGTGCTGCTTCCCCATGTTGTGGATATAGTCACGAAGTCAATCGATTTGTCTACTAAAGCCGAGGAACCCATGAATTATTTCTTACTTCTACGTTCCTTGTTCAGGAGTATTGGTGGCGGTAAATTTGAGCACCTTTACAAACAGATATTGCCTCTCCTAGAAATGTTGCTCGACGTTCTTAATACTTTACTCATGGCTGCCCGCAAACCTACGGAGCGAGATTTATACGTTGAGCTCTGCCTTACGGTACCGGCACGTCTCAGCAATCTGTTGCCGCACTTGAGCTTCTTGATGCGACCTTTGGTTGTTGCTCTTAGGGCTGGGACAGACCTTGTGGGCCAAGGCTTGCGCACGTTGGAACTATGCGTTGATAACCTTACAGCAGATTATCTGGATCCCATTATGGCTCCTGTGATAGAAGATTTGATGAATGCGCTTTTCGAACATCTCAAGCCCCATCCCTACAGCCATTTCCATGCCCATACGACGATGCGCATACTAGGGAAATTAGGCGGCAGAAACCGGAAATTTATGACAGAGGCATTCCCTGTCGACTATCAGAAGTACGCCGATGACCCTTCGAGCTTCGATCTACGTCTAATAGGATCTAAACGGGATCGTGCATTTCCGGCTGAGCTTGGGATTGACTTTGCCATTTATAAATTGATGGAAATTCCGAAACCGTCTAAGGCTAACCCAGCCAGACAATATGACGGGTACTACAAGAAGCAAGCACTGCAGTTCATCAAGGCCCAATTGAAGTTACGAGTTGGTATCGATCATCTTCCCGAAGACTTACCCCGATTAGTTCGTCTTCAGGCCCAAGACCTCCTCGCCCGGAAGCCAGCGGCGGATTTCGCAATATTCAACGCATCGGACCGTGAGCGCTCTGTCGCCAAGAAAGACGAACAGGATGATGTTACGAGGCGCCTTATTAAGGCCATCATGTATGCGGAATCTATTCCCGAGTTTCGGGAAGAGGCTGATATATTCCTCATGAACCTTTGCCGGCACTTCACTATTATTGAAATTGGGCGGGGGCTTGCAGATATCAAGAAAGAGATGAGTCTCTTTGATGTGCAAGCAGGAGAGGGACCCTTATACATTGACACTAGGGTTCTTGCGGATGCTATTGTTGAGTCACTTGCGTCCGACCTACCTGATGTACGTGATACTGCTTTTCGGGCGATCCGCGCAGTGTACGACTCTACTGCGACCATTTTTGGATCTGAAATCCATGCTGGCCGACTAGCGTTCTTCAGCCATCTTAGCAGGACTTTCTGCCATGCTTGCAATGAAGAAGAGTGGTACACAAAGACTGGTGGCACGCTTGGTATCAAGTATCTTCTGGTAGAGATCGATCTTGGTGATTTATGGGTGGTGTCGAAGCAAATGGATTTCATACGAGCTTTGATGTATGCGATCAAGGATATGCCGCAAGACTTACCAGAGAGGACAAGGAACTCGGCTCAAACTACGCTCGAATCTCTATTGAGACGGATTACAACAAATGCGAAGAAGGAAGATGTGTTACCCCCTCCTGCACCGCCAGGCCAAC